CCACGTTATATGAATAAGGAATTACTAGGAATAGTAAATCACCATCTCACGGTAGATTTAATCTCAAATAGATACTAATTAGTACCTACTCGATAGGCACTAAGAAAAAAGTATATACAGTAAGTTTAGATAACTATAATAATCTAATTCTAGATAGAGAGCTCTAGTTATTATAGTGGAAGAATTTCGTTAGAGTACCAACTTGAATAGTTCCCTGTGCCTGAGATGTAATCCGGGAAACTTATCTCCTTGTAAAACACGATCTCTCGTTCTGGAAGCACCCAATCACGAGAGGACATATCGTCGATCTCCTCGTATGCCCTTGGACCCACCCAATCAACTGCTAAATTCTCAAGCTCGAGATTCTCGTATGCGTCTGGAAGCAAAAGCCCACGATCGAAGAAATCTTCCCACAAAGGCATCCACGTTTCCCGCCCGCCAAAAATCATATCCATATCTAGATAAATTTCGATTCCAATCTTAAGATAGTTGTAAGACGTGAAAAAGTTAATAATTGAAGCCTCGTCTTCGCTATCGTTGCTACTATTATAATAGTCTCCAATGTCTGACGGATCGTATTCGCTATCATTGCTAATATTATAGTCTCCAATGTTTGACGCCTCATCTTCGCTATCAATGATATTGTTATAGTCTCCAATGTTTGACGCCTCGTCATCGGCATTGTTGCCATCATCAGAGTCTCCAATGTCTGACGCCTTGACATAGCCATCGTTGCCATCATCAGAGTTTCCAATGTCTGACGCCTCGTCATCGCCATCGTTGCCATCATCAGAGTCTCCAATGTCTGAAGCCTTGACATCGCCATCATTGCCAGCATCAGAGTCTCCAAAGCTTAAAGCTTCGGAATTGCTGTCGTCATAATCTATTAAGAAGCTCGAATCTTTCCTAAATTCCACCACACGGTGAACATTGGCTAAATCTTGAACTAGATATCGCAAGTAGCAATGCAACCAAAGTGATTCCTTCCTGAAAGGACCGTCGAATCCCAAGCAGGTAATCAATTTTTTGTCTTCTTTTGATGCGTTTTGAAAGGGATTTTGTCTAAAACTAATATCCCCTAGGGTTTTGATTGAATCGATATAAACCAGATCAAGCCGAGGATTGAAATAGATGGGACATTCTAGGAAAGACGAGAAGCAAAGTTGATAGGATTTTCGTGCAACATGTCGAGAAAGGTGAGTGACATGTAGGAGAGCGGGAGGTTTTCCATTAGCCTTTTGAAATTCGGTCGAAAAAGCACAACGGAATGTAAGACGACCGTGGTAATCCACCATTGGATATTGATCTAAATAGCTTGAAAACATCGTTGCATGTCCGGTACTGATCAGTTCCTGTATGGATCTACAGTCGATATTTGGAAGGTTCGCTTCGAACTCAATGACCCTACTTGCAACGTCGGCGACGGCAAATTCCCAGATCATCCACTGGACACATCTAGGGAGTGATGAGAATCTCGCGAAGCTTTCTGGTGCTTTAGCTAGTGAGTCGATAGGGTCTGAGGACATTATGATGTCCTTTTTTTGTTCTGGTGCCTGTTGTCCCTCTCCCTCTTCTGAATCTTGTTCTCCCAGATCCTTCAATATCGGCCCCGAAATTTCCACCATTTCCGCGATATCCCTCATTTCTTCGTCCATAGGACCGGCAGGACTTATATATGAGTTATCCATTTCAACTTCGAAAATTGAAATATATGTCGACCAATATAGACAATTAAATAGGGCAATAGAATAATAGATTTGAAATAAAGTCTCTCTTAGAATGTGAGGGAAAATGGCTATTATTTCCTTTGATTCAAGTATATATGGGATGAAACTGAAGAGTATGTAATGTGCGAGAAGTTTTCTTTTAAACACGTTGGCCAGAAAAAAACCTTGGTAACAGATATCAAGTTCGTCATCACTAGAGACGGCTCTGAAAATAGTTTGCGCTAAATGCGAATGGTAATTCTTAGTTCACGTTGTAGTGTTTCTTGGCTGGCGATCAAATTATACGCGATCAAATTACACGCGAGATGAGGAAAAAGACATTTATTATAATATACTCGAGTACTGTACTATGTCGGGCTTCGTGATTTGTTTTCATGTATTGATAATTTTGATCAATCGACGTTACTTTTGGGTCGTCGCCGGCGAGGTGTTTGTTTTTTGTCTGACCAATATCTCATATTTTTAGCTAACTCGACCTTTTCAAAGGTGGAATTACTGAAATGAGAATTATAGTTCAGACCGATCCAGTAAGACTAGGTGATATCGAGCTATGGCCGAATTCCTAAAATTTAGCATCTTACCAGGGGCAAAAACGAGAAAAAGGAATAGTATAGGTTCAAGTTAGGACTAGTGCCCCCGTTCTTCACGCTCCTCATCCTATAAGCGTCCTTCCACTCCCCTGTCATTCTATTCCCACTCCACCTCCTATTCTCACTCCCATCACCATCCCAAAAAGGCTAACTAACAGAAGCAAGAGAAACGGAGTTAGTCATAGGAGAAGACTAGAGAGATCAGGAATCTTACAGTCAAAATGAAGGCGGTACAAGGAATGGAAAAGAACCAAAAACCTCTTCATACTCGAGTACAAACGAGAAAAGTTCTTCATCTACAGCTACAGTTGGGAAAATAGAAATTGTCTCGGTCATACTCTACTGGATCCAAATATTCGAGTTTGAAATTGAATCGTCGACCGTATAGTATGGTGAACTACATACCAAGTCCACCAAGAACCCAAGAGGGCCCAAAAGACTTTTCTACACTTACACCGTTCTATGATATGATATTACGAATCTCCGCTCGACAGCAAACTAATTCGACCCAAACTTACTTACAATCGCTCAATTTATCCTCAATCCCCCAAATCTTAAACTCTAAGCATCACAAACTCCATTTGAACAAAGCTAAACTATATACAGTCTAGTTTTAATCACTCAAAGTCGCTAATATACAAATACGGAACCAAAATGAACTCCATTTTCCAGATCCTTCCAATCATATAACCAGTTCAGCTTTTGGCTTGATCGACAGCTAGATCAAATGCGGCTGGACCCAACCTCAGTTAGTTGAGGTAAGACGGTGGTCACCTCACTCCGCTCCAACTAGCTCTAAACAAGCATTTGAAAGTCCCATACAATTTCCTATCTGGAGTGTAAGGTTATCTTCTTCGCTAAGAAATCCATGACCACAATTAAAAATTAGTACATCCTACCACCCCAACACTCTATCTTCACACCCCCAAGAAAAGATCTCACAGCCGCATTCCCACACAGCGCACAGAAGATCACCATGATATCATCGTTTGAAAAATACTACTAGGTATATAGATCTAAACCGGCAATCTTGCAACGGAGTACTATAGAGACTATCCAGCTAAAGCCAAAATGATAGGACTTTATGTAAAACTTATATAATATATAATGGTTGTAAGTTCTGCAAGATGTAGGGAGTACTTACTCACTCTCGATACCCTGTAAAGGATATCTGGGAATAGTTTCAAAGAGCGATGCTTATTTATACCCCTCATGATGAGAAAGACACCGCAAATATATTGGGTGTTAAAACTATAGAAATATGATGACCATATGTTTCCTATCAAAATATATTTATATTTCGAACGAAAGCTTCGCACGCACTCAAATCCCTATCCTGTGGGCTATATTCGTATTCGCCATTAATATTAGAGGTATCGTATCATATGCATAAATCATACTCCCTTTCCATATATCCTTTCCTGCCCATATCTTTCCCTTTGTTTGTCCCATTCCAAACCATTCCACCCCAATCCATATCATTCATTAACATCCAGCCCTTATCATAACCTCCATCCCCATCCTCAAAAATCCAAAATCATAACCCCCAGCAAGCCCACAAACCCAAAAAATCCCATTTCCACCCCAACCTTCCCCCCACCACTCTTCTTCGTCGCACTCGACGTCGCACTTGCCGCACTACCCGTACTTCCACTCCCACTCCCACTCCCACTCTGCACCACCGTCGTAATAGTCGCCACACTCTCACTAACCGTACTCGCACTCCTCGTCGAGGCACCTCTCGTCGTCCCCGGAACCGTCGTCAGCATAGTCTCCACCTCCACCTCCGTACTGAAAACCCGACTGCCCTCAATCGACGTCGTGATCGTCGTTGGTACCGAAATAGTGTACGTGGCAATACTTTCCGAAATGGTGGTTGCGGGAATCGTTGTAGCTGGGATCGTGCTAGCAGGGAGTGTCGTCGTATAGGTAATCGTAACTCCACCTAAAGCAGATGCAGGGATCGCGCTGCCGACCCCGCTGGCGGTGAATTGGGAGGGCATGGGTAGAGTTGCCGTGTTGGGTTTGGCGGCTTCGTTGCTGCTGTAGATATTTCCCGTCGTTTCATCTTCGTTTGTATAATCTCCCGTTTCCAAGTTGGCGGTGGCGCCGGAGGAAGAGGTATAGGAGCCTCCTACTACAGTTCCGTAACTATCATCTGAGAGATAATAGTTGGTTGTAAATTGGTCGTAGCAAAAGGGTATGTTTAGAGAGTGCATAGAAAGACATGTGAGGGAAGAGACGCAACATAGTGAAGCTGAATCGCGTTTTTCGTTATTGGCTTCTGAAGAGGAAGAAAGTGATCGTTTGCTCGCAGGCAAAGAAGAGAGAACGATATCTTGGAATAGATTCACAAAATCCGAATCGCCAATTTGTGGGGTATTAGCGTTTGTGGCGGCGGCGGGAGAACATAAGGTGTATCCTTGTCGACAGTCACCGCGAGAGTCCAGTAATAATGCTGCCAATACTGCAGGCGCAATGAAGGCGAATAGGAGCTGATGGCGCATATTGTTGGTATGATATGTCGTCGCGATTAGAGGTGTATCAAATGTATGATGTACGACCTAGTTTGTATGTATGTACTGGGTTCAGAGGAGATACAAAAGCGAATGATTGAGGGAGATCTAGAGTAATAAGTGGGTAGAACGGAACCAACAGTAGAACTGAACCAACTGTTGATAAAAAAGCCAAGCAAACAATATACAAACTCAAGTGAGAACTTCACAATGTAAGTAACGAATGTGAGTGAGTAGGAGCGACAACAACAAAATAGAACGAACGACAAGTGAATTTCCTCCACGACTTCTTCTCTCACGATATACACAACAAATTTTAAATGAGAAAAGAAAAATAAATTTTCCGTGAACCAACAAGAGGAAAGCAAGGGAAGTAAATACTTGGCAGCTCAGGTTGGACAGTACCTTGGGAGTTGCTGAATTGAGCGTAGTACTTGCATGGATCGGAATACAAGAGACTAATCTGTGTCTCGCATTGTTTTATATTTTTATATTTTGTAAAATCTTCAAATAAGTGTTAATAACTGAAACAATTATAAGATTTTGAATTGTAATTGGAAAATCACTAGGCCATCTAGTAGTATAAGGATAGAACAGTGTATATATATATTCTACTTGAGTTAGGACTAATTTTGCGCGTGGCACGTGCTCTTAGACGACACCACATGCCTCGCTCCCGCACTTCCAACAAAACGAAGCTATCTATAGATCACGTACTCTCAAATTATCTATATATCGAAAACGTATATCCTTTACAATAGAGGACTGTTGTACATTTAAACTATCTAAATAGGGCTGGCTATTAGCAAAATCGACGTTGAGAATAGAAGCATTACTAGACAGATAGTATATGAATTGAAACAGAATTATAATAACAAGCGACACTCTATATATACCCTATATTCCATACTCCATAATCTATACTCTATGCTTAGAGCATAAAACTCACTTAGCTCTCCAATAGGCAAGATTCGAGGCAATATCACAGGCTCCGAAGGCCTTGACTAGGAGGAGTGCCTAGAGAATCTACAAGATACTTGAAAGATGCACCGGGAAAGGTCAACGATTCCCAATTTTCTTTTTGCTAAGCTAATGAGTGTGAAGATCAAATCAGTCCCAAACTAGTAAAGAATCACCAAAGCTTCAAAAACACCCTTCAGAGTTAGTTCCAATCAAGATAATAACATCAACTCTGACTTTAATATTGCCTAAAAAAAAGGGAAGACATAAGCATTATATTTCAAGCATAACTTGCATATTACCTACTGCCTCCGGCTAACCAAAGATCCAAACGAACCCCTAATGCTACCGCGGTTGTAACATACATCACATCAAGAGCAATCAAAATTCGCATGCCTCGGTCGTGGTCCACTGCCTCTTACACAGATGGAATCTTCGTCGATCACCGTCCTGACATGGTTATCCTGTACGCTCGCTTCTGAATTCTCAGACGAGCTAGGATCTGATCTAGCGGAACAATCATCGTCGACCAACAGAAGGCATTAGCGGAGCTGCCGAGTGCTCTTTACGTGCCGAACTGAAGAACAAGATTTTTGAATACCAAATCCAGGAAGCGGGTTATTATGATCTGGGAGATAAGTGGTTTCCTATCTTGCTATTGCGAACACATGAAGGCAAGCTGTATCTAAACTTCACACTATAATTTCCTCCAGGAATTGAGACTAGAAAGTTGGAGAGTTAGGGTGGCTGGTGCTGAGGAGTCCGAGTCGGATACATAAGCTTATTGCAAGACTAGAGGAGTTTCTTTGTCAACCTAGGTACACGTATCGTATCAGCATCGCTGGAGCGTGGGAGATTTCATATGTATTAATAATGATGATACTCTCTATGCATAGCCTCACTTCTATTGGTGAAAATAGTGTTCGGGTATTGTTCCATGGCCAGGTCAACAGATCGATTGAGGAGGTCGCAGAATGATTAACAGGGAGAGAGGGTATTTATATAAATTGTCTGCTGTAGAAAGAGGGTAACAGGATGGAATTTCGATTTTCCCAAAGATTGGTACTATTGATGAATTCAAATCGAATCACTTTACTTGTCTTCAGTATCTCTTTTGCTTTGGTATAATTCTTCAAAGTATTGATTGAATGCTTGTCTTATAGATTCTCCCGAGACTCATCCACGTTGATATCGAACAATGAACTACGGAGGGTGTGCCGTTCGCGATTCTGGTTCTTAGTTTCTGAAATCCCCGTTTATCGATACATATTCATGCGTAATATCACACGTCCAATAAACTGCTTCGTCTCCACTCCCACCCCCATCATCTCTCAAATCTACCACCACCTCCACATCTTCTTTCTCCATCAGCTCCTTAACCCTCACCTCATCAACTTCAACTAGCCTTCCTTTTTTCACAAAATTCAATTCATCCACACCATCAATAGGCACAAAACTCACGGATGTTGATTCACGCTTAATGATCCCTTTTCCAGCAAATTCCGTATTCATTAAAGAATAGCCTAACGCAGCCAGAACACCGATAGGATTTGGATCCTTACCATAAACACCAGTTTTGAAAAGGACAGAACGCGCTATGACGGACGCAATATGTTTGCCAGCTGGGTAAGTTGGCGCGTTTCGTACTCGTATAGTGATAAACTTCGTTGCGCCTTCGCCATCTCTTACTACCAACTTTGCTAGATCAGCCATGAACTCAATGAGCATCCTTTGGAAAACAATGAAATCTTCAGACTGGGAAGATGCCGATAAATTAAATTCGATGGGAGTATGGGTAGGTGCAGCGGCGCCATTGGCGAACATAGTCACCATATCATTCGTGCTTGTATCGCCTTCGATAGAAATGCAATTATAACTTTTATCAGCTGCCGTATTCAAGAGCTGTTGCAGAGCGGAAGGTGCAACGGGTGCATCAGTGCAGATTATGCCAAGTGTGGTAGCCATATTTGGATGGATCATTCCCGCGCCTTTGGTGATACCTGCGATAGAGAAGGTAGTGTTTGGTGAGGATGGGAGGGTGAAGGCCCGGGATGCGAGTTTGGGGAAGGTATCGGTTGTGCAAATACCCCAAGCGGCTTGTAACCAGTGATCATGAGTGGTACCCATGTTTTGGTGGAGTGTTTGGAAGCCTTTGATGATGTTATCAATAGGGAGTCTATAAGATATTAGTGGATTATGATTGATGGCGAGAGACTAATTACCGTTGCCCACCCATACCTAAGCCCGAGAATTCAGAGTCAGCCTATTTGTTCTCGTGCATAAGAAGGTATTAAAAGTTCCCAATGTATTCTACCATCTACCCTGTAGGACAACCAAGCTGAAAAATGCTCTGAGATACCAATTTACCTGTATGCATAACCATCACCGGGTCCTCCGAATCCCTAGTTCCCTCACTCACAAACCTCACCGCCTCCCTACTCATCTTTCTCGAATCCTCCAGCCCCTGTTCCCCCGTAAGTAGATTTGCACACCACGAATTCGCAACCACACCCCTCAACCCCATTCTCCCATTTTTCTCAATTAATTCCCTAGTAACAACCACACTAGCAGCTGGGAACTCATTCTTTGTAAGTACAGCAGCTCCACATGTCTCCCATTTTTTCTCACTCGTCACCAAAATCAAGTCGGGTTGGGATAGACTAGAAGGTTTTATCCCGACATTTGTACTGCCGATTAAGAAACCCTTAGGGTAGGTGCCAGATGCTGGGACGAAGCGCTGTTTGGAAGCGGGAATGGGAGAGTTGCCGAAGGAGTCAAATTTAGTGAATGTGCGGTAGTGGGTGTGGACATGGAGTGGCTTCTTGCGGATATGTATGGTGACAATGTGAGAACTTCGAAACATGATCCTAGTTGTATTTGAACAGACAGAAAGACACTTGCGAGTTTGGGATGGTTGATGGATATTTTTCTTTTGAAAAGTCGAAGAATAGTGTGTGCCTGCCTACCTACTTATTGAAGCTTAGCTTGTAGTGTTAAACGAAATGCCAAAGTTTTTCTGTAGTCCGATCCATCCCCGCCGCCCGCGTCACGTGAGCCAGTTATATGTTTTCGAATTGCATTTGCGCTATGAGCTACAAAGAGCTAGAAGTGCAGACCACCAATCAATCTAGACAGACAGTTCCAAATAGACATTCGTTATAGAGATTCCATTTCTAGCTTCAATGACCTATAACGATTTGCCAACCAATTTGATTTTTCTGCATCCCCTTCCCCTTCTCCCTCGACCATACCAATCCAATCCAATGCCAAAAGTAGCTCAACCCCTCTGCCTTCGCGCTCCCTTTCATCAAGGAAACAAAAAGGCAAACAAAACAAGAAAGCGTGGGTATACATGAGTCTCATCTATTCTTTATAATCTTCGTTGCTCGTCATCTTTCTTTCTTCCTTTATTCATCCACTGCCCCTCCGTATCTATATCCGCCTTCCCAATCATTTATCCCCTCTCGCAATGCCATCACCACCAACTCCTTAATCTCATCCACTGTTCCGCAACAATAGGTAATATCCTCAGGCTAAATCCAACTGCACAATAACCTCCCCGGTCCCCTATACATTTTATCTGCCCTCTTCCTCCCTGGAGTCTGCTCATCTATTTTTGCCCCGAGAAAAACCATGAACTTCTCTTCGTGCTGCTGGTACTCCCAGTCTCAGAGTTTTGCAAGCTACCAATAATCGGAATCTGCGCATCGCCACCACCACCTCTGAGTGGTTTAGCAATTCTACTCCCACCGCCACCAAAGCTGAATCCACCTCCTGTAGGTGAGCCTAGTCCACGGGTACTACCCGATTTAGCGGCTTCAAGCCGTTCTTTTACGGCTGTAAGTTGGGCTTCGAATCTAAGGTGGATATTAGTAATATGATTAATGAATAAGGAGGGAAAAGAAAATTGGGAGGCGAAAGTGAAGGGGGGAAACGAACCTGTGATTAGCAGCCGTCAATTTCTCTTGTGAATCTTGCAACAGACTCTCCAAACTCTGGATGCGTTCGTTTCTTGCGATCAGCTTCCTCTCGGCAATGGCAACTTCCTTCTTCAAGCTACCATTCTGTTCGACCAATTGTCTTTGAACATGAGTCAATTGTTCTAGATTTCTCTCTAAGAAAGCCATCTTCTTTTGTTGAGCTCTGTTGTTAGATGAACGGAGAACATTGTTATACTGTTCGCGGGTTTCATCAAGGGAAATCTCCAATTCAACAACACGTTCGCAACGATTTTGCAAGTCGCGCATCAAACTCTTTTTCATTACGTCGAATTCGGCAATTTGTTGATGAACAGTCTTCCCGCTTGCCGAGCTAGGTGCAGTACCATTGGATGCACTGCCAGACTTGACCCTTTGTTGAAGATCTTCGTTTACAGCCTTGAACTTCTCAATCTCGGCTGATTGTTGAGCGACCTCTTTCTTGAGATCTTCCACCAATTCGACCTTGATGTCTTGATTGTTGGAATATGCCCTCTCGAGACGTTCTTTGATCTCCGCGACATCCCCTTCGCCCAAGTTCCGCTCAAGAAGGTCTTCGTACTCTTGCTCGAGGACTTGAAGTCGCTGCTCTAATTCCTCCCTGCGCTTTGAATTGGCATCATTCGACGAGGATCCGAACATGGAAAGTTCTGCCTGTCGAACAATACCTTGTGTCTCGACCAACTTTGCCTTCAATTCTTGAAATTCATCGGGAGGAATGGCTTCACCTGCAGCACTTTGCTCATAAAGGGAATCAATATGATCAATGACCTTCTTGATGGTGGCTTCGTTCTCACTGAAGACATCCCCGCCGAGATCAAATCCAGCCATCATCTGTGCCATTTTTTCGGCCTTCCTCTTTTCCTTCTCGTCTAAGGCAGCAGTCGATTCTTTGGCGCTCATTTTGACATTAAGTAATTGCTGCTTAAGTTCATCGAGCTCTGCGGTCAATTCGGCGTTGGCTTCTTTCAAACTATCCATGGTAATCTGTGCCTCTTTACCCTCGAATGCTAAGCGCTCAAGTTGCATTTTAAACTCGTTCGCTTCACCAGTAAGTTTCTCGTTATCTTTATTGACCTTAGTATCTCTTTCTTTTAGATAGGTGAGTTCTTCCTTGGTGTCTCGCAAGGTTTTCTCCGCAGCGGCGATTTGAGTTTCCTTCTCGGTTATTTGATCCTGAAGTTCATTCTCGCGTCGTAAGAATTCTTCTCTCTCATCTTTATCTATCGGTATACCTGGAGTAGCGGACCTTTCTGTCATCGGTGTGTCTGCACGACTTTCTGTTGCTAGACGAGAAGGTGTAGATGGCCGTGGTGCTCGAGCTGCCTCCGCTTTTGCTCCACCAACACCTGCGAGTGGGGGTGCCCATTGCTCCTTTGGCACAGATTCCCCCTTACGCCATTGTTGAACTTCCCCCTCAAGTGTAGAAACATAGGATTCAAAGGTAGTGACTTGTGATTGAGCTTTCCTAAGTAAGGCTTTGAGTTCTGCTGGACTGAGCTCTGCGTTGACCTTGGCCTTGTTCTTAATCGCCTTCGCCCGCATACCAAATCTCAGAGTACCCAGAGTTTCCTCGGCATTGTAGCTACTAGGCGAGCAGTTGATGATAAGTGTTGTCCTACTGTTTCCTCCCAAACTCTCTTGTAGAATTCTGGTAAGTTTTGAATCTCGATAGGGAATATGCGATGATTTGCCGTCCGTCAGGTTATTGATGACCATACCAAGAGCACTCAAGCTCTTGTTGATCTTCTTTGCCTCCTCCAGAGTCTGTCCGCTAGCACCAGTCTTTCCGATCTTTTCACTACCAGCCAAATCAACCAAGAACAATTGACCGCTCTTTGCCGATCCGGTTTCAACGTTCTTTTGTGTAATCGTGATAACAAATATGGAATGCGATCGAGAAGATTCTGCGTTCATGTTGGTCGAGGCTACAGCTCTTGCATCCCCTCCTCTTTTCAAAACTTCGTAGACTTCTTGGACACTTGAAACATATACCTCTAATAAACCCTTAACGTAGACGCCTCTATTTTTCTCTTCGTGGATTGGGAGATTGTCATTTTGCGGTTGTAGCAGATCTCTAATGCGTTCCATATAAATTTCCATATAGCTGACCCTTACTGTATACTCGATCGTACCTGGACTGGACAAAATGCTGGCGAATATTTGCTCCACAATTCTCGGAATAACACCTCTACCATCATCGTTTTCGAGATTTGTTCCCATCATCGTATAGGACTTTCCCGCTCCCGTTTGACCATATGCAAAGACCGTTCCATTATAACCGTTAAGAATATCGTCCACAGTAGGCTTGATAGAGAAGTCGAAAATATCTTTTTGCCGTGAGCTCATGCCAAAGACACGATCGAAGGTAAAGGCCCCTGCCGCTCCATTTGACTATTTTTGAGGTTAGTAGATTGCAATATCCTCAAGTAGCTCCAGAAGATACTTACATCAAGAGCGCAAGTGTCATCAGCCTCAAATCTTACAACCGGTTTAGCGCCTAGGTCATTCTCAATGCGATTCTGCGGCCTAAACCGACAGACAACCTTAATAGAGTTCGACATGATCGCGAGATGGTTGTTATCCCGGAACGACCATATGTACAAGAGTCGAACTCAGAATTATGTTGTCGTTGCACTGTTAAAGAACGTTGTGTTTGAAGTTAATACTTTTCGGTCAGTGGGTTGATAAGGGGAGGTTGTTGACACACACAGTCGCGCTAAAGATCTTCGCGTAGTAACCCCAAGGCCAAAGCAGTTTGTTGGAAGAAATTTGTGTCAATGCAATAAAGGCGACCATACAGAAATGCCGTACTGACTAGGGATATGCTTGTATGAAGAGATAACTTATGTTAATGAAGTTGGTTTATCTGTTGTATGAAAGACCTTTTTTGGTGAATCTAGAAAGAAGTAAAAGTAGAAGAAAATGAGACGTTAATTTATGATTCATTTAAGTTGATTTTGTTGCGTTACCATAGGTACCGTATGGCATGTATGGTAAGGTAACCTGAACGAAATGCTATAGATGAAGAATATTTGAGTAATGCTGTATGAGATGTACCATGGTGAAAGTTGCCCTTATTGACTGACTCCTTGAAGAACCATATAGACAGTACTGAAAAGAAAACTCCATTATCGATGCCGTTTCAAAATAAAAATAAAAACTCCATAACCCCGCCATTTCATCATTAAAAGGCATAACGTAAATATGACGTGAATCACGCTGAATGTGCTGCAAATTAATCCATGGCCATAATGAGCTTTTCAAGCTTCTCAGATATTTAAAAATCGTTTCTCAATTATCCTCCCAACTCTTCTCCACCGTTTCCCTAACACGTTTCGTATACTCTCTTCTGTTGTCTTTGTATAGGTTGGAAGCTTCGACATTGGCGGGGGAACCGGTGTTTGGGTCATTAAGAAGACTATGCGGAAAGTTAGTATATAAACCGGGGAACTAGTAGAACCTTTGCGAGCTATGATTTACCTTTGAATACTTGTCAAAACGGCCGCAACATCATATGTAGGACTCCACCTATTCTGCAAGATGTCCAAACACAACTCTCCAGTTGCATAAACGTTAGGATGGAACATTTGACTGATGAACTTGACAGCAGGTGGCTTATTTGGATATTGTTCTTCGAAGGTCATAACGAGTCGGAAAGTCCCATCTTCGAAAGGAGTATCTGCGGGACCGATGATGACGGCGTTCCTATTGTTCCATTGTTGGCATCAAATTCTTCAATCTCTAATCTTCTGGAAGAAATATTTACCAAAGCATAACATTATCTGCAACAGGAGATGCTGAAACACCAGCGGGAGGATCCGTTTGCATGCGCTATAGATAAAGGTTAAAATCCCCTTCGAATAATGATCTTGTGCCCCTCCATTTTGTTGGATGACGGTTGCCACTAACCTTGAAATCTCGCATAAGACGACGACGAGCAGCTGTAGACATGATAAACTATGCGAATGATAATCAAGAATCAGAATGTGGACTTTTGATGGATCGAGGTGGGTTTGAATGAATTGGGATGTTTTGTGTATAGGACGCAGCTTTAAGGTAGGCCGAAAAGTAAGTTCTATCGGATGGTTGGTTGATATTGGTGTCCGATCTGAGAGCCAGCGACGGAAATTTATGTCGGTTCCCGTAACCTTAAATGATAATGGATAGCGATAAGTGTGGGTAGATATCGGGATATTTTGATTGGAAAGGAATCAAAAATTCGAGATAAAAAGAATTAAGGAACTTTAAGATGAAGTCAAGATGAATTCAAGATTCTTATTAATAAGGTAACGTAGACCGCTTTCAATCAAACCCCTTCATGCAAGAATGAATAAATGAATTGCCCGCGAACCGCCACGCAAACAAGGTATCAAGTAATCATGTTCATGTTATCGTTGAGTCACGTGTAGATTAGCTACCAAAAGCTAAGCTAAGAGCTAATTTGGCTTAGCTGCCCGCTTTCTCCGTTACTTGGTCCGAGCCCCATTTTGGCTTGGGGTAAATGGTAAATGGAATGCATTCCGCCGGTGTTAACCGCGGGTCAAGTTAAAACTGAATAATGATTATCATAAGCATGTTACAATTGTCTTCTCTTCACTTCTCTTCATAAAGCTTTTCAATTATTCTTTCATTCTCTTGTTATTTCCGAACTTATACCTATCATGTTTTCGCATACTGCCAGATCCTCGATTAGAAATTTGAGGATGTCATCTCCTTCATCACGGTTGGCACAAGTCCAAAGGCAATTCAGTGCAAGTACCTCGGCGAAAAAAGAGATTCAAGATGCATACATTTTGAGTGCATCACGAACACCTACAGCAAAAGTAACTCAAATCCCTGTTTGTAGGTAATATATACTGATATAGATGCTAGTTTAATGGATCTTTTCTTACTGTTACTGCCCCTCAGCTTGGCGCTGTAGCTATCAAATCTGCACTCGAGAAATCTAAGGTTCCTGTCGAGAAAATTACAGATGTATACATGGGAAACGTATTACAGGGCGCAGTGGGACAAGCACCAGCTCGGCAAGCCTCTATGTTCGCAGGCCTACCTTCAACAGTCGAAGCGGTCACTATAAATAAAGTATGCGCCTCTGGAATGAAAGCTGTTGTGTTAGCGGCACAAAATATTCAACTCGGCCTCGCAGAAGCTCAAATTGCCGGTGGAATGGAAAACATGTCTCGAGTACCATACTATTATCCTCGAGCTAGCAGCCTTCCTCCATTTGGGAATGTACAGGCCGAAGATGGACTAATCAAAGATGGATTATGGGATGTCTATAACCAGTTTCATATGGGTGTGTGCGCGGAGAGTACGGCAAAAAAATACGAAATTACACGAGAACAACAAGACGAATACGCTGTGCAATCATACAAACGGGCACAAGAAGCATGGAAAACGGGTGCTTTCAAAGATGAGATTGCTCCGGTAACTGTGAAAGGTCGAAAGGGGGAGACCATCATTGATACAGATGAGGGTTACATGGATATTAAATTCGACAAAGTATCCTCATTGAAACCAGCATTTGTCAGAGATGGAACTGGCACAGTCACAGCTGCCAATTCTTCGACGTTTAACGATGGGGCTAGCGCTCTGGTGTTGGGAAATAAAGCCATTGCACAGCAATATGGAACAGGATCAAGAGTCTTGGCACGGATTTGTGGCTCTGCAGATGCTGCAATCGACCCTGTAGATTTCCCAGTAGCTCCCGCCAAGGCAGTACCGATCGCTTTAGAACGAGCAGGAATCAGAAAGGAAGATGTAGCAATTTGGGAATTTAATGAAGCATTCGCGGCTGTTATTAAGGCAAATGAAAAGGTTCGTTCCTGTCTTGATTAGACTGGAGGGGAGTGCTAACATCATCTAGATCCTTGGGCTCGAAAATGCAAAAGTTAACCTTCTTGGCGGAGCCATCTCACTTGGCCATGCTCTTGGAAGTTCGGGTTCACGAATTCTCACAACATTGTTGCATCAGTTAAAGGTCGGAGAATACGGTGTTGCAGCGATTTGCAATGGTGGTGGTGCTGCGACGGCGATCGTCGTACAAAGGATTGATAGTGTATAATTATTATTTATGATATGTGGAGTAGTAATTGGTCCGGGTCTAGGTAACTGAATTAAGAAGAATTTATCAAATTTGATGAATTTCATTTGGGATCTGTTAGGAACAAAATAAAACGTGAAAAGGAGGAATAATATTCAGACTAAAGTTCCCTCCAGCCGCTTCCGCTTACCAATTTCTAGAAAAGGGGGAGTATTTTCACATGTCAACAGACCGAACCGAGATATAAAGATGCCATCCCGCTTCGCTTGTGACATCATCGAGTACAGTGACCAACACGACTAGATGCTTTTTTTTTTGGTTTCAACGTCCAAATTCTCTGCTGCATTTGTTTTGCAATACGCAATTCGAATTTTGCAAGGAATGACAGTACAGTATCAATTGAGGTAATATAACGGAAAGGGTACGAGTAAAAGAATTGAATTCGCGGTGGATGGATCATCCAAGGAGGTTTACTGTGCTATTTTTTAGCCTGCGTCGAGATAGTTGTAATTTGGTTTGATATGGTATTGTATTATACATATCTTTTCCTTCTTCCTTTTTCCTTTTCCTATCTCTCCATTCCTCCCTCTTCCCCGTCTTCACTTCCATATTTTACTTTTATATCTATATAAAACTCAATTAAATGTTCATTATTCGAGTAGTACTAATCGCTAGTCTAGAAATCTAAATTCCCAAATCCCCCTTATAATCCACACCCCCCTGTTTCGACAGTCCTCCTGCCCAAAAAGCAAAGAGACTCTCGAAATGTAAGTTTATATCTGATGTATCGTTTTCGCACCTCTTGTGTTTATGTTCTGTGCCTGCCTTTTCTTCGGTGAATTTATTGATACCGGTTTGCGGGGAGGTTAATAGTAGATGGGTGTGGTGATATGCGTGTTTGTCGATGATATACTTGAGGAAGGTGTTTGAGTCCGAGGGTTGTGGTGGGGGTTGATGGGGTTAGTATGTTTTTTCTTTTTGTTTGGGATAGAGATGGGGGGAGGGAAGGGAGAAAAATAAAAAGGAAAAAGAAAGGGGGATGACTAAACGACATAGAACATAAGCCCGAAACTCACACCCACCTCCTCTTCATTCCCTCTGAGATCCTCTTGATACTTCATCGCTTTTCTTTCTGTCTTGATTAAGCGGTTGATTGCTGGATGTATCTAGCCCATCTAGCAGCTAGCTAGTACCCTCCCTATCTATGGTACATATTATACTAACCTATCATTTTCACGACATATTAGGCACATCTTCTATATACGTACGAATTATTTCAGGTTTCGTGGGAAACGACATCATTTTTGTAGGAATCTGGATAGGTGATAATCTGAAGGTAGATTAGGTTGTATCTGTGAATATTAAAGTGCAAATCTGAGTCGAAAACTGGTTGGTTTATGTGTTAGTTGGCAACGGCAAGTATCTGTCTGTGTTTCTTCCAGAATGATAATTATTGCACTCCACATCTTTTCATAATATGAGTCAGGGTAGTCATTCCACTTGAAGCTGAAGTCTAAACTATGCTCCATTTTCCGCCATATACCGTCTGCTGCTTCGATACGACTCGGAAAGCGGCCACTGTCAACGGCCAATTTGACGCTCCAAATATACGAACAGATCTGTTTCGTCCATTTTGGAATCTAACTGGGCGCTGGCACACGGCTGAAGACGCTTCATGACTTCTGGGAAAAGCTATTCACACTATCCTTTATACCTGTAGATCAATCATTTGGACCTCTATGAAGATATACTTTCACTATTTCAGGGCTTTCTACCTTTTAGCGTAATTCATGCGCCTCAACAATTTAAGCGTCCATATATCGTACCAGTATTGAAAGAAGTCATGAAAAGTCTGATTTCTTGTACGGCGCGCAGTCAATCAGAAGCTCTACGTTCGGGTTACTACTATTTACTTGGTCTATAAAAGAGACATCCATGTAGGGGTACCATTTACAAAAATCGCATGGTTCTCTTCAGATAAAATGGCGATTTCTCCAGATGATATCTTTACATTTTTCACTGATTTGCTCATCATTTGGCGGTATAGATAGTGTAGTATATGATACTATATGACAACTGAGTTTGTATACTCGTATGGAAAGAATGTGAAAGGTTGTTTCGAAGCAATGCCGTTCGTCGTCTGAAGTGGCATTAGTCTAAATGATTTATAAAGCCACTCAGAGGCCCGTGTATTCGTGTATGCAGCCCTAAATTAAGCTTATTTGGTCGTAACTTCAACGTCGGGTCTAATCTGTAATCGCTAGATTCACTGTTCGGCCATATGGAGATTTCCCTTGCTTAATACTCGTTGTTGCAGGAAAATGATGTTTACCAAATTTTAGCTTTACACGCCATTTGATTCCAACTTTGTTGCAGATTATCACCATCAAGTGTTGGTAGACTGGTTCATCAACCTGATCAGCTCAGTCTCCAGCATGAAATGACTAAAAAAGAGACATGGAGGCAGAGAGTATGTCTTTAGTGATATATAAGATTAGAAACTCCCTAACCTGCCACATACGACCATAGACTAAGGAGAATTGGGCATCCCGTCCGCTCTGCCATACACAAGCCTTAGATCGGCAGATTAGTAGTTGGGTGGGTGACCACCAGCGAATCCCTGCTGTTGTATGTATTTTTTTCTTTCAATATTTTATCTTTTTGAAGATTTGGTCCTCTCCGATATCCCCCCTTTCTAACTGTCCCCCCACAGACAAGTTCTGTTGTTGGTCTGATCACTATTGTTAAAAAATGTCTTCCGGAATGTCAAGTATCAAGCATCAAGCGAGCTTTTTGAAGGGTGATATTAAAGGGGCTTCGAGAATCTGGAAGGAAAGCCGCCGTCTTTCACTTTCCTATCTATTATTGAGCGGATCCTTTCGAGTCAAATGTCTCAATCACATAAGTCAATCCATTTTTAAATCTTGATAGCAAGAACTTGTGCATTCTTTTCAACAATACGAGTAAAAGCACTGCCAAGACTATTATTCCCTCTGAATTCATACTGAAACATCGGCAAAAGAAAAAGCTGCAGCAGGGGCCTGCAAGACACTTTTCGAAATGGTATTGTAAAAACCTACCGATTTCCAAATCAGGTAATATACGGGTGGCACAATTTTACAAGGTTTTATAGGACTGGGAGTACATCTCCATGGGTTCCATACTTTTAGGTGGTATTGTGCATTCGTGTCGGCTATTTACTTACGAGTCGGCAAATCAGAACGCAGATCTACGCGCGACGGTTTCCCTCTCGGTTAAAATTAGCATATCAGGAATCTGATCCTCCCCCCCAACCCCAAATCCTTTGTTGGGTCTGAGCTTGAAATAACTGCGGTTATGAGAATTTTGCTCCAAGCTCATGGGGATAGAGAATTTTTATTTTATTGGGCTGCTGCATCAAGCCGGAGAACATTTAGCTTCGTGCGTCTTGAAATTGAGCTGAACTGCACAACTCAATAATTCACCAAAATCAACAATGTAAGGCTCTGGAACAAGAGTGTCTGTTGTTTCCTATATCGCTCTTGAAAGGGTAAACTTCCACGGTCTATGGTGGAAACGGTCTTAGGATATTCGCAAGATTCGCGGTGCTACAGTAGCATTCTGAAGTCATCGCCCCTCCACCAAATGGAAGGATGATTTAGGTGTGGTTGCACTGTAACATCGCTGATGCCTTAGCTTGGCTTCGCCGTCAGTATTTGATGTATTTTGAGGCATGATTCGATTCCTTCGATTGCATTCACTTTTGCCTGTCTATGTCTATCTATTATAGAGTTCTCCCGTGGAAACTGGATTTCAGTGAGTCAAACTCGACACGTTTGCTTTGTACTCTCTTTTCGTAATATCATTTTCTGGTATTTTCTTCTGGTGAATTTCTACCATGTCGTTATATCCAAATGCAACCATTGCGGTTATCATTTGTACCGTATTTCCAATTATGTCTGGATTAGCCGTGGGTTTGAGATCCTATGCCCATAGAAGACTTTTAGGAAGTCCTTTTCGCACTGATGACTATCTCATTATTTTTGGACAGGTAAGTCATTCTGCAAAGACCGTCGAACAGGAAATCTAACTTCGATTAGATAATCGCCCTCTCAACATGTATAATGGGGGTCTATGGCGCTTGTGAAGCAGGATTTGGATGGCCACTCCGAGAAATTGCTCGATTTGGCGTTCAAGAGTCATTCGGCAAGGTAGTTCCTTTCCCTCATTTGATAACGAGACATTGCTAACTTGAGATAGATGGTCCTCGTTAGTCACGTATTATGGGCAAGTTCTATTTCTGTGATTAGAATTGCATTGCTGTTCTACTATCGACGATTGTTCTCCACACGAACTTTCATGATCGCGGATACGACTGTGATTTTTCTCTCGGTATTGTGGTGGTTGACGGCAATTTTGGTGGGCTCTTAATTATGTTCAAAGCCTACAAATTAATTACTCACACAAACTTTTAGACAACAACGATATCATTCACTTGGAATCCTCAATTCCAGCAAACCCAATTCAGCATTAACTTTTTCGCTTGGATGATAGCAGCAACTGTCATGAATATCTCTCTTGATATCGCAACACTCACTTTACCCGTATTCGTGATTGGAAGTTTGAAGTTGAGTGGGAACAAGAAGATAATGGTCTCTGGAATTTTCACACTTGGTATCTTGTAATTTTTGCATTCAATACGCATGAGATGATTCTGGACTAATAATTATTCCTCAGCTGCATCATTGCATCAGTAGTACGTCTTTACTATATCGTCACATTCTACATCATCAAACATCCTACCCCCGAAGAATCAGGTTCGTCTTTACTCTTCACTATCTACTTATACGTAACACGTTCACTAATGACCGTACTTCCACAGCTTCGGCAATATTCCACGCTTTTATCTGGGCTATAATAGAACCTTGTACTAGTATTATAGCAGCTAGTCTTCCTACCTATGCACCCATCATTAAGAAACTTTATTCAAAGGGTTATCTTAACGCATTGGGACCGTTTTCTAGTCGTAAAGATACGATTGATAGTGTTAAAAAAAGTACTACGCGTGTTGGAACTAATGGGGTTGGTGCTAGGAATGATACTCAGGTATCTGGGAGACCGGAGAGATCTGGTGGAAAGGGATGGACTGAGTTGAGGAGTCCGAGGGGGGTGGATGTTTTCGGTGGGAATGAAATTGGTATTGGTAATGATGATGATAATAAAATCGGTATGGGAAGGAAAGAGGGACTTGAGATGCATGTTTTGAATAAGCCGGGAGATGTGCATATGGGATGAGGTGAGTCAGGACTCGCGACCCGATTATCAAGAACGATCAACTTGAGTTTCACTTGGGAGAATGGTAGATTGGAATGGTCTGTATGATATCAATGAGGAATAATCGGTAATATAGTTCATGATGGAATTCTAGCTCTGTATAAAATTCACCATACATTTGCTATCAATTGAATCATGCTAATCTACAGATATGAATAAGATGTTATCTTGGCGTTGGCAGGACCGATGTATGAGAAACCTTGGGTTTTCCTATCAACACAATAAGCCTACAAACATGCCAGTTTGATTTGCTTCTACTACTCTCCCGATTCAAACCAGTCTGTCCATCTTATTCAAAATCTTACCATCCTCTTCCCAACATTGATCTTCCTATGGCTCTCATCTCTTCAAGTTTTTCTACCTTTATCGAAATAGATGATTTGCATTTATATTTTGGTCTTTTGATATATTTATACTCTCCAATTGATATGAGTAGCGTTTTCTTAATCTATAAACCCTTGAATCCAAGCCTTTTTCGGTTCTTCGTACTCCTATTCGTTCAGCGATTGTACCACTTTCTATTGCTCCTAGATTGAGAAGAATCAGAGATGAATATTGAAGAACGAGACAGTAAGCATTACTGAATTGAAAAGGGGTTGTTGATCAGAGAGTTGATTGAGTTATTGCAGTAAATTGAGATATGGTATTCAAAGATGTGTAGGTATCCAAAACAGTTATCTGCCATTCAAATTTCCATGAGAAGTTTTACTTTCTTGGGAAAGATGTATGAAGCGGAAGTTCAGTATTTCCTTTGCACCTAATTTTGAGACGAGAGAGGAGTACGTACTTACATACAAGTCTTACAAGTTGGATGGAGGCTTTAAGGTGAGCTCAATCCATCGACCCGTGTGGATTATGTTGTGAATCACTTATCGAAACATGGATGAAGTGTTCAAGGAAAGAAGTGAATGGAGTCTCCACTCCAGACTAAGTATAGTCTCATCTCGAGTAATCCGAAGAAACTCCTCACTCACCTCACGATCCCTCTATCTCTCTATTTCCCTATTAATCTCAAAAAAAATCAACGCACACAACAGTAAGACTATAATCGCACAATATAATCCACTTCATAAAGATAAATAACATATATTAACTTTCCATATCCGACCACGCGCTTGAACACTCCACCACACCAGTTCGCGACACTGCACCCACCACCAATAAATATTCAAATTCGCTAACATCCAGCACCAAACCCACCGGTCCTGATGGTGCAGTTGGCAAGTCCGCGGCCGGAACGCCTGGTGGGTTGGTGTAACAGAAAAAACGTACGGAAAGCCGATGTTTCTGGGAGTGTACCCCAGTTTTGCTATTTTGGTCGTCTGTTATTTTATTTATTTTATTTTTTTATATTTTTGGGGAGGGACTTTTTGTGAACTGAACACTGTTTGGATGGTTATGTATCAAAGCCAGGAGAGGAAGAGTGTCGAAGCGATTGATAGAGTGGAGAAAAGGATATTTTGAGTTTAGAGGGGGGGAGGGACTCAGTGTACAGATTCAAGCTTCAGTAATGATGAACCATATACGATAATGGGGTTCTGGTATGGAGAGGACTGATATTATTATTGATGATGGAAAGTGAGGCTATATAGACTCGCTCATCGCACCTGCCATATTCATTCCTAAGAATGATCAGGTATATCTAGCATATTACAGAACAGAATCGAGAATTCCAAGGAAATTATCCTATCCCCATTAAATGCGACTACTGTACTAACTGAAATATCATTCTGGAGCGAGATTTTGCTTCCATTTATTCGCTGCTTTATTTACAGAGAAAGACCAATCAATCACTCAAATACCTTCTTCACAATAAGAGTTCCATTGAGTCTTAGAGATGATGGTTTCTGGCAATCAGATGAAGTATTCGACATCAATATCTTTATGTGTGAATCCTCGGAAAAATTACTGTATATGATTAAGCTACCAGGAGCCAACAGAGTGTTAATCTTTACCTGATGTGCACTCACTCCTATGCCGAATGAAACTAACTTCATACTCCCAAAAGGTTATCATCTTCCTCCAAAACAAGCTTACATGTCCAACAAGAAAATCAAAATGATGAACCTTTTCCGCAGAATACGCCGTCTCAACAAAAATCCACCACTGCCACTCCCACTTCCTTCTCTCCCCAAACCCCAACCCTCACCCCTTTCACTTCCTCCTCCTCCTCCTCCTACTCAAAAACTCAACCCCAGCGACTGGCTCCGCCGCGCCCAAATCTTCGACTCCAACATCCACGTACGAGTTCTCCTCATACAAATATTCCACGCTCCAGACAATTGGTGGCATAATTTTATCTCTCATTGCGAGCATGATTTGAGGAAACAATATAGACATTTGGAGAAAGGAGTGGTGCCCAAGGAATGGAAAGAGGAAATGTGGAATACGTATTTACCAGAGCAGATGGCGAGGTTGAGGAGAGAATACGGGAGGGAATTGAAGAGGGAGGTGGGTGGGGTGGTGCTGGTGTTGGGTGCAAGTGAGGTTAGGGGTTGTATTAATTGGATTATGTTTTGTTTGGGGGAGTTGAGGGGGATGGGGCTGCATTGTGTGTGGTGAATGAGGTGTTGTGTGCACGTGTGTGGTGGGTTAGTTCGAACTTTATTTGGTTTGGATGAGGATTTACAAGGAAGATTTAGAGTGCTAGGAACTTACGAAGTCATTTCGGGGTAGTTTCGATTAGTATTGTTGAATATCAATTTATGTTTTGGACATACGAGTAAACCTTCTTGAGATACCAAGATGCATTGAATCAAGAAACTCGATCAAGGCATTTTTAAAAAATACCAATTCTTTATATCATCCGATATAATTGAGGTGGTGCAAAATAGTGGGGAAATAACAATGTGAATTTGACTCGCTAAAAAGGCATTCGCCCCTTTTGTAAGATTTTGATCCACATCAAGAAGAGGCTTTGATGACATTCACAAAATGCATTATCGTAGTAAATCACATATTGTACTATCAAACGCATGTTATCATTTTGCCATATGATCAGTGAGTTGATCAAATGTTTGAATGCAATTTGTGAATGGATATATGAACTCCTCGGCTTTTTTGCTAAAAATCTGCCTATTTATTTCCAGTCTTCCCTGTGTAGATACTTTTCTATATCTTAGCCACAACACGACAACACGACAATACACAGAGACTACTTTACAGATATCGACTCAAAAGAAGATCATCTTTATATCAAAGTACCAACAAAAACCCGAATCAACATGGCCCCTCTAAACTACGCAACACCTCCCCCCCATATCGAACCAACCCATCCTCTTGCATCCCCAATCCTCCCCCCGACAACCACCTAAACAACCTCATCCACACCAACCCCCACATATTTCAAACCTTCAACTCCACCCACTGGCTCCTCGAAACCCAACGCCAACACAACCAACCCACACATTACCGCACTCTCCTCTCCCAAATCTTCCACGCCCCCGATTACTGGTGGCACGAATTCATACTAATCTGTAATTTGGTTTTACAACCCAAATTCGCAAACTCAAACACATCTGTGTGGAATTTCTATACCACGTCGCATCTAAGTGCTATGCGAGCGGAATATTTGACCGGCGGGAGAAGATTTGAGGATGTGTGTGGGGAGTTGTGTAATTGGTTGGCTTTTTGTATTAGGGAGTTGAGGAATCAGGGGATGGAGTGGAATTCTGATGCGGTGGGTAGTTTGTGCGAGGCTGGGGATAGGAATGATGGGAATAGGGGAGATGAAGGTCGGAGTGAGAGGAAAGAAAGAAAACAGAGAGAGAAGATTGAGAGGGCTATTGGTAGGATGGTGTTGAGAGGGGAGTGGTATTGGTAATAGTTTGGTGAAATGGGTATGAATATAACTAGTGATGATGGTTATTTAGTTTTGGTTAGATTTTTGTTGTCATGTTACTGGCTAGCACTTTAGCTGAGCTGGCGAGATTTTAGGGTAGCTTAGGGTTTGAAATGGTGGGACTTTGGATACTATCAATATATATACGTTGATGTTCAAGAAATGTTATTTGCATCGATGACACCTGTAAAAAGAAATTCGGCACATTTTGCTGAAAAAGTAGTATTTGTGTACATGTGAAGGTTCTCGAGGGTGATGTAGATGATAGTTCACTTGTAAGTAATCTGCTTCAATTACAATGTTACAGCATATCATCATGCCATTATCGAAGAGTAGAAACACTTCTTCAAAGCTGTCAGTTTGGTGTAGACTCGTTCATTTTGCAATCAGGATTCCCCCTTGAGTCTTGTGAATGTCAACTAGTCAAAGATGTCACGCTGTCATGGAATCAAACATAGAACCCAATTGTCAAAATACTGGCACTTCATTCACTGTTATGGTAACAATAATGTCCCACACCCAACAACCTAACTGGACCACCTCATCCACATCCTCATCCTCATCCGCAGCACAATAGTAATCCACCCCACAACCGCACAATAGTCAACACAACACACAAGATATCCTCACGCCCAAACACCTATCTAATGATATTCCTTCCAACAAGCTTTTCTTTCAAACCCATCTTATGCCTCTCAAAGTTCAACCCCAATCGCCAAGATATCCTCCATCCCCTCTCCAAACCCAACATTATGAGCGCACTACTCACGCGCTGTAAATATCTACGAGGAAAACCAACAGAAACAATTGGTATTGCTATGGCTATCGTTACAAACCCCGAAGGAAAATGGTAATCTTACAATTACAATTACAATTACAGCAGCATCTCATCTAGCCTGGATAGTAGCTCGACAGGCGGGCGCTTTTTATAAATATAAAAAATAATCATAATATAGGAGTCTATTCCAAGAATAATTATCGTCGAGGATCCAAGGAAACTATGGCGCACCAATCACTAGGCCATGGAACAATACTGCGAATTACTGCGCGGGATTTAGATAGATGGAATCGAAAAGGTTCCCGGTTATACAGGTAGCTTGGTGACTGTAGAGTTAGCAGCGGATCAACATCTGCCCCCACCCATGATCTAAAGGTTCAGAGAGAAACAGACACAACCCGCACAGCCAACCCATCAGAATCAGCATTAGCATTAAGTTCCCGCTCTCGAGCACTTCCTAACCGTCTAACGACTTCCCCCCCTTGCCCAACACCGCGGCTTATATCAAGCAATCGCAATCAATCACTGTCTCCTGCTCGAAATTAGGTAGATTTATTGGAGGAATTCTTTTAAGGAGAAGGATTAATTAGATTTGAGGTATTTTGATAGAAATGGTAGATACTTCTCCAGTATTTAGCAGATATATAGATTTATAGAATACACCAATACAAATTCCCATGGCAGCCATTGATAAAACCAAAACAACAAAGATCCCGAAAGTATTGCAGTGTACAACAATGGTGAAAATAAACCATGAAAATGATTCATAACATTCGTGAGTAGAGTACCACCTATATAAAGTACTTTATATACTCGTACATCATAATGACATAACTTCATCATCATCTCCCTCATCTCCCGCCCCTAACTTTTCCTATTTTCATTGCCTCATTCATCGCTTTTTCAAGCTTTTACATACATACCTACATATCTCCACTTCGCATTTTCGTACAAGAACAGGAACATCATACCAGGAAACCCTCCCAGACCTGTTACCAAACGACATGCCCTATTACGCCATCATAATTCTTTTGGAAGCGACAAGCCCTCCTTTTCCACTCTTTACCCCTCCCCAAGCACAGTCAACGACTCTTCCCACCCAAATCCAATACTTTTATGTCCCAAAAAAATACTCATCAAGTAGATTTATACCCGCCGGTCCCCCTCCCGCTCCCACTCCTCCCATCGTCGTAACATCCCCAAAGTTCTCTCCAAATTCCGCATCAAACCCACTCAAATCCCAATCATTTTCCCCCGCTTCTCCCACGCCACCATATCCTGGACCTGCATAATTCAAAAACCCCAGCCCTGGCGTATTCTGAAAATCAAAATTATAGGCATTATTGTTGCCACTACTTTCATTGTCAGGATTATATTGATACATTTCTGGATTTTGATTTTGGCCCGGAAGTGACGTATATCCTTGGACAGGACTTTGTTGAGGAGGGAAGAGATTTGGATTGAGGTTCGTGTTGTTGTCAAGATTACTAAATGGAGGTGTGATGGCAAAGTTGGGGGATGAGTTGGCATCGTTTTTATACGCATCGAATTCCATCTTGACTGCATTGCCTGAACCACTGCTATTTCTCGAATTAGGCCTTTCACCGGGAAAACCACCTATCGGTTGATTGTTCCCAGAAGTCTCTCTAGAATGTCCTTTTGTACTAATTGGCGGAGCTTCCGGAGTGAATAGGTCATTGAGACCCATGTCAAATTGAGGCTTTGGACGACTAGTCTGAGGGGGTTTTCGAAGTCGAGAGCTATTGGCATTGAAGTAATCATCTTGTTGGGGTTGTGAATGATGTTGGCCACTAGTATGATGAGGACGTCTCGAATGGAGACCTTGTTGGGCCCCAGAACCAAAACCAGTGGTAGACATACACATCTGAACTGTAGCTTTGGACATGCGGTCAAACGCATCTCGGCACGCCTCAGCTGGAGGACATTTCTCAATAAGATCTCCTAGGACAGATGTTGCGGCTAGTATTGTAAAGTCGACTTCATCCATTGTCTAACATCACAATTAGTAACCTTAAAAATTGAGATGAATATACGTAAACCTACCAATCGACTCCTGACAACCTGAGAATGCCAAATAGCATATAAAAATGATATCCCAGCCATAAACAAATGATGCGTCGCTAAGAAAGTATAATTAACAAGTCGCACGCGATGCAACTGTCTGTACAATCTCAGCACTCTCTGCCCAGCCTCCGCAACCTTCAAAAAGACCCTCTCTTCATCTTCCCTCAGCTCCACGTTGAGTATACTGGGACTTTCCACCTCTTCACTCGTACTAAATTCTCCTTCAAACATTGGCGGTACACTCAAACTTTGTCGATACAACATGATAACACACTGCCAATAATTGAGCTCTAAAAAGTCTACTGAGAACTCTACACCCGTCTCCCGTTTGGTGGGAGCTGATGTCTTCCATTCCCAGAGACGTTTGTCGATATCGATACGCCAAGAACGAAAACTGTCGAATTTCACCAGAAACGGAGATGGAAGTTGTGTATGCATGAAAGGATTGCGTAGATTTGCGCCACCCGCTCGCACATGTAGTGCCTGTTGATGTTGTAATACTTGTAGAATCTCAGACTGTAGTAGTCTAAGACGGAAGTAATGATATGCCGCATGTTTATAACTTGCTACACCAACCCCAGGATCCTGTAGACCGGCAGGCGTGATATATTTGTCGTCGAGCAAGGAGGGAAATTCGGTTGTGACCACTTGATCGGTGATACCAAATGGTCTCCCAACACATGTCGAAACAAGTCGATCAAAAGAGTATGTGCACCACCACAATCTTCTTCTATAATCACGAATATACTCACGACGACCTCGTTCTCGCATCGTACGTTCGCGCTGTAACCTCACTGTCTCCGCATCCTTTTTTTTTCGACCCAGGTGCCTCCAATATGGGGACTTCAGTATCCTTCCCATCTTCATAATGTAAACCGAGATCAACTGCTAACCGAACCGCCACTCCAATGATGTACCACAACCCAGGAGCCACAGGTCTCAGCAGCGCAAATCCAGCCAGAAGCAAAACAGCTTGTAATTCCTCCAATCCCCCACCAAAGCCATCGACTCTATCGACTGAAGAGCTGAGGCACGCCTCGAGATGAACGATTGCTGACGCGTGATATTCCTCAGGCTGACTTTGTTTTCCGCTGTTCGTGCGCTTTGAATTTTCGCCATCATCGACATTCTTTTCCGCGTCTCCTCGAACGCTGCCAGTATCACCAAGGAAGATTCCCGCACCAATAGCAAACACAATGTTAAGCATATAGAGTTCTCGAGGACTTCGGATTTTATTATCTCCAGTCGCATACGCCTCCTCAAACATTTTCATGAACTCTCCTCGATGTAATATAGGTATCTGTGGATTTGCATGCTCGAAATAAAAGTCCACCAATCTTTTTCCAACATCCTTATCGGGGAATGGCGCCTGTTTGATCGTAGGTTTTGTATGCAAACCAAAGAATGAATCACGCATCGAAGTTCCCCCTGGTGCAGCAGCTTTCGAATTTCCAGGCGGCCGTGAAGGCCTCACACCACTCGTATCACTAGCCACGCCCGATACCGAAGATCTCACCGCTGCGAATACCACTCTTGCAAACGATATTCCGGATGTCGAGCCCAGGTATCTCTTGTCTGAAGCCCCTTGCACAGAAACACTCTCAATGTTTGAAATCAATTTGTTCACCTTCTCAGACTCATCCTGCCTCCTATTCCACGTCACTTCATCCTGCGTTTGTTTCCGCGCAAGAGCCGAATCACCATTGAATACCGATCTGCCATCGTCACTGGGAGTATGTACCGCTGCAGGATCCGTCCCTGGCTTTGGAGAGTGTTCTAGGACTTCAGCTGGCGCAAATGCGATATTATTTTGTAGTAGCAAGGATTCGAGATGTGCTGTTCTCGTCTCCAAATAGTATACATAACTGTCAATGTCCGGTATTAGCCCTCAATATTTCAATCAATCCACTGTAAGCAAAAGGTAGAGAAAATTCACCTCCTAGGTATTTCCCTCTTAGTGATTGGATCATAGCCCACACACTTATGCCCCGCCTTCTCACAACTCGCACAGCTGGGCAAATTCTGATCGCATTTATTCTTTCTCAACCGACACCTATTGCACGCGCTCACATTGCGAAAACTGCTACTTTGTCCCGTCTTAGCACCCACAGGTCCCTCAACCTTCACCAGCAATGGTTCTGCATGCACAATATCCTCTGATTGAATTTTCGGACTATCATTTTTGGCTACCGCAGCAGATGTACTAGAAGACTCAGGAGGACTATGCCTTGCTCGTTTGTTTGAATAACCACTTGCATTCGCAGGCGGCGAGTGGGGGGTCATCGTCTATGGTCTTCTCGATTTCGTCGAATGCGCATGCGTGTGAGCCTTCCGCGCAGTGAATGGTATCGATGCTGGACTGTGTCGTTATAGATCAAAGTCGCGCATGCGATTGAGTATACTGGCCCCTATATCCGTCTAATCTCTCTCATCCTGCTCTTTCTCAACCTCCGAGTTTGCGATTGTATAATGATGAATTCAATTTCGGTATGATAGCTTTGTAATCATTACGGTCGCTCGACAGAAAGGTCGGATGGTCTGTTATCGCATCAGTCAAAAGAAGAATTCTTCTCCAGTATTCAGATAATAAATATACATCAATTCAACACTATTGAACGAGAGCCGCGTCTTCCTCTGCAATAATGCGTGGGATTTTACCTTTACCCGTGAATGTACAATTCTAGCTGTAGAAAATCCATGGAGTAAACATTTCACTGTACCTGGGCAAAGGCTAGGGTGAAGAGTTTCCGCTAAATGTCATTGATAGATAGGCGGGAGTGAGCTGAATGATAAGAGCTTCGACCAATAGAATACATTCATTCGAAGATTTTCAAGCCCATTCTACTTGTAGCAGTGTTGTTGATGACTTGATAGCATCGAGTAAATCATTTAGCAAGGAATGTCTATTCGGAGTAAAGCTTGGATTCTTCAAAGAAAAGGGGCATCATGTTAGGTAATCGGTAAAGCTCAATCAATGAAGGGGTAAATTGCAAGTGTCGTTCAGTCATTCATCAAGTGATTTCTATAATCGAGTAAAAAAGTGTCTGAAAGAAGTATAAATAAATGAATAGACCGAATGGCCTACCCTATCGATATGATAATAAAACTACCTAGACGCCATGTAGTATGCAAGCTAAGCCAAGCCTAGCCATTGATTCTTCCAACCAGCCAAAAAAAAGTTATCTGCAACTGGAACTGCAATCCGGCAGTCCATCCCTAGTAGGCAGTGCAATATCAATATCTTCCATGTGTCGAAACTCCTCCCGTCCTGATAGTGTGAAGAACAGAATACCGTTTTCGCAAACGATCCTTTCTGTGTAGCTCCGTAGCTCCATAGCTCCAATTGCGCCCCAAAAAAAACCCAAAATAAAATATCATCACCGTGATGTATAACGCTCAGAGGCATAAGGGATATCTAGCTTCGAAGAACCCCACGGAAGCTGCCCAAAATGGCCCAAAAAGATATTTTTATACAGATGCCCTCCCAAAAGCAGTCTCAAAGAATTGAAGGATTCAAAAGAAATGTCATTAGTCGTAAATCGATAAGAAATGATCAAGGTATCATTTAGTTGCCGATACTCGTGTTTCTTGGCTCGGCGCCAGCGGCGATGCCAGTTTCTGGGGCACAGTGATCAAGCATTTGGTCGTCGAATGCTTGCTCCTGATCTTCTTCACTCTTCTCGTCAACATCCATTCTACCGCCCGTGTCTGTCATGTAGAGACTGATTATGGCACCGATCATGGAAATGATAGCACTACACCACCACGCAAGACCGGAGTATCCCAAACTGGCACCGGCCGACAAGAGGAATCCTGATACGGTAGGTCCAAAGGCTCTGGAAATACTGGCGGTTGATGCTGCGACACCGTTGATAGTTCCTAACATCAAGAGTGATGGTGCCGAATTGGTCAAAAGAATAGCATTGCTTGGGTAAGTCATGGTGGAGAAAGTGCATTTCCAAATGACAATCACATACAAACCGATCATCTTAAGATGATCAGGGAGTAGGACCAAGTAGGGTGTAACAATGTAAAGGATCGGATAGGAGATTGCCATAGTTCTGAACAAGTTCAAAGGTCCAAGACGTCGAACAACGATTGGGAATAGGAAGATGGTAGCAATCATTGAATATAATCCTTGGACCGAAAGAACTACACCGACATCCGAAGAGCTCATTCCATATGTACCCACGAACTTAAAGGGCAACTGAGGTTCTGGGAATGGTGGAGCATCTTCCTCTGGTTTGTAGGAGAGCATTGTTGGGAGCATGGAATCGAAAGTCATTGTGTGGCTGTAAATCTCGGGTTAGTTACTGAATCTGTATGGGTCGTGCAGGAAAACGTGGAAAACCGGATACTTACTAAGCCAATATACCATAACCGATAATGTTGATGACGACCTGTCTCGTAAATGCCTTCGTTGCTGCAGGTTTACTTCTTGCATGAACAACAAATTGATCATGTGCATTCAAATCCAGGGGGTCTTGCGGGTCTTTCGAACCCGCAGTTGATGAAAGTGTAGGTGATCCTTGAGTTGTTCGATATCCTGGTGGCTGATCCTCTGAATCACCATTAAGCAATGAAAGAATCTCGTCAGCCTCTGCCACCTTTTCGCATCGACTATTTTTTGATTCGGTGCATCGTGTGAATTTGCTGATAATCCATTTTCCTGCTTCCAATCCGGGATCCCGACGATATTTCTTCTCCGAATGTGTTTCCTCCAAGAATAATATTCCGACGATTACTCCGCAAGTTACGATAACTGTACAAACGAGGTTAGGAAGAAGATAAGGGAACTTTTCCCAAATCGACCCATGCTGAAATATTCCTGGCCAATTGACTACGGGTCTCGCCAGTGCGCCTCCGAGGGACGGTCCTAAAATTGATCTACAAATTGTGATATTAGCAAAAAGTTGAGGGCTGACAAGAGCTGACAATTAGGTCAGAACTTACCCGAGACACCAGACGAATGGCATGATTGTATACGCGCGAGCTATGACTTGTCAGAACGAGGCTCAGAAACCCAATGTGATAGATCACTTACGCTGATGTTCCTTCACCGTCACCATCTCGGCTACCGTGGTTTGCAAAACGCCAATGTTTCTAGAAGAAGTAATTCGTTAGACTTTTTTGCCTCAAACAATGTCAGGGGGGCCGGAAACATACCCGTTCAAGAGACCACCCAGCGCGCGTGCCAATAATGCTGTTGGCAGATTGGGCGAAAATCCAAAGATAAGCATACTCAAAGCCGTACCCGCAAGCCCGGTAAGCAGAACCGGTTTTCGTCCAATTTTATCGCTCAATCGACCCCAAGCCACTCCAGATGAGAATTCTGCGAAAGCGAAAGCCGATGTGACCATGCCACAGTACATGAATACTTGAGCATCGTTGTCGGTGATATGGAAATCCTTGACCATGAAATATACATAAGGGAAGATGGACATAAAAGCAATGGGTTCGCAGATTCGACATAATGCTAAAGTATGGATCAGTAATTGTACAGTTTAGATAGTTACTGCAATACAAGCCACAATGATGGTTACACAAACTTACCCAGGATTGTCATTTGCTTCGTGGGGAAGGGAGGGGTCCGCCTCCGCGCTCCCGTTTGTCCTGCGGCGGAATGCATATCCGCTACTTCTCTAATAGAGCTTCGATGGGAACTTGAGGTGGAAATGGTTTGTTTTGTCAAATAGCGTAGTAAATCTGAGTGCTTGAAATGATTCGACGATAATGTAAAATTGTGAAAAAGGCGATGCTTCAAAAGGTTGGGAGTATGTTTATATATTGTTTCGATCCTTCTAAATATGCTTCCCGGGTTTTGCTTTCTGTTGTGTAATCAAACTTTATATGTTCGAACTGGGTAGATGCACGAACAATATAAGGTTCGAGAAAAGCAAAAAAGGTGCTTTATTATGAAAGAAGAAAATAAAAGAGTAGTATGAACTAAAAGATCCAAGCAATGATGAGTAGCAAGGTAAGAGATATATAGCTGACCGCTGGATGGAGACCTTTAAAAGTATAATCAGATGTAGTGGATAGTAGCGGCGCTGACTTTAATACAGTTCTGATTATAGTAGTTCATCAGTAGTTCATCAGGCGGTGACGAGGATAAGATATTACAGTCGTGGCTCATCCGCTCCCATGCTAAAAGTCCATGTTGAGCGTTGTCTATGGGGCGTACACGGGTTTGGGCCTCTGTGCTAGAAGCCGTGTATCAGACGGTACTACCGTATCCACCACGCCCCCGGCATATGTCTCCGTGACCCGTTGGGCTAAAGAGGAGGGAGAATTTAAAGAGGGACGATTATTTAGATACTGTTAGCAGGCTACTCACATGGAGGAAACCCTGTCCTGTCACGACTTGGGTGGATTAGGTCTTTGGTTAACTTTTTTTGGTAGCGTCGTGGATCAGGGAAAATATATTGTACATGGCTCGCAGGGGCATTTTTATTTGCGGCGGCGGTGTGAATGGTGGAGGGAAATGTCAAAATGTAAAAATGCTTGGACGTGGATGACTCTATCATCATGAGCTATTTGTCGTGATACTCTTTGTGGAGTGTTGTGGTTATGCCAAAATAGGCATGATATTAAGGTTGATATGATGTTAATGTTTCCCCTTTCCATGGTTACGCACACACACTTTATTATTGTTGGGTGAAGATCCCCCCGGAAAATACTTCGACAAGGTAAGGAGAATGCAACCTGGATAGATATCGTCGCTGTGTGTGCTGTACTGCTGTTGTCATGGTCGGAAACGTGTTTTACCGTATTCATCTATTCCAACTGTATTCTACATACAGTAATCTTCATGGGCTTTAGATGCACTCAAATGGTACTCTATCTTTCAGCTTTTTCCCTCGTGCTCACTTTTGGCATTCCGAGTGCTGCCAAGCTTATCTAAAAGGGGTACTTGATGCGATAGTTAAGCCTAGAAGAAGTTATAACGGCTCATACGTCGGTGAATACGGTTGCTGTACCAGGCAAGTCGGAATATAAGCCTTTCCGAAGCAAGAAGGTCTGAGTGGTTAGTGCGTATAACCATAGGTGCGGGGGTTGGTTTCCAGGCCGATTTATTTCCTCATGTAAACCTTGAGTCGCAATAGGAGGTGCTGGGCGGAAATACCAGCCTTATTAACGTTCAACCCTACGAACAGCTGATACAGTTTTAACATTCCAAAGAGTCCAGGTGCTGCTTCCCTCCAGGTCTTTTTAGGGCACAGTCTTCCCAAAAAAGCTTCAATGCATTGTCTCCTTGTCATATAAAGAAGAGGCAGAAGGAGGCTTGCAACATGTGTTGCGGGTAGTTTCATTATTTGCGCGATTTCGACAGTTCTGTTGCATTTTCAATTTTCAATATCGTGAAGATTATTATCATCCGGTTGCCAATTGTATGCGACCCTATATTTCACCCCAGTATCTCAAGGCCTAAAACATCAGCATGTATAATCAAGGCACAGAAAGTTAATAAATCAAAGTGCAGAATTATTGTTAGTATGCTACATCGATTATTAGATTATGACTTACGAATTATAGCACTGTAGCTCCCAGAAGTCTGTAACAGGTACATTACGGGAAGTGAGTTATGTTACACTGGGATGCTGGGATGAAAGCATGGCCATCCTGACTGTTAAGATACTATAGATTTATTGGATTTATTGGATCTTACTGGGGATCTTGTCCCGAGACCAGAGCAGTGGAAAATGTGCCCTGTGTTAGCTTTGTTTAGCCCTGTACTCGGCCTTGTAGATTCTCCGTCTACTCCGTAGTTCTCTTGCTTATATTTATTGATAGATTAGCAGACCGGCCAGCTGACTTTTAGCATTGCCGATTAGAGATTTAGTCATGACTAGTCAGGGGTAGTTCACCTACTTGATACAAAAGATTTTTATAATGATGGGATCCCCATGGATCAAAATAGACGAAATAGACAAGGTTATAGAAGTATGGTTACACAAGAAGATACCCGGTAGCTATTCCTTATAGCGCAGCTTGCTAATCGAAGGAATGTTTCGTATTTATATTGTCGAAATGTAGCTTGTAAAGATACTTTATCTTCATAAAAAGGTACAAATGATCTGACTTCGATTTCTAAACAGATGTGGCAGGATCGGATAGGTTGAAGAAATTTGTAATTTGACTGAGTAGTAATATGATGCTTGATGTATTCAAGGCACCGATGATCGATCACCGAGTGTTATTTGGTATATGTATATGGCATATTTATGTATATTGGTGAATGGGTTATTCCTTGTTAATGTCAGTAAGCGTAAGCTGCGTTTGACAGCTTTGATTAGCACACAAATTGTAAGGTGAGGGAGGCATCATGGCATAGCACCTTCCTTAGTTCGACTCATGCCCACCCCATTGAGTAAGTGGCAGAATTATTTAGATCCTACCTGTGTAGATCGGAATATGCTGCAAGCTGCACGAAAGAAAACTCGGATTTATTCTCCGTCTTGCACTAGATGCGTCAATATGGGTCAAGGATCGGGTCTCTCAGACGTAGACCGTTGGTGCCGCGGAATCGGGACATAGAAACATGGATTAGAGAAGAAATGAAAGCTTCGAAAGTTCCATTGGAAAAAAGAAATGAACATTAGCGTCTTCGCGTCGATAAAAATTTGTTTCAAGGCTCCACGGATCATACGAAGAATATGGAAGTCCAATGATTGAGCCGAGTCAATTTTCAATGATGGGTCAAAAATTCAAAAAGGATCAACAATTGGATCGATTGGATCGAAATCAACTCGCAAGAAGCCGAGAGAGAGCCATATGAAAGAAAAACGGATCATTTGCCACGTTTTTGTTGTGGCACTATCTTCGATAATGACGATCATTATAGGCCTCGTATGGAAGAAATATATAATTACAAGGTCCAAGGATATAATATTAAACCTTGGTGAAGCACCCCTCAGCTGGATCTCAAAAAGGGGCTCATCAAGCAAAAGCAAGTAGCTTTGTAACTAAAGGCTAAAAGTACCGGTATATTTGATTGATCCAAGATCAAGGAAACAGGCCAAGCTTGGCCGACTGGTGTCCAAGAGATCCGCGGAAGTCGTTCCTGAAGCCGTAGGAGGCAAATCCGAACATGAATTGAATTGTGGTGTGGTATCTCGAATCTTTCCTTGACGCCTCCGATGCAGGAAAGGCTGTTCCGAGCTTCCTTTCCTTAGCCTTTTGTTGGGTGTGTGTTACACAAACGCAAGACAGCAGTACGGTCCGCGCAATATTGACGCCGAAGAATTTTAACGAAGCGATGAAGGGGTAAATGAATGGAGTAAAAATAATCAAGTAGGCACCTTGTGTTTCTAGAAGAAAAAAGGGATCCGGTCTGATATTCTAACAGAGTATTGATTCATTGTTCCATTTATAATATTGCATAGTAAATTTGATACTTTCGGCCTCTTTCTGGTCTGACTCCAACCTCTCCTGACATTCCTAAAGTATCGTCAGACTAATTAACAACGCTGTTCCCTGAACAATATATAGAATGATTCTCGCCCACATTATTCAATTCCCGAGACAATCTCTGTGTGACCAACTTTGCGTTTACTTGAAAAGATCAGTAGATTTTTTCTATCATTAATAATAATCAATTTCGATATGATACACCGCCTGTTGTGAGTTCTCGTGTTGCTGCTATTGTTCCTTCCATGTTGATCAAAAGCATCACACTTACTCATACCACAATCCAAGGGTTTTGTTGGTTTGACGATTGCTATTGTATACTTTGCGGAATTGCGGTTTTGAATCCGGTTGGTTCATTTTCCAAGTACCGGTACATCATTTGCTCGGGTGTTGTGGTTTGTGTTGTGATTTGGACGAGTTACTTGATTATCGGAAATATATTTCCTATGTCATATTTTGTTACTCGAGATGATTTTATTTCTTTCATCTCGGACGCGAAATGGAGATCCCGGGACCCGCGGCCACCACTTTTCCTTTGGGAAAGATCTTTGTCTTCTACAGACCTACATGAGGGCGACTGCACTGACTGCTGCATACCACATGAAATGCATCTGAGATTTGTCGCGTGGTACTTAGGCTTTGAAGTCAAATTCATGATATCCACTCGAATATCCTCGTGTATCATTCATTCTTGCTTACTGAGGAAGCTAATCCCATGATTGGTATTCCGACAAGACTCAGAAAATAAGAATTTCGCTTTTCATGGATTCAGGAAGTCTTCCGGAGCAAAGAACATACCTATGCATCACAGCGGCTACACGCATTGCAGGCCATTCATACATCAGCAGTACCGAAGACTTCCAATTAGTAGATCGTGATACGCCGAGATATCATTGACCGTGTGCGATGCCAACAACAAGCACTCTCGAAATGCTGTCCAATTGGGCATCTCAAGTATCTGACGATATGCGTTGCCTTTTTAGGTATTGGACATATTCTTTTGTTTCATATAGCGATGTTGTACGCAGAATGTATCTTTTGTACATGTACATTGAAATTTTCATGCACTTCAATCTCTACAAATTTGGATGGCTTGCAGATGCAAGATGCACCGTTATCAACTGTGTAGTTGCACTGCATTTAGCCATGCAGTAGCATATGAGCCTGCATATGCATCGAAGGTCACCTCTCCCGCGTATTTAATCTGCCCCGTGTCACAACCACGAATTTGCACCATATTGGCTAGAATTAGACCCGAGAACGAGGAAATCAAGTACGAGGTGTACACCGTTGGGCATCACATTTTCATGAAAACATTGGTAGTCAGATTGTTACCATCCCACTTACAGCTATATCTCGTTTTCGGGCTGATTTTTAGATCCACCAACATGCGCCAATTTCTCTGCGCAGGATGGCGTTCTCATCGTACTCCTCTTATGCATTCTTGGTCAGACGGATCGTTTGCTGGGTGTATCAGACCAGGTACCTTAAATCGGAAGTCTCTCTTACCTCTTTTCTCGCCAGGCCATATCCGAAGTCCTGGAATAAGGATCCCAAACGCAAGCGACAGCGGAAACGCACAGCCTTACAGAGAACCCCTGAACAGACGGCACGTCATACTCATGGTTACTCAATGATACCGAGCTTTATCCATGATCTTGCACCAATCATATTTTGACCGCAAGTACTGCGCCCTGCTCACCGAGCTATGTACGTGGGGGTATAATATGTTGTGTTTCATAGACAGACATCAGTCTCAAAGATGGCTTGGAAGATGACCCCATCTGTTCCCATCGAAAGATACCTTTGTGTGACAGCGCAAGAGAAAAGGTATACCCAACCGAACTGGTATATGCAAGGACTGGCAACAGGATCCCTTGGAGATCCTCAATCTCGTATCACGCGACATGTCATACGTGGAAGTTTTCTGCCGCAACCAAGCCGCATACAACACCTCTCGATGGGAAATCGACGAAAATGGACAAATGATGATCATATGATTTTCACCCACCATCTGCAAGGCTGAGCACATCAATATAATAGCGGGTTAAAGCGTTTGCCCTGCATGAAGCTCACCATATCATTTTTCGCAACTTACATTGAAGTTTATGCAAGAATGAGAGAATTGGGCGATATCATAATTCAGGCGGTATAACGTGCGGCGTGGATGAACCATCAACAAAAATACAACGACTTCTTTGGGGTAAATTTCCAACATTTCCTCTCTTCCGTGTTGCTTACATTCTGATGGATGGTCGACGTAGTATTATTGTCCCCTAGGTAAGCAGAGGTTTCTCGATCGAAATAGTATCACACCCCCTCCTAAGCCTCTTTTAAATCACGTGATACTTATGACTAAGCATAACTTATCAAGCAACGGAATAATGTCGGATCGCTCATTCCTCGAAAGGGCTGTATCATTCAGCACATGGCGGGGCAATCGAAGCCTGGAACCACCAAAATAGTCATAGAAACCCCTCAAAAGACACCAGGATTGATCAATATTTCTCGATACCACCCTACCAGAAAATTTCTTCAACAAATCATTTCATCATTCAATATTGATAAATACTTCGATTGTTCATCTACCCATTCCTTTCAATAGTTTAGGGTCGGTCCATCACAACGGTAACTAAGCCGGCAAGCCGAATACGTCTGTCTAGTCAATATGGGCAAAAAACAAGCTGTTGGAGAGAACAGCAGAAAGGTTGCGGGAAACGCCAAGAAAGCTGATGTTGCTGCGACAAAAGCGGCAGTTGAGAACAATAAAAAGGCTCACGCAGAGTCAGAAGAATGGGATAAGGGAGCGAAGAGCAATTCAAAGGCGTGAGTCCGAATGGTTAATTTCAGCTTTTACTACCCCGCATATCACCCGACCACTTTGCTAACGTTGGGCTTGAACAACAGTGAAGCTGCAGCAGCCAAAAAGGCCGAAGCAGATCGGAAGAAGGCAGAAAAGGATGCATTGATGAAGGCTGAGGAAGCTGATGCTCCCTCTGGTCCGAAGAACTCGAAGAAAGCCGAGAAGAAGCCCGCCGTTAAGAAAGGCCTCGACCTATCACAACTTGACGATTCCCCTACTATTCCTAGCCCATCAGCTTTGAATGCATCCGGTATCGATAATGCGTTGGATGCGTTGGCTTTGACATCAAACACGAAGGATAAGGTTGATAGACATCCAGAAAGGAGGTTTAAGGCTGCTTATGCAGAGTTTGAAGAGAAGAGGTTGGTTGAAATGGAGCAGGATGGCAGTGGAGCGGGGTTGAGGAAGAACCAAAAACAAGAGAGAATCAGGAAAGAGTTTGAGAAGAGTCCTCTGAATCCTTACAACCAGGTCACAGGACGATACGATTCCACCAAGGGCGAGTTGGAACAGATTAGGCAGGGTGTGGAAGCCGGTGTCGAGTCAAGATTGGGAGGCAACTAAATCGCTATAAGTAAGCGGTTACTATACCGTGCGGCGATATACTACATCTTATACCCATGACCAATTATGGATTTGGGCTTTTTGACGCATGAAACGATACCAACGATGTAAGCAAGCAAGTAATGATAGAGAGAATAAAATTCATGACTACATGCCAATTCAAACGCAAACTCATGCGAACACACGCGAACAAACTACACCTGAAACAGAAACTGGTCGAGAAGTATACAAATGATATTGATGTTTCACACTCTTTTGAATAACCTCCTATCCTGAAACTGTGATATCCAGCTGAGCGGGCAATAACTTCACCGCTTTTACCTCATACCCAAGCTCTAGATCACAAGCCAAAACGCAACATAGTCAAGTATAACAACAATAATAATGGCGTCACAACGATTATCAACTCTATCTACTGTACGGAAACAGCATTTACTCGTAGAATTGTTCGTTGTTCCAGTCTTCCCGTCTAGAGAAACCATGCTAATGAGGAATCCCGTCTAATATACAGTTCAAGTCTAAAATATGCATGTCCACATGGCGTATTCATGAGTCTCACTCCTGGCGACCCCACCCTCTGGTCCGGCGTACTCTTTGTACGGAAAGGTATTTCTGATCTCATCCCATCCTATCTGCCATTCCATCCATCTCACTCCCGCGACGCGGGTCCCAACTCGGCAGTCGGTCGTATCTCGTCATCTTGGGGCTGCGACTAATCTGTCTTGCCGTGTCTTATATTAGGTCCCTACGCGCCCTCAATCCTGCGCTTCCAAGTCTCGTTTCCCCCACAGTATCCAGATCTGCCGCCTCTGGTCACATTCTCGACGGACATTTTCCATCCGCTCATCACGCCCCTTACGACGTATATGTATAGTACGGATACGCAGTCAGATGGGACGGTGAGCGCAACGGATGAGGAGAGGTTACCACCAGGGGGCTTCTCGTTGAGAGATGGGTTTCCGGCTTGGTTTGGGAGGAAAAGTAGGAGGGGCGCAGAACAGAGGACTCCGACGAAGACGGATGGGAGTATGGCTGAGAGTGAAGCTATGAGTAGTCCGGGAAGTGGTATTTCGTCATCGGGCAAGACGGCAGATGGTGTGAGGGTGGGGGTTTATGAGGTATTGAGATATATGAGGAGGACCTTTGATGATGAGTTAGTGCTGGATAAGGTACCTTTGGAGGCTGCTGGTAATCCTGGTGCGTGGCACGCTTGGAAGTCATATCGGATAAAGATTGGGAAGATGGCCGCGGAGACGAAAGACTCCGACTTGCAAGACCCGACATCACCGGTAGTGGCACGCGCACCGGGAGAATGGAATTGGGATGGCGTATGGGAAACGAGAGTCAAGAAGGGTATTGAGGCCAGTACTGCCGAGACAGTATTGTTTGGTTTAGGGGCAGACGATTTGATACAATTTCTCAATCTTGATAAGGAGAAGGTTGATCAAATCAGAGAGCAGATTAAGGAGAGCGTGGACACTTTGGAACCACAACGAAGGGGTGTGGTGTGATTCAAGGATATTATGGATTCTTCAACATTTTCTACGGCTCAGCATGTTCTACGGACTATTGTTTCTAGCATTGATACCCCCAGTTCACACAATTTGAGCTTTAATTTCCCTCGAGGTCTTGATATACGAAATTGGCGTTCGGATTCAAGGAAATTGCCCCCACGCTATTGATGATGTGCATTTTCATGGGTATTTAGATAGATATCCAGTATTGTACACGGTCTTTAAATGATCGCCTTCACATAACGCAGTAGCGATTCTCGTCACTGAACATATGGGAATTCCAGGAATCAGATCCTGCGGAAGGAATGATCGACGACGCACGAAAAGTGGTCAGGCTTCTTCGACCCTAGAAGGATCGTAGGCGGTCTGAATTTAGTCAGGGGTGGATTAGTTCGATAAAGTAAATAGACTTGCCTCATGTTCATGATAGAGATTGGAATGTGGCACCTATTCAAAGAGCATACTTTAGCATATGACTTGGTCTTGGGAAAGATCGAGGTATGGTGTAGTAGACCATTACATCTAGCCCTGCCGACATACTCTGGGAGCCTCTTAACGAAGCTGCTCACCAAATTACATATCGTGATGAATAGCAAGTTCCTTTGAGGCATTAGGAGGATGGTCCATTTCAAATTTGACATTGATTGGTCATTGAATGTTCAATTTCCGTTTCAAGATTCCAATGTCGACGTTTTCCAGCTCCCAAAATATCAAAGACTGTCCTAAAGTTAGGATTTGGTCCTGCAATGTATATGTTCCTTTACAATATTCCGATTGCACTTTACTAAATGGTTGAAGTATCGTTCTTGACTAAAGTTTTATAGTAGAGCTATGCTTTCCCAATCTAAATCAATCAATTGCCACGGGTGATCTATGCTTTTCAATCTTAGAAGTCTCTTCAACAATATTGCTTCAATTTTTTGGCTATGAATAACGAATCAGTTTCTCCTATTGGCGCACTTATAATCGTACCAATTGTTATTCTATTATTTGTTGTATTGATTGCTCTAAAGGCAGGTAGTATTTGGAGGTGGATCATCAGAAGCTGCCCGCGGCCTAAGGGTACTTTTCATTGTCCCAGATTAGTTCGCAGATTCAAAAGTCGGCATTCAAGCCTTGACAATATTTACGGCGACTCCTGGTCTGATTTAGAGACTGCCCGATCGGGCAATTCGAGCTTTGTCAGCAGAGCTTCAACATTGGGCACTTTCATCGCCCAACCATCGGAGATACATCCAACGAGCTCATCATGGCACCCATCCCGGCAGTGCCGGCTCACCTGGAGCTTTATGAACCCGAAGTCGAGCCAGCCCCGCTGCGAATCGTCAAGTGTAGCCAGACCGTTACCGGTCGCTATGCGGGTGGACTTGGAGGCGCAGCAAATGAATGGGGAAGAATGTCCGAATTCACATTCGACAGTGAAAGCGAGGGAAGCCCGCCGGTGGCAGCGAACAGACCTTTAGGACCTTTGACTATACACAAGATCAGGAGGGGTAAAGGTAGAGGCAGCATTCTGGACGGGAGCGTGTCTGTAAAGATTGTGGACATCGAAAAGCAGTCTTGGAACAAAGATCATAACGGTATACTTCTTTGCGCTGTGAAAAAAGGGAATATCTTATGAACATAAGCTAATCATCCCAGATCGTCCTGAAAATCATGAGAATGACTTTGACCGTACACCAAAAGCGTCTCGTCCGCCAACACGGAACATAAGTGCAGGAAAATTCTTGAGGACCGAGCTACATCGTGAAAGCTCTGAAAATGATGTGAAAAGTCATTTTATTCAGCCTTCATATCTACAATCTACTCTTCCGGACATTCAAGACCCTGATGGCTCTCCTAAGATGCCCAAACGAAGGCCATCCAAATCCAAATACTCTCTTTTAAGGGCGTTTGGTGGTCGGTGGAGCGAGGATTTGGAATCTCAATCTTCTCTCGGTCGGAGCGGCTCCTCGGCTTCAACAAAATCGACAAAATCGACAAAATCGCATAGCACTCTTCTACGTAAACTTTCCCGTAGAAAGTCTACAGCGTCTACAACTCAGTCGATTGCTTCCTCGGTACCTTCAAGCCTTGGGACTGTTGAACTTTCTCATATGTTTGAAACAGATAGTGAAGACATCATTGATGCTAGGGTCAATTCAAGAGGATCTTCCTACTACGATGGCACTATCATGATGTCGGGCCCTCCCACACCTACGCTAACACCCACACCCGTCTCTTTCAGGGAGGATAATTTCGTTTTATGTCCACAGATTTCTGTCACCCCAGAGAGCGCTAGTGTGAATGCAGGTGTTTGCACATTATGGGTCGCGGTCGAGATCACTGGCATACTTCGAAGAGCTGACGGTACATCAACATTAGATGATGTGGGTCGTACTTATAGCACACAAAATCTGACTCCACGATGTTTAGGTAGGTTAAATTTTTTTGGATCTTTTAGAAGTGTTTTATTAACATTTATAGACCTCAGAAGATATGGCAGTCTTCATAACATTGCTGTTGAGTTCCAACCGGGGTCAGATTGCATTATAGTGGACCAGCCAGAGGATACCTTTCAAGCGAAGACCATTCGAGTGAGCGAGACTCATCTCATGTTAGTCAAAATCCGATTGAACGAAGTCAAAGTTTCAGTTTCGCACACGAAAGAAAAGTCATCGGATGAACTCATCGAAAACCTAAATGATATTCTCGGCGACATAACCACTCAATATCTGACCGTAAAACTAAACTATCGACACTCTGCTTTCTTGAATTTGAGACAGCAGGCTGACGAAGGGGATTTCAGACTCTTACCGCAACACACTCTGTTGGAGACGAAAGCCACGGCTACGATTAAGCGTCACAATCCAGCTTCTGCTTGGTCACCAAGAAGCTCTGGGGCTCTAAATTCAGCGGTAGGAGTCAGCGCACTTGCGAAGATTATCGAGAAGCACTTTTCGGCCGAGAAATCAAGAGAAGCACTCCAAAGACTGGCGGGAGATAGAACTATGATTTCATATCCCCGAAGAACCTACGGACATTCTTCCGATAAAGAAAATCGCAAAACTACAGCGAGTCCGTTGGCATATATAGATCCTGCGAATGGTCTACTTTCTCACTCATTTTCAATGACGGCCATCTCCAATTTTAACTCTCGAGGTAGTCCTGTTCCAAAACGACAGCTTTCACCTTATGATCATCCATTAGATTTGGTAGATGGCGAAATGGATCCCGCACGAAAGATATGGTCACAAATGCGAAGGACCTCGCGGCCAGCCCGTAAACATCCACGCGCGAGCATCAGTGATGGAAATTACTTTGATGCCGACCAAGACGAGCTATTCGACTGTACTCCCCGCTATGGAGGCAGTTTGAGAGTTCCCCATCTCTCGCTCTTCGAACCGCCAGATGCGTTTACTCCGTTTTCCCCCGATACTTCCCAGGAAATGACACCGAGAGCGAAGCAAAATCGCCTTTCGAGGGGGAAGAGTACGGGCACTATTACGGATGATAATAGACATCATCTCAAGGAGTTGGCGTTGAGAAATAAGAGGAGTGTGGGTCAGGAGACGTTGAGGAGTATGGTGCCTAGTACGCATAGTGGAAAAGGGTTTGCAAATGCAAATCGGCAGGGTGGAGGAGTGATGGGGGCGGTGGCGGGTGTGGGGCTAGTGGGGAGAAATTGGGGTCAGTGGTTACCTTGGGGTGGTTAGGGCTTGATATTACTTCTTCAGTGGTGGAGGTGGAGGTAGAGTATTGATCAATCCGGATATGCATGCACTTTCTTTGATGAACCGGAAGTTGAAGATTCAAGATGGTCAAAGAGATGGGAGGAATCGAGAAAGAGCTGGCTGGCAGAGATAAGTATATCATATTGATGTTGTTTTCTTAGAATTCTTATACAGTAGGGTAGCCAAGCTTTATTATGGGTATTAATGTGATTGGTCTCTCTTTCATTGGTCGGAAATCGTGGATCGTTCATTCCTAGATATTTGAAAACCAATTCGACGCCAAGCAAATTCGACGTCAACGATAATCATTGATTTCTGAGTGTACAGGCTGTAGTTGAGCCACTTGATTCATCTGAGTACCGGTACGGTCTTAAATGGTCATTTTCGCTGGAAGTCAGGTCGAGCACAAACTTGAAGTTGTAGAACTTGACTTGGAAGTTCTGGGTAAGACGTCTTCATGTTTTGGTTGGGATATTTTTCCAACAGAGTGTGGTTTATTATAGTATTATTACTATATATTTTCTTGTTGGATTGGGGGATAGAATGGAATAGCATCAAACATCTGAGTGTTTGTGGAACCCAGCCCGTGAAGCAGCAGCCCTCTTCGAAGAGGGGCCTTTGAAAATTGACGTGTGTTTACAGCATGGATGGAATATTAGGTAGGTAAAGATTATTTGAAGTATCCATACCATAAACTTTTGAAGAATTCGGACAAGCTAAGCAGGGAATGAAACTTAAGATTGTTCTGACAGGCCTAACTTTTGTACTGGTATTCCTATTGGCAGGAATCCTTCACCTGCAGCAACTATACTATTTTGAGTCGAAATGTATGGGGTTTGATACGGTATTCTCTATACTAAGGAAAGATTCCCTGTTTAGCTTGTCCGAATTCTTCCAAAATTTAAGGTCCATCCAGGTATCCGGAATGGGATTTTTTAAAGCTAGGTGTGGTTTAATTCAAGTATTGCTAAGGTCATGATAGCTTTGAAATTTTGTTGGCCCGAGGTAGGGTAGGCTATTTCAGGCTAGTCTAGGAGTACTGGAGGGCTAGGTAGAGTTGATTTGGAGAGGATGCCGGATTGTGACGCTAATTACGGCGAGGAACTTGGGTGGGTGGTCGACTTTAGTCATGTCATGTGATGGTTTAGGTAAAAAGTTAGTGAGTTGTTGAATTAATTAGTTGGTTGGTTAGTTAGTTGACTGAGGATTGTTTTGGTGGAGTGGAAGGAAGGGGGGAGGTACCGTCATTATATTTCTACCTTCTCGAGAAACTCACTCGTTGTGTAACTTGACATCTAAAAGAGTCATACCAGTGCTTTCGAACTTTACACTTCAGTTGAAGACAACCTGGATAATGTATTTATTTGAGAAAGAACACAAGAAAATGTCTTCATCATCCTTGTCTATGAAGTAGTAATGTTCAAGTACAAGGAAGAGGTGATTTGCGGTATTAGTGTTGTTTTCAACTAACGTGATGGTCTACCTAGTATAAAATAGGTTAGATTAACTACTAGTTCCTCGAGATGATGTATTGATTTCAGAAATCATATACAAAAATGTAAGAAAAAGTCTACACCATTCTAGTCTATAAAGGAGAGGTTATGTACTGAACTAGTGTTATTTTCAAACAAGCACCGTGGTGGTCTATCTAGTACAAAACAGGCTAGGTTAACTACTAGTTCCTCGGGATGTCTAAACCTCTCTCTAAACCTTGATTAAGGACTATCAAGGTAAGAGCACGATCTGGTGGTGGAAATAGAGTTTGATCGTCGATGAGGAGAGTTTAGTGCTTTTTCTTTTCGCTAATCCCGAAGGGGTTGGTTGGTATGGGCACAATATAAAAATCAACTCCCCAAACAATTCCTTTTCTCCTCACACTTTTCAATCATCAATTATCTGGAGTATCATTTGAGTATTATAGTAATAGATATCTTATCTGCATCTTACCTATACCAAGCCTACAAAAAGTATATTCCTCGCTAGCGATTATTTGCCATATATCACATCTTGCTTCTCCACACAAAAGCACTGATCTGTATCCTCTACATATCCCTATATTCAATTGAATAACGGAATATAAATCAAATTTTTCAGTGTCGATACTAAAATACCTCCAAAACCATCTCAGAAATTGTAAGTTTTCACTCAATGACCTTCCCATGCGAGTCTATCCTGGGATCTGATCCATTCATTGCCAAAATCGTGACTGACTCATATTTAGATTCCTTTCAACTCGACATCCAAAACTTGACTCAAGATGTCCGAAAGCCAAAACAAACGGGTGTTGAAAGGCATGGATTTGTTTTGCCAAAACTTTTGGACTATGTGGACTTTTGACATTTGGAGGAGTTCAGAAAACGGAACAGGGATCACGGAGGGCCACCAAAATCGCCAGAAAAGCCACCAATGTCGCCAAGAAAGGAGAAGAAATGAAAGAAACGCAAGGAAAAGCTCGAAGGGTGAGATCAAAAGAGGGAAGTCTTATATCAAGAAACTACTTTTTGTATTCTTCTGTGTCGCTCTTTTGGTATGCGCTCAGTTGGGAGCCAAGATTTCTCTGGCAGTTTCTTTGGTGATTGCACTGGTTGCGGGGATTCTTGGCTTGTATAATCGTTCGAACGGGAAACAACATCCCGTTAGACTGAATCAGTCGAACGTTATACATGGAACAAAGAAAAATGTTCCAAAGGGAGCGATGGGAAAGAGAAAGAGGAAATATAGAGCAATTGAAATGGGGGAGCACAATGTCCTGAAGATTACTGAGAATGTAAAAGAATCTTCGAATATAGAGAGCATTCAAACGGAGGGATTATTAGAATAACTCATTGCTAAGGGGTTGGGTAATAATGGGTCAAGAAGATATGGGTTGTTTGGGGAGCTTGGGTTATTCTTTGGTTGCTGAGAAATACAGTATGGATTTGGTTTGAATCATGGGATTCTATCCGACAATAGAGAGTTAAACTGGTGTATCAGAACCGTGAATTAGAAACGATTTTGGGATATATAGATAGATATCTATCATGAGGTGTCAAGAGACTGTGGGATAAGTAATGATGCAGCACTAAACACACCAAATTTCTCACACTTATCACTTCACAATATCTCAACAACTACAAGCTCAATTTGACAGAGACCCTCTATACTATCCATCATGTATATTAATATCTAGAAAAAATATACACAGTATTATTCTCGATTTTTTACATCCTGCCAGTGATCTCATCAAGTAAAGCTAGAGATTCAAAAGCCTCAGTTCAAAAACCTTACCAGTACTTGCATAATCAACCCATAGAACTAGGATGAAAATCAAACCGAGAAAAAACACTTTGCCAAGATTTTCTATTGAAAGATAATCGAAATACGAAAATCCCTCCGATTTCGTACCTTTTAATCATAAACCCAACTAGCTCAAAGTGAGCGATTTTTATGCGTAAATGGGCTACGGGTCTTCGGCTCTCGGCCACTGTAGCCTAGTGGATGGATGGATTGATCATAGATGCGATGCCTTGGAATAGAGATTGAAGCTAGAACTTAATTAGATTAGTCTTAGCTTACTGGCAATCAAGGTTCATAGGATTTAGTAATGTCAGGTGGTTGCTGAGGCGATGTACTAGGTTTAATGGTTCGTTTCTTCTAGTGGAATATATAGTTTCTTCCTCGTTATAAAGGAATTGGGAACCTGTACCTTTTCAATGTGAGAGAACTCATATACAATTTATCTTTTTAGATATAGGACTCATATTCTCACATCGATATATCTCTCAATCATTTACAAAATTGTAAGTTGTCACTCAAATGTGCATCTGATTCGGGTTATGGTGTATGCTGTATGCTAATCAAGATAGATCTAGAATCCTCATTACATACTCGAGTGTATGTATCCAAAATCTCGCAAAAATTCCCACAAAACTCAAACATAAAAAGAATAGCAAAGCAGACTGCACTGCGAAATCATGGGTCTTCTAACCGAACAGATGAAGGCATTCATCTACGGCATCACCGGCACATACATTATCCTTCTCCTCCCGATTGTCATCGCGGTCATATGGTTCAGCTATGCATTTTACAACCGTGCATACCTTGACGAGGAGATGCAATACTTGGATGAAGAAGGAGCATGGAGTTCGGATGACGCTGCGCAATGGACAAATGAGGCGGGAGATATCGAAGGCGATTTCGATACAGAGGCTTGGAGAGCGAAGGGGGAGATGGAGAGAATGTCGATTTGGGATGAGGGTAGATTGGAGAGGGAATTCAAGAGGTTGGAGAGGAAGAATGAGAAGTTGGAACAAGAGGGCATGAGATTGGATGCACAGGGTAAGAGGTTGGATGGGGAATGGATGGCGTTGGAGTTGGAAGAGCAGAGGTTGGAGTGGAAAGAGGATAGGTTGGAGAAGGAGGGGAGGAAGTTGGAGTGCGAATGGATGAGATTGGAGGAGGAAGTGGGAAGGTTGGGATTTGTTTTGGAATAGGTGTGATGAGGAGCAGGGTGGGAATTTGATTGTGAGTGTTATGTTGAGGAGAGAGTCAGTTCTAGTTCTATATTCAAGTTGTACTACTATGAAGAGCAATGGGATAAGAGGCCGGAGCTCTCGATCTCAATGAAGATGCTAGGTGGCTGCTTTAACTTCAAGAGAGGGGTGGGGGAATAATGGCAGCGAGGATCTATAGGTATATGGTTTGAAATGTCGAATCTTTTGTATAAATTGAATCTGATTTGGTTTCATATATCAATGCATTGCAGAGGGTTGTACATGAGGATTTGGTAACAAACTTTTCATAAAATAGATAATCTCAATTCTCATGTTCAGATATCTAGATTTAAAGACTACTGGCAATACGAGTCTTTATGCTTCCTAAACAGGCTACTAGCGAGATGAAAGATGAGAGCCAGTCATATAGTATAAGAATAATTTTATAGAGAGAATTATTGTAATAGTACTCTTTAAAATATAAAAACTTAAGTGACTCAGGAATGGTCTTTCCTAATCCAATAATATCCTCTCTTTAATATTCGTTTTTGAGGGAATTTTAGGCCTACTAGTATACTAAACGTCTATAACTACAATAAAACTTGGCTTAGTATATGAGTATATAACCCAGAACGTATAAATTGAAAGATTATATCTCCACCAACAGGTGAAGCCATAATCTTGAGATTGAAGGAGCAATTGTAATGGCCATTGATATCAAACCGCGAAGCAGGGGATAGGCATTTACACTTAATAACCTCCAGAATTTAAGGTGTCACGGCACACAAGGCTAATTACAGCAATTGGCTTCTGAATACCTGTACTGTATATATTGCTTCTGTGGCCGGGAGCAGTAGGAAAGGCATAGCGAAATCCTGGATTCTAGATTTGCTTTCGTTGATCGTTATGGTGATATTAACTTGAAATATGATTATCAATATGGTGATCAATTTGATATAAGAAGAGAGGGATGAAATATAATGTTCGGATAAATTAAGATGTTTTGGATCGGTTATCTGATATGTGATATATAATTCTTTTAGAGAATCCTGGGAGAGTCATATTGATTGATTAGCTTTCACTGATTCTCAATAATACAAAATATAAAACAAGACCAGTATAGTAGAACATTTCCCAAAGTATAGCCCCCAGAAACGATTTTGTGACGATAGAGGAGGGAGGAATCACACTGCTGCAGGGTAAATACAAACTCGAAGTTCCAGAACAGAATTTTCTCCCTGGAATCGCTTTCGAATACCAGCCGACTGTGGGTTTTCAGATGTTATTCTTGACCGTGAGGAGAATTAGCCAGCTATACCTGCCTCTCTCACTGCATTGAACTGATTTAATTAGATAGTCTGCATAATATCCCAAAGTAGATGTTGGTAATAAAGCTTCTAGATCGCTACCAAACAGAACTTATGATTCTATAGTTCAAGTTACCTACCTACAAAATCTCACGCTCATATTATCACACAACTCATTTCGATTCTCCAGCTAATCCTCCCTGATATCCAAGTCATATACTCAAAAGAAACTTCCACTGAACAAAAACTTCATTGTCGCCATAGCGCTAGCATCCATGATAATTTTAATACTTCCCCCCAAAATTCAAGCCCTACATTTACCGAGCTCCCAAAAGGCTAAGTTTTCATCGTCACAGGCGGTAAGAAAGGAATTAATTTGGCGCTTATCAAAATGCTTACCCCAGCGGTACCACCATCTACATGGCCAGTCGGGCTCTTAAGAGCGTGCTATAGCAGATATTCAAGAAGTGATATGATATCTAGCCATCCCATCCCATCCCATCCCAAGCCCACACATCACCACTCAAATTCCTCCACCTCGACCTCAATCTCAAAGATTCAAACGTGGCTAGAAGTTTTGCTAAGTATTTCCCATTCTGGATATGTATCTAGACCAGTTCTTGGATGGCCGAAGGAGCTTAGGAGGTTCCCCAAAGGCCGGTTACATTCATGATAACCTCGAGATTCGAGCATGGTGATTCGAATGATGCGTATGTGAACTATAGTAAGACTTATTTTTAAAGCAGCGAATTAAATTATCGCCATCGAAGTTGCGGCTTATTTCGGTGGGGACGGAATATTCGGCGTAAATTTGACTTCCACTCTCTTGAATTTTGAATCTCTTTGGCAAGAATTTCTTAGCTTTGATTTATATTCTTGTTCCGTTATTACATGAACAATATATCATAGAGCTTTTGGCTCAGTATTAATGGCCGACTGAAGGAATGTCCAGGTGGTGCAAAACCCAGGCAATGCGCAGATGCACATTTTTGACACGCAGTTTAAATTAATAATGTTTCTCGTGAATCAAATTCTGTGTCTTTCAAAGTAAGGTGCGTATACAGAGTTGTTTGCTGGGTTAAGCGAAGAAATTTTTAGAGAAATATCAGGGCGCTTATATTATCCCCGTGCGGAAGAATCCAGTTATGTAATTCCATTCAAGGGAGGATATTGATACGGAGATTGGGGAAGGAAAGGAGGGAGAATTGTGGGATTGGTGTTATGAGCTGATTGAGGCGTTTGTGTGATTGAAGGTTCTTTTGAATACGGAGGTACTGTAGTAGCAAAATGCAATTTCTTCGGATTCGGATTAGTGGAATAAGTGATGGGAAGATGAATGGAAATAACGAATAAGAATTGTGATAGGCTGAATGGGATGGGATGAATAATAATGAATTTTGAATTGGCGAGACGTACAAATGACAGCGCAGTTGAATACAATACGGCCAGAATCGATTGGTGAATCTGAAGCAATGGCTGTAGTAGGTTATCAAGTCAGCCCACTTGAATTGAATATCTCCAGGATATCCAGACATATCTAGAGCATTCTCCAACGGATATATGGATACTCATTTCTCAAGAAACCACCTCAATATCTCTCCATTGCAACTCTCAAGCTATTGCAAACCTCCAAACCTCCAAGCCTCTAAGTATCAAACTTAGTACTTCGACCACACATCAGTAAGTTAATTCTCGATATAGAACGTGTATGCATATGCTAATACGCGGTAATCAGTGAAACCCAAACTTTTGTTCTCTGTTCATGCCTTCGGACAGCGTTTGAAACGACACCGGTCAGATTCAAACATAAAGTCTAAACCGAACATCGAATTGACACCAATGGATATCAATTCCCAAGAAAAAGTCGATATTCGAATCTGCGAGACTTTCACTCTATTTTTAAATCTTCCTCTAGAATTGCAGCGCAAGATATGGGAATTTGCCGCCATCCCCCGTCGTCGAACTATCGAGGCCAGAACACCATTCGGGAATGGGAACATATGTACTCGTATTACAAGCATTGGTATTTTCTTTGGAGTTAGCCCTCGTATACCCAGTCATACGGTATCGACTTGTGCCCCGACAGGCCTTCTTCATACCTGTCACGAAGCTCGAAATGTAGCCATGAGAAACTACAGTTTCCTCACCTTTTTTGACCGTCCTCTATACTGCAATGAAGATATCGATGTCTTGTGGCTGAGGGGTGATCCAATACCTGTCTTCAAGTCTATGCGTGGCAATTTCTACAACACGCCCATCATGCACGGTAGAGGTCGAAGCAGAGGCGTTATCACATCCAAGTTCCAATTCCGCCATCTCGCAATCGACTTTAACTCTTTCATTCCTCATCTTCGTTATCTCTGGTTATCGTTCTGGACTATGAAATTCTGGGATTTTTATGTGTTTAAAGGATATCCAGTAGAAAAGATTTACGTGGTGTATACGACGAGGGACCAGGAGAAAGAAGCTATTGAGGAAGCGACCCATTTGGTTAGGACTAGGATGGAATTTATGAGAGAGTTCAGTCATTATCCGGGCCTTTCGACAGAGGAGAGAATGGAGAGAATACAGCTGGAAATCCAGACACCTGTAGTTGAAGCGATTCTGGATACTGACCTTGATCCTTACTGCAAACTGAAACCTAAGGGCAAGAATTGGCTGCTTGAAGGGTTGCGACACAAAGTATAAAAGCTCTGCGCGCCTGCCATGTTTATAGGGACGACAGTAAGTCATGTTAGCCCGGTGGTGTACTGTACAATTCGAGTGCAGCAAGGCAAGGTGGTCGGGTGCATTGGTGAGCAAGGAAGATAGTCTAGGGATAGATATGAAGCTGGTTGCGGTGGTAATACAAGGCTTTATCACTAATATATGAGATGAAAACGATATCCCAAGTGACTCCCATGAATTTCTTAATATAATTCTTTTGATCGGTACCAAACATATACATCATCTCGTGCGGATACATATATAAAAACATGGAAGTATAAATCAACGTTATCTCCAAAATCAAGTCTTCCAACTTTGGTTTATCTGAATTAGAATCGCTCGTTAGAATATGATTCCAGTGTTCTACTTATCCCAGCCTCTCCTCTCATGTCTTGCAGAAAAGGAAAGGCTCGCTAGTACTTGCCATCAATGCAGTCAATAGTTAGCCAGTTGAACTAGTGCACTGATTGAACTGGCAATTTAGTTTAGATAATCCAAATTGCCAGTCGATTTAGTTTATGATGTTTAAACTGGTAGTTGCATTTTGGAATTCAAATCATCAGTTTGACTGACAGTTCATGTGGGCACACAATATTGTGTTGTAAAAGCTGGTTTTATTCTTATTCTCCGATATAAACTATTTAAGCTACTCGAATTCATGTTGATTACGTCTGCTCTTGCCATATTACATGTGCCAGACGTCGATGATATATGCCATACGTGGCTGGCGCCACCGTGACAGTTTAACTGGCAGTTTAGTTTATTGGATTTTATTATTAGTTGGTTTAGTTTACTATATAATATATAAACTGCTAGTTAAACTACGCTCTCTCAAACTATCAGTTTCCCGACTGATTCAATCAAACTACTGACTATACTATCTACTTGCTATAAGGAACAAAAAGGAAACAATTAATTTATTTTAGATAAGAAATAAAAACAGAAATTAAAAATAAAAAGATATATCAGAAATCCCAGTTGAAAAATCGAAAAATACTCGAGTATACTCTTCAACTTCAAGTTCTACTACTGTAGTGTGTTTTCTAATACTCGAGTATAATAATTTTATAATTCATTATTATAAGAATATAAATGAATGAGTTGTAAAAGCTGTAGTATTACATTATTACTATGAAAGCTAATATAGACTATTTAACTAGTTGTGAACTCACACTAGCTCTTGCTCTTGTTAGACGTTGTTTAAGCTGCCGACGTCTGCTCTATATGGCTGCCGCCACAATTATTATAATTAAATATAGAATTACAAAATTAATGAATTAAAAATTACTCAATAATCAAAACATATCAAATCCGAGAATATCAATCCCCATTTCCTCTTCAAATCCCAAGACGACACGACTTGTAGAAAGAAATAATAACTCTCAATTCTCAATTATCATATCCAATTCTCAATCTTCAATCATTGAAAGTACCAAAGAAAATGAAAGAAAAGAAAGAAATGAAAAAGCAGATTTAAAACCACGAGAAATAAAACATCGTATAATGATTTAATTTTGATTAATGACAAATGTGTATATAGTATACCTTGAATCTCACAACGGGAGTACCTACTAGTACATAAACAAGTTCCAAAGTTCCCCTTTAGGCAGGCTTCAAGTTTTGAGTCCAAGTTGACTGAGGCTGAAGTATAGAAGTATGGAAGTGATGATGAGAGAGAAAGTGATGAGAAGAGAGAAGAGAGGAAAAGAAAAGAAAAGAAATCCCACACGTGCTCGGGCGGATATAGAGGCATGGACTACACACACTAGCCTAGACTGCAAAACAATTTCTATACTGATATTTATAAGTCCTGTATATTATATTCAGAATGCATGTCCAATAAATGAATTGTAGACAGACTACAATAGATATCGTAAGCACAGGTAGGTAGGTATCTTAACTCTAATCATCCTCCTCACTATCATCATCCCCAAATATCGCCTTGAAAACTGCGTCGCCAGCCCTTTGACCTTCTAGGGCTTCGTTTCTCTCTGCATCAACTAGTACTATTGCCTGTCCATCTCTCCTATCTTTCGTTGTCACATCCTCATTCTCATTCTCATGATTAAGATCAACATCAATATCCATCTCCTCTTTCTTTATTTCCGGTTCTTGGAACTCCATTCCATTTCCATTTCCATTTCCATTTCCAGCTTCAATCATCATCCTATCGATTTCTCTTTTCCCCACCAAATCCGACGGCGCTTCTCTTCCCATCCCACCACCCATGCCACGTTTCTCATCTGCAGAAGGTTGCACATTTTTCGGCGGCTGCACATTAAATCTCTTACACAACAACCTCGATGGAAACCAATCTTTCCTCTCCCGAGTCATCGGTCCATACATACCTAATTTCGCCGCCTGTTCTGCTGGGTCTTCTTTCGCTTCTGGTTTGCTCAATAGATCTTTTGCGGCACTATCTTGCCCTGGTAACATGGTGCTTGAAGAAGAACTCGTAAATCTTGTTGCCATCAGTCCAGTCATTGGTTTGAAAATCTTCGCACAATTGGCGAATTCTCCCAGTTCTTTTAGCCAATCTTCTTTACTTGCTAATATGCTTCTTTCTGGTAAAGTTGTTACGATACCAGCTTGATGTTCGAGGTAAGCGCGGTAGCGAATGCGTTTTGCTTCATCTTCTGTGTAGACGCTGGAGCAACGCATAAGTGCTGCATCAGCAGTATACTTATCGATTGTTGGGATTTGAGAAAGAAGTTCTTGTTGTCGTTGTTCAGAGGTCATAGCATAGCCTTCGGGAATTTCGCCTAGAGCTTGGGGTAGGTTGGATTTTCCAGAGGCGGCAGCTAGTCGGTTGCGTGCAGAACTGGAAATAAAATCGAATACTGATTTTCCAGGGAGAGCTGCTTCTCCCAGAATAGAGGCTCGAGATTTGGGATCGAGCTTAGATGCTTTTGCTGCTTCTGAAGTGGATAGATATTGCGATTGTGTAGAATCAGATTTGGACTGCTTGGCGGATTTCCATCCTTGCGGAATAGTGGGTGGCGGATATTTTGAAAGTGTTTCGGACATTGATGATATAGTCGAGTCATTACTCAGAAGGAATCCGTTCAGAGGTAAGCAACCATCGTGACATTTCCGTAGCCCAACAGCCGCCTTTGCCAAAGCGGTCTTCTTCGATATAAAGACGGGTTTGGATTTCAATAATGAATTGGCTGCTGCTGATACTGGTTTCTTCTTCTTCTTATCTCCCCCTATTACTCGATTATAGGATATTCGCGGTCCAATTTCATACGGGTCTTCGTCGTCCGAACCGTTATCGTTTAGTATACCAATACCAATGCCACCTCTCGTAGGTTTGTTCTTTTTCTTCGAGGTCTTGGGTCCTATTTGAAAGGATGGATCATCGTCCTCATCCTCCGACCTCTCTTTCTCAGATCCAAGTCCATTGACTGCCGTCAACTTTGTCTCCCCATCAAACCCTAAGCCCTTATGATCGTCCTTCCGGAGGAAACTAATCATGCTGGTATTTTCAGGTGCAAAAAGGTAAGTCGTATCGGCACCTGCGCCAGGCCTTTCCATACCATCAAAACGTGCTCTTCGCCGAACCTTCGGCCCTACTCCTTGCCCCTCCTTCCAACCCATCTTCTTCAACAACTTTACACCCATCGTCTCCCCTTCAGATTTGAAAAGATCAATAAATGCGCCTCTGCGGATTGCATCATCTTGCGTAGAACCGAGTCCCGCGAAGCCTTCTGCCGTTTGTACTCGTTGCGCTTCTGCCGCATCCGCGATATCCTCATCATCCATAAAATCTTCTGGTCGTTGCTGCGGCGGTGCTTTGGTAGCATCTTTGCCTCGTTTCGATCGAGAGGAAACGAATGTCGAAGGCATCCATCCTTCTTTGGACCCGACAGTGTTGTAGTATCTATTACGATTTAGAATTATTACATTGAAAGGAGAGTTTTATTTCGACATACCCTGCACTAAAGCCACCAGTGAAAGCACCATGTAGTCTTTTCAACCCCCTCTCATCGCGAACTTCCTGCTTCCACACCGGTACATAAGACCCATCATCTCGTACATCGGTATCTCGTGGCGGTAATGGGGTTCCGTATACTACGAAAGGTGATTGTTGGGCTTGCAATTCCGCTTCATATGTCGCTCGCGAACGTTTTCCGGACATGGTAGAGACATGGAGATGTAAGAATGGTCTAGAACAATATCGAGGAATTTGAAAACAGTCGAGGCTGCATCCAATTCTTGAATAGTCAGCCTTGTCAAACTTACTGGGTTCAAACGGAAAAACTCTATTGGTTCAATAGGCGCGAAGCGATCATCAAAAAGCTATTTATAACTCTATAATAGCTTGGCGTATATTTTGATTACGTAAATCTCTAGCTTTTCAATGTTAGATCGCAAACGGTGGCTGGGATAGGTAGTGCTGTTAATTATCTTCCGTCTGTTCTTTGGGAACATCATTTTCTATTTAACAATCACGAAATGCATCATAATAACATTTGAAGAACTCGAGATTAATATTGAATTACGGACATAAGGGTACAGGGGTAACATTGAATTCAAAAGATTACTTGGTTTAATCAGCAATCGAACCAGGAATTCAATAAGTTTCGGGTCAGCCAGCCTCCATATGTTCGGTCAACTTTACGATAACCCCTGGGTGATTCAATCGACAATCAATACAGAACTTATTAGAAGACTAATATTACTAATTCAGGCAATCAATCGGGTTACCTATATTGTGAATGATCTCGGGTGCTAACGGAAATCTATTGGTACCCAATGAATCTGCTTTCGTGCCTAGAAGATTGTGATGGGATACTGGATAGCTGTTTGCTATTTGATGCTGGTTCAGGTACATAACAAAGAATAGGAGAAGGATCTAATACGAATGTATGAATAGAATGAGACTGTAATTACATTACCTATACAATCAGCTCACTCCATTTATCCATCTCAGCTGTCATTACCCCAACACATACTTTGTGGTCTTTTCTTCTTCCATTTTCATTCCTCTTGAACTATTTATCTATTTTATTCATATTTGATAGAAAACAATATTGAAAAATAAAAGATAGCGCTTGTAATGTAACCCCTCCAATTATTACTGCAACCATCATCCCCAGATTCTGCTTGCGCAAATTAAGCCATCCATCGTCTATCTATTGTACCTAACCTAACGTAACCTTACACTATTCTTCTTCTTCTTCTTCTTTTCTTTTTCTTCTTCTTTCTCCCTTTCATACTTCACTTCAAACAATCGATACGGGATACTTGCATTTATACAAGCGTATAATCATCATCACACTGCTACCCAATCTAACCTTGGAAATCTTCACTCCATCCATCCATTCATCCATTCACCCACACCCACCTACCTACCCACTCACTACTTACCACCACCATAATTTCCCATAGCAACAACAAATTAACTTGATATTACTCTTCACGATACTGAACTTCTATTATTCAAATGGGAATTCACTGAAATTAAACCGAACAAAATCGTCGAATATCAATTACTTTTTTAAATCAACATCTACTCGTAATTTTAAGGTGACATTGCCTAGGTATAATTACTAGGGTCCCGCGTTGGTCGCTACAACTGGCTCCCTGTTCTTCGGTTGCTTAATTCCTCCATGGCGACAACAACTTCCGTCTCGCCCACTACTGTTGAGCGAAACACTTCACGACGAAGTCATAACAATTCAATTCCGAGTCGTTCCCAATCAACAAGAGTTAAAAGTAGTACGGCGGATTCACCACAGCGATCACATTCACACCACCATCGAGGCTCATCACGACATGCGCCCATAGAGGAATCAACGCCGCAGACTGATTGTGAGACTACGAACGTCGCGCAACAATCAAGAAAAACATCAAGCAGAGACGGCCCACCTCCTTCTAGACACGAATCTACAAGAAGCGCAACAAGTAATCATCGATCAACTCATCACAGTCGACACTCAAACGATATGGCGACCGCTGCAGCAAACGGCGGAGGCCCAGCCCCCGTGGTGACACCACAAGAGTCAAGACATGCTGCACACAAGGGGAAATCGAGAACTACCATACCAGCACAATCCGGAAATTGGGTTTTAGGCAAGACAATTGGTCAGGGTAGTATGGGTAAAGTTAAGCTGGCAAGAAAAGCGGAAGGCGGCGAGCAGGTAAATTTCCTTTATTTCCACGATTCAAACCTCAATCATGTCTAACAATTGTGTATAGGTTGCAGTCAAGATTATCCCACGAGGATCTACAGATGACAACCACAACTTAAGTCGAGCTGATAGGGAACGAGCCGATCGTTCGAAAGAAGTCCGTACAGCCCGAGAAGCGGCTATCGTCACACTTTTGGAACACCCATACATCTGCGGCATGAGGGATGTTGTGCGTACGACATATCATTGGTACATGCTCTTTGAATATGTCAATGGAGGACAAATGCTTGACTATATTATATCCCATGGAAGGCTGAAGGAAAAGCAAGCTAGGAAGTTCAGCAGACAAATCTCCAGCGCCTTGGATTATTGTCATCGAAACAGCATTGTTCACAGAGATCTGAAGATTGAGAACATTCTGATTAGCAAGACTGGAGATATCAAGATTATTGATTTCGGCTTGAGTAATTTGTTTGCACCACGGAGCCATTTAAAGACTTTCTGTGGTAGTCTTTATTTCGCGGCTCCGGAATTATTGCAGGCAAAGGCATATACTGGACCCGAGGTTGATGTATGGAGTTTTGGTATCGTGCTTTATGTTCTGGTTTGCGGCAAGGTTCCTTTTGATGATCAAAGTATGCCAGCATTGCATGCGAAGATCAAGAAAGGAATTGTAGATTATCCTAATTGGTTGACCCCCGGTAAGTTTATCTTGTTCCTTCGAGCTATTTAGTACTAACGATGATCAGAATGCAAGCATCTTATATCAAGAATGCTTGTGACGGATCCAAAGCAACGTGCAACACTACAGGAGATCATGAACCACCAGTGGATGACAAAACAGTACGGTGGCCCACCTGAAAACTATCTACCAGTTCGAGAACCTCTTACGCTTCCTCTCGACGATGATATCATCAACAGCATGACTGGCTTTGACTTTGGCCCGTCGGATCTTGTCAAGCAACAATTGACTGATGTCATCAAATCTTCCGAATATGGTCATGCTGTGCGTTTGGCAATGCAGGAACGAGAAAATGCTGGTCCTCCTCGTGACTCGGAGAAGAAGAGAGGAGTATTCGATTTCTACAAAAGAAGAAACTCTACCACGAGCCGAGATACCTTGACTGCACCAAGTGCAGAACTCCTACAAATTGGCAACGATCCCTGCAATGCCTATCACCCTCTCATATCGGTTTATTATCTTGTCAAAGAGAAACGTGAGCGCGATGCACTTGAAGCTAACCCAGGCGCGACGTCGATGCCACGGGTTCCAGGTGAAGCACCTCTTCAGATGGCAGAAATATCGGCACCAAAGCCAGCATATACAAACGCTACCGCTTATGAGATGCCCGGCGAGAAGGCTACAGGAGGTCGATCACGCCCGCGTGCTCGTACTCATGGGGAGGAAGAGGTCACCGAAGGAATGAAGAACGTTAAGATTGTCGCTTCAACTGCCCCTCCGTCACCTGCAATAGTGGAGCCTGTAGAGCAATCTGCCAGGAAAGAAAGTACAGCTGCTGGTATCCTGAGAAGATTCAGTACACGACGACGCAAGGAGCCTCCATCGTCTGACAAAACTGGCAATCATCTGACCGTCGGGTCGTCAAATGAGCCATCAACCCTTAGAAAGAGTTTCAGTGTCCGTCGACACCGTGATCGGGATGGGGATGGACATCTTCGCACAAGCGGAAGTGAACGCCAGCACGGTGATCTTCTCGCTCCAAGATCCGCTGAGACTTCGGCTGCTTCTAGATTAGGTCGATCGACGAGCGTCAATTCGGCAGAATATAGACGACGAGAAAATCGACGAGGAGGGGCAGGTGGAGAAACAGGAACCGCCGCTCCAGAACCAATGCCACCACGCGTTACCTATAAAGACGTCCCTCCAACTAGCGGCTCTGATCATTCGACCATGAATGAAATGCCAGCTCGCGATGGTGAAAGGGCTGGTCTCAATCCCCAAACCGCCACTATGAGAGCCAAGTCGTTGGGTCATGCAAGAAGAGAAAGCATACAGGCTAGACGGGCTCGAAGGGAGGAAGCTCGGGAAGCAAATGTACCTGAGGAGACTGATGTTGAGATAGGTGACGCTAGTGGTCTATCAACTGAACGGATCGATACTGCAGAGAATGTCAAACCTGTATTCCTTAAAGGGTTGTTCAGCGTATCTACCACATCAACCAAACCGGTTCCGGCTATTCGCATGGATATAATCAGAGTACTGAAGATTCTTGGGGTTGAGTTCACGGAAATACGAGGCGGATTTAGTTGTCGGCACACCCCTAGTATTGACTTGAAAAAGGTCGTCGATGTGCCTCCTAGCAGTCATGGCAACCATACCCCCGGACATAGAAGAAAAATCAGTTTTGGAGGTTTCATGGGAGGTAGCAATAATGCGGAAAGAGATCGTGAGGATTTCCGAGAAGCAGAAAAATCACCACAAGACCCAAGAACGCCACGTAGAGGTCGTGGTCCAGAAAATAGCTACTCAAATTCGGATGCGTCGGATGAGAGTGTCACCAGACGAGGTCACTCATCCGCTCGGGCTGTGGGCGAAACTAGCACACATGTTCAGAGTGAACTTGGCGGTAGCATGATTCTCGAATTTGAGATATTTATCGTCAAAGTTCCTCTTCTCTCTTTACACGGCATTCAATTTAAGAAGCTTCGTTCGGGAGGAACCTGGCAATTTAAGAATATGGCAGATCAAATCCTTCGCGAGCTTCGACTATAATAATTCCTCACGACACCTTTGGGCACGAGTCAGTCCTATGAATATTGCTATTTTAGTTGTAATACAGAAAGTTTTTCAATTCGCTATTCTTTCCTGATCCAACTCTTCCAAAATTTGTGGACGAACAAGCGATTGGAAGAAAGGCACACATGAATTACTTTTGAAACGAATTCCTTTTGTTAGCGAAACTGATGAAAAGATGGCATGCATCATCACATACTTTTGGCCATTTGGTTTTTACCGCACACACAATTTTCTTCTGTTTCTTTCCAATGCTTAATAATGGTGTGTCTATTTGCTTGCTCCGGAACCAGTTTGAGGTTCATCTTTGTAGTAATTATGGGACAAGAGTTCTTTCTTGAAGGGGAATGAGGAATGGCATTTGGGATTTTCCTTAATATTCTCTGGGGGAGGGCGAGGGGGAGGTTCGGGTTTGGGATATGTTATTGTCGAGGGAAGGAGATATGGAGGCGATGAAAATAGTTGGTTGGTTAGGGAGGGGTATTTATTTGGAGGAGTTGGGCAATTGATTGAGTGTAGGAAGGAATTAGGAAGGAGCTGTGGGTAGGGCAAGAACATGGATAGATAATTCTGATACTGTATTCCTTAATTTACTTGCCTCATAGCAGATACAGAGTTTTTCATGGTTGAAGTTTCCTCCCAATCTTTTTTGACTTTCTTTTCTTTTCTTTCTTTCTTCCTCACTATTTCCCATATCACAAATTCAGAGTGTTTAACCACACAACTCAACAACCACAAACCAGATCAATGGACTGGACTCCCAAAGTAATCCTACAAGCTCGATAACAATAATCATGGACACACCCCGTCGCGCATTTGGAAATTGGGCAAGATCGCCAATTCCAATACCAATACCGCCGCACACACCTGAAGGCACGGGATCGTCGTCGAGTAATTGGTCTTTTGGTTCGATGTCGGGTTCTTCGAGTGAGTCGATGGGTTCGTCGGCTTTTTGGAGGACGCCGAGGAGGGGCGGGGAGAAGGTGAGGGAGAGGGATAGGGAGAGGGGGAGGGAGAGGGAGAGGGAGAAGGTGGATGGGAAAGGGGGGTGGCGGCGTTGGGGTTGGGGTAGGTGGAAGATGAGAGTGAGAACAAGGGCGAGGACTCCCTGGTGGAGCAGGATGAACATGGGGTGGTTGGGTGGTTGGAAAAACTTGGGGGGTGGGAATGGTTGGAAAAGGTGGAAGAGGATGGGGGTGGGAAGGGGAGAAAGGAATGGGTTTAGGTACAGTATTTACCATTCGAGCTCTCCCTTTCTGGGTAAGAAGCGGACGAATAGATGGATTAGTAAACTAACTGACAACATTAAGTGGTAGTACACGTCGACTTCTCCGTCTCCTTACATTCATATTCGCATTCTGTCTCATATCGACATTTCTTTTTTACCTCGACCTTCCTCATCCATATGCAACCTCTTCTGCGCCATTACCGGACGTTCACTCCCTGGGTTCATATACACCCATCCAACCCATCTTCCCCAACACATCCTCGACGTCCCAAAAGCGACATAAAAAGCCCGATCCAATCCAATGGTTAAAAGAAAACTCCAACAACCGATATGCCATCACCGGGCACCAAAAATCATGGGGAGCAATCCCCAGCGAATGGCAAAGCCCCCGCCCCAAAGCCGCCCTCATCAGTCTCGTCCGCAACTCGGAATTAGATGGCATGAAACAAAGCATGATGCAGCTGGAAGCGCGCTGGAACTCTAAATACCAATACCCGTGGATCTTCTTCAATGATGAACCCTTTACCGAGGAATTCATAGCCGCGACGAGCAATTTGACGAAGGCGAAGTGCTATTATGAGGTCGTGCCGAAGGCGTATTGGGGCGTGCCCGAGTGGGTGGATGAGGGGAGGTTTATGAATAGTTTGGAGTATTTGGGTGCAATTGGCGTGGGTAAGGGCTGGATGGTTAGTTATCATCATATGTGTAGATGGAATAGTGGGTTTTTTTATCGCATGCAAATTTTGAGGGGGCTGGAATGGTATTGGAGGGTTGAGCCTGATGTGAGTTGTGCTGTTTGGTTATTGTATGCATGTATTATGTATACATGCATGTTTGTTTGTGTATCTGTGAAGCGAAACTAATGAAATGGGTGATAGGTGCACTTCTTTTGCAATATTAATTATGACGTCTTTCGCTTCATGCGAGATAATCATCTGAAATACGGTTTCAATATGAATATCCTCGACGACGCCCGTTCGTTTCCATCTCTGTGGGCTAAAACGCGTGCGTTCGCACGCGCAAATCCGCATTTACTTCATCCGGAAGCGGATCTTGGTTGGTTACTCGATGGTGGCGAATACAATAATTGTCAATTCTTTAGCAATTTCGAGATTGGAAGTCTTGGGTTTTGGAGAGGTGATATGGATATGGATACAGATACGGATGGAGGAAATGACGGAAATGGAAATGGAAATGGAAATGGAAATGGAAATGGAAATGGAAATGGAAATGGAAATGGAAATGGAAATGGAAATGGAAATGGAAATGGAAATGGAAATGGAAATGGAAATGGAAATGGAAATGAAAATAGGAACACAGGAGCCCATGCTAAATACTTCGACTACCTCGATCGCAGCGGGGGCTTCTATTACGAGCGATGGGGCGATGCGCCAGTGCACACGCTGAGTGTGGCGATGTTTTTGAAGAAGAGCGAGGTGTGGTATTTTGCGGATGTGGGATATAGACATGGTATTAATAGCGTGTGTCCGAGGGGAAGAGAGGGTGAGTGTGCGTGTGGAGGGGGAAATCTAGATGATGGGTTTTATAAATTGGTGCCGCTAGAGAGTCCGCAGAGGAAACCTGAGGATACGTGTATAAGGCAGTGGTTGGGGGGGAGTGGGTGAGGAAGAAGGAGGGTTGGAGGAGGGAGGATGAAGTTGCGGTGGGGGGGGATGGGTTTGGTGGGTATGTGGTTTTGTGAGGGGGGGATGAAGCCGGGATGTGAAGGGGAGGGAGTGAGGAGGGAGTGTCTGCGCTGGTCTTTTAGGTGAACTTGGGTTGGGGTTTGATATTGCGGCTAGCTATGGTAATAATAAATGTTTGTACCTTGAAGTTCTGCCTCTAATTGATTTTAATTTCCGTCGCGAATACTACTTACTCACCGTCACTCACTCATTGACTCGATTCTTAAATATATGAAGTGAAAAATTGCTTGAGTTATGTCATGACAAAGGTTCATATCTCATACTTACTTCATAGATTACTTTGTGATTTTGTGAAATGAAGAATGGGATTGTGGGGTTTTAAGATATAACATGAGTACGCAAATGAATGAAGACTTTGGATTTGGAGTTGGATTTGGATTTGGATTATCGGAATGGTTTTTCTTGGGTTTATTATTCTTTTTGGGATGGGATAGATGTTAGTGGAGGGCTTTTCATTTAAGGGAAGGGGGGGAGAGGTTGAGGGGAGAGGGTGAGGGGGGGTTTGAGAAAAGAGGTGTGATATGGAATGTTATAATTATGAGTACCGGTATATAAACGAAAGAAAGCTTCGGATTTTGATTTTCTGGGTGATTTTTTGTTTGTTTATTTCCTTTCCCTTTTTCCTTTTTTTTTGAAGGGGTTCAGAAGAGCAATCTAGGTATGCGGCAGTACTATTCAATATAGAACCCTACAAAAGGGATGAATCCATCTTATGAGAAGATTGGTGGGAGAGGGGGTGCTTAGGAAAATGGATTCGGGTTTGGTGTTGTTAGTGGGTGCGTGATGAGTGATGAGTGATGAGTGGATAGGATATGAGTGAGTAGAAGGGATGGGATATGAGTAGATAGATTTGTAGTACGAGTAGACTTGAGAAGGAGAAGAAGAAGAAGATATAGTGTAGTGTGTTGGTGTGTTGTTATGGTGGTAGTGTAGTGGTAGTGTAATGGTAGTATATTTGGGGTTTGTATTGGGATTTATATTGGGATTTGGTGCTGTGTATCATTGAAACTTGAGAAGGTAGAGTTGAGTTTGGGTTGGGATAGGGGTATTAATATGAATGAGTAAAGGATTGGATGGATGGATGGATGGATGGATAGATGGATTGAGAGAAGGGAATCAATGGCTTTGAAAAGACTGAGTATTTATCATCTATTTTTATATAACGTGGTTTATCAGTAAGCGAAACATGTCAGTAACCGGAACACTTTTACTACTCCAACTCACTTTCCACTAAAATAAAATTACAACAACACAATAAATTAGAATTAAATTATATACATTCTAATAATCAACTAATACTAGATCCAATTAACAAATTCGTATATTATATCTAGTATTATTGCAATTGCTATATTTTCGTTTAATAACTTGTTTTACTTCTGAAGAATTACTATTTGTATATTCATTATATTATATCTGATTTTTTATATTCTTTTGTTCTAATATATTATATCTATCTTTTACTTCAAATACTTCTTCTTTATGTAATTGAGTCTTTTTAGCTCTTCGGTGTTTGCTAAATACTTCATTTGCTTTGCAGAGACTACAAACCTCAATAGTTAAAAGTATATTCATATAAGTTAGGAGCTTTATACCCTTAACTAAAGCTGCAACTATTTCAAATATTTGAATAGATAAACTTCCTTGATACTAGGCAATACAACTTTTTACTAAAATTGATTGAGAAAGAGCTTCAATTGAATTTTAAAATATTTGAGATTGCCATATATCAGAATCAACTAATATTAATTTATCATTTGATAGTGTCCTTATTCGAATATCCAGTTTTGAGAGTACAACTTCCGGTTCAAATGGTATTAGTCTAGTTCTACAGAACCTAGCTTTACTATTGGATATAGATATTGATTCGAAATATACGGTTTTGAAAGCGTGAAAAAACTCGGTTTTGGTAATGTAAATGATATACACTTTTATAAAGTTCTCGATCTGCTGGCTGTACAAATGCTTTAAAGGACTAAAACAACCAATATCAAATAATTGAATTAAATGCGAAGAATGAGGTAATAAACTAAATGGTATAATATTGTATTCCTTACAGTATTCCTGAAATATTACTGATTTATAACTTTTATACCCATCAAGTATTAGTATTCGATATCTATCCATTTTCCTGTTTAAAGTATACTTATTGAAATGCTTAATCTATTCAAGACCTATATGATTGTCTGTCCATCTATTAATAATAGGTTTAATGACCCAATTATGTGATAAATCCTTTTCGGTATATCAATTTGAGAAATGGTATTTGCCTTTAACCACTAGGAATAGAGAAATACTGAATCCTTCTCTATTGATACAAACGATTGCTGTAGTTTATTCTCAGTTGCCTAATTGTATAGCTTTATTTCTTTTATATCGATTAATTTTAGTAACTATTATATACAATAATATTTGTCCTATCATAAAGCCTGTTTCATCCAAGTTGTATAAATCGCAATCCTGAATACTATATTTTGCCTACATATTCGATATCAATCGAAACCAATTCCTAATAAACTCTGGGTTTTCACAAAAAGCCCTTTGAAAATCATAAACACAATTAAAACACATCTTTAAGTCTGGATATTGTTATACAAATCGATTAATCCAAAGCTTTCCAATTTTCTTACTACCCTGCAATTCAAAGATACAATTCATTATATCTTCCATATTACTTATTCGAGAATTAAACCCTTTCTCATCTATATCCAATATATATTGAAAAAACGATTTATCCTTTAATTCTGTTATTTTACAATATATTGATTGAGATTCAGCTTTTGGTATTTGACCGGCTATTCTGTAGGTAAGGGTAGTATACGATATATTATAGATTTTAGCAGCTTTCCGTATACTCAGTTTTTTGAATAAAGCAATAGCTTGAACAGCTAGATTAATTTGCAACTCTTGCATATTTATTTGAAAGGTTGGATATGGATTTATCGTGTATCAAAGTTAAGAGGTGGTAATTGAGGTAAAAGTGTTCTGGTTACTGATATGTTCCGCTTACTGATAAACCACGTTACCGGTATCATGTTATATGGTATTCATTATCTATTAATAACCAATTAGTAACCACTCAAACCTTCCTTCCTTTCCTTCCTTACTAATCAACCCTATCAAAAGCTTTCAAACCACCTACCTATCCAATCAACACTCACCCATTTCAACATCAAAAAAACCCAAAAACCCCACCAACCAATCACAGCTCAACTAATAGTCATCAAAGGTCATCAAAGGTCATCAATGACGAAAGTTTACAACAACTAGTATCATTAATGAGAGTTAGAGAAAAGTATATATAATGTGACTTTCTCTCTTGTACATTGGTATTGAATTGAAATTGAATTAAACTCATTGAATATTATCAACTACTACAGTATTTGAATCTATACCTACAACTCTAATACCGCCCAACAACATCAACACCAACAACTCCAATTTCAGAACTCCAAAAGATCAAAATGGCTCCATCAACATGCTGTGGAAAGAAGGGCGAGAATGCCAGTGGAAAGGGTTGTGTTTGTGGTATGTTTTTTCTTTTTCGATTTTGATTTCCTTCATCTCTTCCTATCCCCTCACCCTCAATATCCCATCCCCAAAACATCCCTTATAACCCCAAAAATATATCACACACAACTAACTCCCAACAGCTTTTCAAGCAAGATGTTCGTGCGGCCAAAAGAAAGCTCTCGAATGTACATGCGGAAGCGCCGAGTATGAAAATAAGATCGAGGGCGCCAGATGTAGTTGCCGTATGTATATTGTTTTCCTCTCCCGTTTTCCCCTCCTCTTTCTCTCTCCTCTTTTTTATATCCCCCCAATTTCCTATTCTCCAACTTTCCCCTCTTACCTTACAACGTATCCCGATATGTTCTTTCATATGAATATTGATCAGTAGCTAATATACAAATAGGTGCCCGCGCAGCCGGTGCTTGTACTTGCGAGCGTGCTACTGAGGAAAATAAAGTTCCTGCTGGGGATTTGTGTGGATGTGGGGCTAGACCTGTTGGTATGTTTTTCTTTCCTAGTTTCTCTATCTTGCTTCTTGCATGATGCTTCTGAAAGAAATAAATACTAACAATAAATAGATGCATGCACATGTGAAAAAGCTACAGATGGTGGTTTACTTCCTACGGAGACGGATTTCACTAGTAAGGCTTAGGCTTAGATTGGGGAGATCAATTGAGGGGAAGGGAAAGGGAAAGGGATGTTTGGGGCGTTTTGAGGGAATGCATGGGAATGGAATGGGAGGGGATGGGATGGGATGGGATGGGGAATTGGGTATAGCATAGCATAGCATAGCATAGCATAGCATAGCACGTACTCGTGCGTGAGTTATCAAAGAAATGCTAAATTTCAAAGATTGTGAATGTGAATGGAGTGTGAAGTGTGAGTGATGCAGAATGATGGGGATGGTGAGAGAGAGAAGTGAGAGAGAGAGCCATGTGGTGAAGTAAGAGAGGGGTGTACCTAGGTATGTTGCAAGGTAAAAGGTTATAGGTTATCAGATAAGATTCAGATTTTAGGATCAAAGATACTACTCGAGTAGGTAGTTAGTTGGAGTCTTGAAGTCTTGGAGGGGAAGGAATAGAAGGGGGTCTGGGGGTGTGATGAGAGAGGGAATGAGAGAGGGGAAATAAAAATATAGAGAAGTGAAAGTAAAGAGAGGGAAAAGGGGACGTGAAAAGTGGAAGGGAACGGGCTAAATTTTATGAGTAAAATTGTGCGAGGTTGCTGGATGAGTTGGATGGGATGGATGGGATGGATGGGATAGTTTGAATAGATTGGATAAATAAAACTAATAGGAGTAATGAAATGGAAACTAATAGGAGTAATGGAAAGGAATAGGAATAGGAATATGAATAGGAATAGGAATAGGAATAGGAATATCAGATTTCGATACTCCAAACTCTGTACCCTGTACCCTGTGCCCTATAATTACCTAGTTATTACATAGTATAGCGAGTCGCGTAGCGTACCGGTAGGGATAGGGATAATGGGGATTGGAATATCAGGGATTGGGATATCAGGAATACATATATACTGGTACTACATATATAATTTTTTCGGTGAATAGTAGGGGGGGATTGTGTGTGTGTGTGTGTGTGTGTGTAAGTATATGAAGGGAAACCGAGGATTTGAGGGAGTGAGGGTTTAAGGGTTTAAGGGTTTGAGGGAGTTGGGGGGGCGGGGGGAGGGGTAGAGGATTTGAGGTTTTGAGGGTGACAAAGTGAGTTGAGATACCGCATGGGATGCTGAGATATTGAAAGAGGGATGAGAAGAGAAGAGAAGATTAAATAGTAGTTACTCGGTATTTGAAGTTAGCAATATGAGTAAAAGGTTTGTGGTTGAATGTGAATGAATGAATGGATGAATATATGAATATATGAGAACACTATCTATACTACTATTATATATTACTGTTAGTAGTAGATTGAGGTTGCAATAGTCGAGTTACAGAAAAGGATCCCTTTATTGATTGCCGCGAAACTTGGAGGCGGGGTTCAATATCTGTTGCTTATGTAAGTTATGTACATAGAGATAAACCACATAGAATATCAAAATGGTAGGTACCTAGTAGATAAAACATACGATTGATTGATACCTAACTTTGAAAATAAGTCTCTTTCGTTTCATATCCATATCATATCCATATCTATATTATAATCGGATATCAAATCAACTCTCATCAAATTAAGGCATAATAGTCCGTTATTCAAATGGGTGGTAATTGGTCAAAGCGTCAGACACGTCTAAAATCCCATCTCCCCTTCACCGCCAACAAATATCCAAATATCTGCTGTGTGTTGTGCAGTGCAGTTGCATATGACTCTAAACTTGCATCGAAGCGCATCGAACCCATTTGATTGATCTCTGTCGTTCCCTCGTTCCATCTCATCTCATCTACATCAAACATAACCATTTACATCTCCTACCACCTTTCTATCTAATCTACAGTACATATATATTTCCCGTGTTTGTGTACTCATTACTTCCCTCTTTCAATATCTATCTACCTAGCACATCATGCCTTTTATGTCCAAATCATCCTCTCCTTCGACCTTTGCGTCTTTTCCAAAAATGACCGATATTGAGTTGCCTATTCGTTTGGCTCAGTGTATTGGAATTACTGCTTCGTCTGCTCTCGCTGGAGCTTCTCTCAGCATATCCTTCATCGCCGTTCCAAGATTACTCGAATCCCCACCACATCTTTTGCTCAAACAATGGAATAACCTTTTTCAACAAGGAAAAGCATTCTTCCCCATCGCTTCGTTGGTTCCGGCAGGATCTTTCTTCTTCCTCGCATATAAACAGACTTCTAAACTTAAGTTAAAGTTGTTTGCCGCGGCTGGCGCGTTGGCTGTGGGAATTATTCCTTACACGCTTTTGTGCATGATGTCTACTAATACAAAGTTATTGGGAAAGGTGGATGAGGCACAGGTAGTCTATGCCAATCAATCGGGTGGGGATTGGGATGATGTTTCTTCGGGATCTGGTCGCAAACATAAGAAATCTTCCAAGGACCGCGAGAGGAGTGATAGAAGTTACAAGAAGAGTTCTTCGAGCAGGAGAAAGCCTTTGGAAGAGGAAGGGGATGAGGATGTGAGAACTGCTCACGAATTGGTTGATCGTTGGGCATTGTTGAACGTGGGACGGGGTATTATGATGATTGCGAGTGCCGCGGTCGGTACTTGGACTGTGGTGAGATATTCGAAGAATTAGAGGGGTTTACGAACACTTTACGACTCGGTACCTACGATAGATGACTTCGCAGATGATGATTTTGGATATGAGGGTGGTGATTTTGGGTTCTACGACTTCTATGATATGATGGGATGGGATGATATAAAATATGACAAATGGCACGAGTTTCTATGAATGGGATATGGATATGGATTTGGCTGAAGGGATTGAAAGGCAATGATGGATAGTATATACGGAAACGAAGAGGAAATGTTCGTTCGAACCTGGATTTTATATGGGAGTTTTAAAATGGCGATTCTAGAAACGCAACTCAACCCTTGTTATAGATCATTGATGTTATAGATCATTGATACAGATCCAATACCCAAAAAAAAAGCATTTTTTTTCAACCTCGGCTTTGATTTTGGGTAATTTTTTTATATTGAAGTTACATAGAGAATGCGGTATAAAAGCTGTTAGATCAGATTTTTGGTAGCAATTGCATAATTATTATTTTATTTCTTATTTCTTATTTCGGAGGTTCTAGCCCGATTAGTGTGCACCGCCACACATGACGCTTAAGCAAGATGACGACATGGCCCTGAAAATCATTGCTCTTATCAAGGAGAAAGAACATCATAGGGAACGAGCTTTGGTGACGGATGGATGGACAATTAGGATGGTGATGGAATTGGTGATGGAATTATTGGGTTCGGAATACCAAGTTTGTTGTTACCAACTTTTTTTTATAGATAGGTAATTGAAATGAAATAAATAAGAATTTCTTTATATTATTTTGACCCTTTTTTTCAATATTATATTACAGGATATACAGTACATATCAATTGAATATCCCTTACAGTACAACACAACTTCATCTCAGATCATCTCCTTCCTTCTTACACATACACAACTTCACTTTCGATAAAGATAATCCTAATTCAATTCAATTCAACTCAATACACACATCACACACATCACATACAACACATAATGCTCGCCTCAAGAACAGCATCAAGAGCAGCAGCTCGCACTCTTCGTGCACCAATTAGACGACAAGTCAGACAAACACGATTTGTTTCGACGACACAGGCTGAAGGTGCAAAGGCAGGTGGTGCTTCGGGGTTTGCGGCGGGTGTAGCGGGTGGTGCGGTGGTTTTGGCTGTGAGTATTTGAATTTCTTCTTTCTGGAGGAGGAAGGGGGGGTTTATTTGATTTTACGTATGCCTGGTTATATTTTCACATACTGACTCATTTCAATAGGGATGCTACACATATTATCAATTCTCCGGCGCCAAAACCGTCGTCAACGCATACAGTTCCACCAAAAACCAATTCCACAAAGCCACATCAGCACTTTCTGAAAAGGCTCCTGAACCCAATCAAGCGATTAAATGGTTGCGAAATGCCACTTCTTCCTACGCGGCTTTTATCCCAGGTGCTCAATCGTTCCTCGATGGTGCATTTAACGATATTGAGAAAGTGCAGGAAAAACATGGCAAGGAAGTCGATGATATTGTTAATAAAACATATGCCGATCTCAAGGATATCAGTAAGAAGGGGGGAGTGGATATGCAAACCGCGGTGCAGGGTTATAATATTTTGACCAAGGCGTTAAACGATATTGCGGAGTTGGGAAAAGATAGTTTGGGGGATATTATGGAGAATCATCCGCAGATTAAGGAGAAGTTGGGGGGGAACCTCGATCAGCTGAAGAGTATGGCGGAAAATTATGGGCCAGAGGCGAAGAAGGAATTGGATGATACGTATAAGAAGGTTTCGGAGATTCTGGCGGGGGGTTTGGGGGTAGGGTCGATTGATCAGGTGCGCAAATTGATTCAGGAGAAGAGTGATAAGGTGAAGAAGTTGGGCGAACAAGCTTGGAATAAGGGGTTAGAAGAGTGGAAACCTTATCTAGAGAAAAATCCCCAGGTCAAGGAAATCGTGGAGAAGAATGCTGATGCGTTGAAATCGGGGAATGTAAAGGAGATCTTTGATCAGGTTAGGCAGGCGATTGACTCGGGAAATACGGATAATCTGCAGAAGTATATTAAGGAGGCGGGGGAAAAGGCAAAGAGTAAGGGGAGTGGATTGGGTGGGTATGCGCAACAAGCGGCGCAAATGGCGGGGATTCCGGGGGCGGACAAGATGTGGGAGAGGTTGCAGAGGTTGCAGGAGGTGGCGAGGGAGAATGGGGGGGAGGTGGAGGGGTTGCTGAAGAGTGCGTTTGAGGAGATTAGTGGGGTGGTTGAGAAGAAGGTTAAGGAGGCGGAGAAGTTGAAGGGGAAGGTGGAGAGGGATGCTAAGAAGTAGGAAGTAGGGAAATAGGGGGGTGGGGATTGCATTGATGGATGGATGGGTGGATGGATGAGATGGGAGATTGTTTTATAGAATGGATGGTTGGGATCGGATGCGAGGAGTATGTCATGGTATGGAAGGGACTGGTTTGGTTTGGGCATAATATGATATGATACGATATCAAGAACAGAATGAAGAACGAAGAATCAATAAAAAGAAATTAATTAATTCAATCCATTCATTCATTATTGCATTACATTATATTGACCATCATCTATCCAGCCTTTCTCCATCACATTCCATTCCATCATATTACCAGTCGATGCTTCTCTCTTCAGACTCTTCTCATCTCCTCTTTCTTCATTCTCGGATTATTCATGCACCGGTATAGCTACTAGGTACTAGGTAGATACTCTAAGTGGAAATGGGATATTTGACATTTCCTACATCTCCTTAGTAATGGCTAATATGGATATTGTGAGGAGGTTATAAGGAGGTTGTAGATATCGGAAGGTGGTTTGGGTTAAATGGGTTGGAATGGGCTGGGGAATGGTATTAGATATAGTATATGTATTGTATATTAATGAAGGTGTTAAGGAGAGAAGAGGGGAGGAGAGGAAGAGGAGATGAGAGGATATAGATATTTATAATAGATAGGGGGTTGTATGTTTTTGAGGGGTTTGAAGTATTAAAAGGGCTAGGTAATTATATGTATTTCTTTTGGAAAAGTAATTCGAGTATAAGTATACCAGTAGCAGAATTTTCGTTACTGTATATTGTGCAAACTGGTGTGTCTGTTTGGGTAGCAAAATGATGACGGGGAAGCTTGTAGTCGTAGCCTTGCAGCTTTTTAACTTCAATAGCCTGATGGTCCGTGCTCAAGCTTCTTTCTCATTCATAAATCTAAATTACTTGGTTATTGGACTTGTCACTGTCACTCCTTCACATCATCCCAGAGGTTTAATCAACAAACATATAAGTTTATGGAAATCAATATCATCAATATTAAGGAATTTAAGGATTCTATTGAGATAAGATGGTGAACTATTCGGACCGTACAGAGCCAGTACTGCCGATCGATGTCACTAATTATGCTATTCAAACACCCAAACAAAGAGTAGGTTCTCAACTAATCCTCTCTTACTCCAGGAAAGCGTTATTATTCATTATTCTACGGAATAATAAATTCAAGTTGAGTCGGCTGGTCACTTAAGTGATGTTGGTTAAAAATCAAACAAATTACACATCAAGACGGAGGCACCTTGTCATGTCGATTTGGTCCCATTCAAATATCTGCTTCTATGTCATACTTACTTGTTATAGTTCTCCGCAGATCATGTTTTAGATCATGTCAACGATCTTCAGCACTCTATTCACGAACTCCCGAGGAATGCTAAAACGGCTTCCTTGACTGGTGCGCCTCGACCAGCATTTTGGAGAATGAACCTGGTAGCTTTATCGCAGAAGTATAATGTGTGTTTGTCTAATACACTTCTTCGAATCACGGTACTCATGTAATTGCAGATGTACTTTGCAGCATATATGGATACGATACACGTCACCAAACCTCGAACAATCAAACAAATTCTACCCGGTGTTCCAGACTTGATTCTTCGGTTACCAGTGTCGAAGAATGCCGGTCCTGGATATCTCGATCGAAATCGCCCGCACTGCGTTAATAATATGATAATTGGCAACCTCGGTGACAAAGAGATATTGTTATTCTGCACCGATGACGGAGATGTAACGGCATACTATACATATCTTATAGCGGGAGAACTTCAATCAACAGTAATGAGTACAGCGTCGTCAATTCCTATCGGCAGCACAAAGCCGTAAGTACTTACGTTTCCATATGTGGTGTGATTCTTATTCGTCTCAGGTTTTTTCTCGAGAACGTCGGTAGTAGTGCTTGGGGTCTTGCTATTCATCAAAAATCGCGCCTTATTGCAGTAAGTTCTAACAAAAGAGAAGTCACTGTCTTTGTACATGGCATTCATAGCAATGAGACTTGCGACTGTGCTGTGATGGGCACTACCTTTGATCAGTTTGTTCATGGCAATGCCCAGAGACTCTTTCCTGTCGAGGAATGTTATTCAAAAGGCCGGGTGTACAAGAGTGGTGGACCTCTTGCAAGCAGTTCATTTCCTCTGAGAACCTATGCACAACATATCACACGTGATCCCCCCCGACGTGAAGTCCCATATCCGCCAATCACATCACCTTGTAACCGTGACTTCAGGTTAATCCTCAAACCTGGCAAGGCCAGTCACAATATTCCTGCCATTACTTTTGCAGATGATAAGCATGGCTTAGCCGAATCAATCCTTGCTACTGATATTCTTGGCGATTTGTGGTTGTTAAAAATATGGCAGAGTCACAGGGAGTTGATTGGATTGCAGCTTCGCGGGTCAGAAGGCCGAGCGCCAAATCAGATGTCAGTACACCCCCAGATAATCAAGATTGTGCTCTCTAACAAACCTAGGGGCTGGGGCGTCATGACCATACCCCAGCGGTTTTTCAAACCCTCCCCAAATTTTCAAGATGCTTTAGGCATGGATTATTTAGACTCTGTTTGGGAGAATTCCGTACACAATAGGGAAGGGATTTGTTGTATGAACATTACTTCCAGCATGATGCATGCTGAGCATTTCCCCACAATCTTACAAGATGCGAATGATGTTGAGCCTGCGAGTTCGTTAATACCAAGCAACCAGGTTATCGGTGTTGGCGCTCCCGGGATCATGGACAATGGGGAGGTGGAAGATGGGCAACCGATTTTTCATGAATTGCATGGTGTAGAGGACGAGGGCGATGGGGCTTTTGTGAGTGGTAACATGGCCACATTCGTTGAGCCAATACGTAATCCTAATTGGTCGATCATTGAAGATGATAGAAACGATGAACAGGACCAAGACGAGAATTATATCCGCAGCAGCTCGCCACCTAATCAGCTGCAGGGATTGTATGCCTCTACCAAGAGGAAACATTCTAGAACCAACCCACGGGGGAGACAGTTTGCCATAGAGCCCAAAGACTTTCTCGAAAAATTCAAGTTTCTGATCACATTTGGTCGTGTTTTCAACAAGATGCCTGAAGTTCTCTCTATGCCTGGCATGAGAGATATTATGTTTAGAGATCAACAACGATACCAGCGTTTCCCTGCTTTCGTGGAAGAAAAAATGACATTTCAACCCATCCTCAGTGATGAAGCTGTCATCCTTCGAACTTGGCGGGACAGCATCGAACTTGTGTCTCCGTATCGGTTCATACCTCCAGTGGTATGCTCACATGCCTTTGGTCGTCAAAGAGCGCCGAGAGCCTTCGGCGAAAACTTCCAGGATATTTCTAGAATCAACATGATGGCATTGATACCGGAACTATCGCTTGTCGTTGTTGCCTCTCAGGGTGGACAAGCGGCTTTACTGTCACTTACAACCGTGGACGTCTTGTTCACCAAATCTCCCATTACTACTTTCCGTATTGAGGCTCTCCTTCCACCTCGGAAAGTAGGGGGAAATCATCTACCCGGTGATGAAGAACCGAACCCCCCACTTCTTGGATTGGCCGTGTCCCCGCTACAGAAAGGTGAGGACATCGAATTGGATGCAGGAGATGATCCGAAGAAGTGGAGACTCATTATGCAGAGTTATGATCATACGATTTGGACGTATGAGTTGAGTAGGGATGTAAATGATGTTTTGTGTGTTTTTTGAGCTTTAGCGTAGCGTAGCGAAAATGGGTTGGGTAAGTTTTCCAGGTTGGGAGTATTTGATATCTTTGGGGTGAATGGTGTAATGGGTTTGCATGGGATGAGATATTAAAATTGTTTTAGGTGGCTTTACTTGGGGTGTTGGATAAGAGTTACGAGTATTGGAAATCATGGTTACTCCATACTCGATATTATCAACGGAATATCTTCCTAGCGTATAAATAACGAAATGTTCATATTGTATTCTTACTTTGCTTGAATTGCTGTGTGGAAAGACATTGTGTTTCATTATGTACTGTAAAAACATGAAAAATTCGTGAGTTCGCTTAGCTTATTAGCCCCTTAATTATACAGTACTGATCGCTCTTTTCTAATCAACGGAAATCTTATTATTAATAGGTGATGAATAAAATGAGGAAGGTTTTGTATTTAGTATTGATAGTAGGAAAGGAATGCGGTAAAGTGAGAGACATGCGATCTTTTATTATTACTACACCCAGTTTAATAACGTGTTTCCAAAAAGAAATCGTAATTTTAACTCCTTGTCAATTTTTACCTCAAATTTAATTTCATATTCGAATTTCAATCTATAATATCTTTATCAAAATCATTTCAATTTGAAAAAGGTTTTTAATATAATTGAATTATTGATTATTAGAATTATTTCAAATATTTTTCAATATTGAAATAACTTTATTACCAAAATAATTATTTTGAAATTGAGATGAAAAGATGACTCGGAAAAATGTCAAAAATCACGATTTTTTTGGAAACACGTTATTAAACTGGGTATATACTATTAGTGCTATTATTGTATTAGCGAATAAGTATAGTCGAGTGACTCGGGTATAATTTGTCTATTGTATATATTGTGTATAGTTGTAGCAGAGATGGAGATAAAGATAGAGATGGAGATATTTAATACTTACTATGAGTATTAATCCTATTGAATATATTTGATTTCGCTTTTTTATAAGTTGTGAGCTTTTTTTTATATACTAGTTTAGAGTACTCGAGGAGATTAGTTCGATATTTTTTGGGGTTTATTTTGTTTTTTTTGTACTCGAGTATATATATATATTTTCTTTTCTTTGATACTTAAATGCTCGATGCTCGATGCTCGATGCTCGATGAAATATTCCATGTTCCTTTTCATTTCCCTTTCATTATATTTAAATTTGTTTTAAACACACATCCATCACTTTCTTATTATCTTCCCAGTAGCTGATAATATTCTGAGATAATCAGTTATACGAGTACAATATCCTCATATTCTCCTATAGTATAACTCGTATATTGATTTTGATTTAGTTGTAACTTGTTAGGATTTATTTATAATAATATGAGTTCTAGGTATCCCTAGGTAACCTCGTTCCTGAATCCTATTTCATACTAGACTAGCTCTGAAACTCTGATCTTTGTCCTTATATGAGTACTTATACACATTGTTACTTAATCTTTTCTTCTTCTTCTTCTTCTTCTTCTTCCTTTTGCTTTCCTCTTACCCGCTTCCGCTTCTTCTGTATATATACTAGGTAGATTTCCTCGGCTTATTGTAATTTCCTTCTTAATAATATGTTACTCTTTTCGTTATACAGACAACAGTACCGGGAGTTCTCCGATCTTCTCATTCTTAGCCTTGTCGATACTGCTTCTTCACTCCGCCCTCTTTCTCTTCCTCTCCTTACTCTCCTTTTATATCATCCTGCTTCACCTCATCCATATTGATCTGCAAAATGATGGTAAGTTCCTCTTCCTCAATACTCAGAGTAAAATTTAAATAGTGTATATCTCCCTTCATTTTAACACTCCCAGAATCCTTTTTCAACAGTGTCATCTTTAATATTTCAAACAATTTTCTTCTCCTTCCTAATTTTGAATTTTCTGTTCCCAATTTCTTTCTTTCTTCCTTTCTTATTCTCAACGTTTCTCCCTTCACCGACTTTCATTATGGCATTCTGCTAATTCTTTCATTGCATTTGTATTGTCACGCAACGATACCCCATCATTACTGATAAGTCACCCTGGGATCTCGACCGTGACACACCTTCCTCTCCTATCTTATCCCCTCCTACTTTCATCCCATCACATCACATACAAATACCTCGCCCTCCTCCTCCTCCTCATCCTCATCCAATTACAATTCCACATCCACATCCCCATCCCAAGAAACTCGATTCCGCACCACCCCCGCCTTTTCTTCCCTCTCCCCCGTAATATCTTTCCTCATCAATATGCATCTATCTACACCACACTCACCTACATCCTTCCCCTAGACTCCTACCGCAGTCTTTCTTTTTTCTTCTTTCTTCCTTTTTTCTTTCTTTGACGACTAATAACTAACTAGTAACTACTCAACCACACTCAACAACTTATTTTCAGAACACCATTTCGATAATCCCATTTCAACATGAAATTATCGAATAGAACTTAGTGAACTTCCGAGCCTCACGTAAACGTAGACGTAATCGTCTCACAAATGCTCAACTAACTACAGTATGTCACTCAATCATTTTTTTCTTCGGGGTGACTGCGAATTTGGAATGAGTAAATGTTTACCTATTTCGAGTTTCTTATAGAAGTATCGATTGAGAATTTTCTACAAAATAAATTCCTTATTTTTTTGATACAAATACAAGTAAGTTATCAAACCTTACGTAGACTGCAATAATACATATTGAATGGCCCCGCCTCGCTCATTTCACATATTAGTAACTAGTTATACTGGAATTAGAATCACGTTCGGAGAATCGGAGTTGCTTAGATATATACGATTAGCACAGATTACTATTTAACGTCTAAGTCCTGACGATATATAGATAGGGTTTATATCCTATCATCGCATCGGGGACTGTAGGAGTACAATAACTAGATTGAGTAGGTTTTTGGTTGAAGGATACAAGGGGTGGTGCGAAAAATTCATGTATGAGGCAATGCATACTTACACACTCAAGGACCCGAAGATATACGACTCGGAGATATATTCCTCGTGGAGGACTGACTAACTAATTGAGATGAATTATATGAAATGCTCGTTGAAAATATGTTATTACAGTATAATCAGTAGTTCAGTATGCGAAATTGGAGGTTTCTACGAGTATTGATTACTGGTACTCGAGTACAATTCTTACTTATTCGACTCCCTTGCGAAAGCCCCGTCCCCCACCTTTCTATCTGTACATCACCTCACTCCGATCAAATCACACAGCATACACCCCATTGCACCATAAGTTCTCCCAAATCTCCAGTCCGTTGGCTACTCCATATCCCCATATCCCCATTTCCCCATTTCCATTTCCAATTCCATCTCCTAGCAATCTCCGACTAACAGGCAGGCACCCACTCATACATACATAAATTGTACCTTACAAAAGACCAGCGTCAATTATTTCAACCCTTCAAGCTCAGCCATGTAGTAATGTAATAAGTCCATACCAGTAATATCAGGTTCTCAAATATTTAGCGGCGCCGACGAGTCCTGAATGTTGTAATATATCTTCTTGAGGAGATTCAATGGAATATGAATACAAGTATAAGTACAAGCTCAGAGGTCGAGAGTCTTGCCAATTTCATTGTTCATGGGGAGGGGTAGAAGAAGGAGGAGGAGGAGGATAACCAATGGATTTTTGAATGATGGCTTGATGCTTGATGGCTTGATGTTTCGCTTGGAGAGAGTATTGACAGTGTAGTATGAGAGGTTGAGCGGTTGAACTATTATATTGATTTAACTGATAGTTTAGTTTGTGATTCTAACTACCAATGAAACTACAAATATCCTAACTGCCAGTTTCCAGACTGGTTCAAATCACTGACTGCACTGAGTATCAAGTACCTTGAGGGTTTTGGAGAGAGCTGTAAACTCTTGAGGGATTGGCTATCATGCCATGCCATGGGATGACTTGACATGTTTGGTGGTCGGTGCGTGTTCACGTATTCCTCGAGTTGCAGAGTGATCCAAAGTTGAAAGCCAGAAAGGCGGAAAGCAAGAAAGAAGCCTCCACCAAAATACATATCTCCCAGGTCTTTCTCCTGGGCGCCTGATGAATGGTGGTGATGATGATGATGATGTCGTTGAATATGATAGTGTGGAAAAACAGATCTTTTCCAGTTTGATGGTGGAGATAAATTGCCATTAGTATGGTAGAATTTTGGAGTGCAAGGAAGATGCAATGTTCGACCCCATCAACCTCTTTGCTTTTGTGAGGGTACCATATTTCTCGGATCACGCAGAAGAGAGACCGCAGGAGCATTTGAAGCTCGTGAATGGTCAGGAGAAATGTGATGAAGTGTGAAGGGGTTAATCTATCTCAACCCAACTCCTATTTGACTTTCTCTCACGGTGGGTGATAATCTGGGGATTTGACTTCTCTGCCCAAGTAAAACTCATCGACTAGGGCCCGGAACTCAAATGAGTTTGGCTTGCTTCTGCCAGCGTCTTGTCTACAGGAAGAACGATAGCTAATCGTAGCATTATCGACCGAAGGTCCAGCAACAAACCCAATGAGGGGTCATCTACCCTTGACTTTTACTCTCCGCAATGTGAAGATGCGAGGAAGTTAGAAACGACACCGATTACTTTCATCGTCGCCCGAACCTTCATCTACCAAATCAGAGTTTTGTAACTTTTGTCTCGTGTATCCGCATGGTCTGGAAGTCATCGGTTTCTTCATCAACTTCGACAACTGCTCAATTGAAGCACTAGCATGACGTGAAAACTTCAATTTCCGGGTAGTATTTGTAAATTCATAATAGATTGCATCTACCTATAGCTAATGCAAAAATTTCCGAGCACTGCCCATGACGATAATCCTCATGCCGCGCATGGCAAGTATCCCAACTCGCAAACGCACGCTAATCACCTTGTAGCTCGTGCTGAGCTCTGAGTGTTTTCGAATCCGACTTCTCCATCCACTGCTCAACGAAGCCAGAGAGTGGTAAAGAATCTGATTTGCCCAGTTGATCAGAAAGGGCCTTTGTAATTCCTTTGTATGATCTAGTTTACTGACATTTCGGTCGCTTTTGGCATTGGTCAACTGTTCAGTTGGAGCAGCCTGCTCAGTGGGGTACTTCATCTGGCTATAGAAGGCAACGAATTCTTCACCGACGTCGCCGTCACTTACGAACGGAGCAAGTTCTGGAACCTTCTCCAAAGTTTGGACTGGGCTCGAGACAAACTCCAGGAACCTTAGTCGTGTGTGTGCAGTTGACCTTGCCTTCGAAGTTCATTTGCCCAATTGATAAGAAAGGGTCTTTGAAATTCCTTTGTATGATCTAGTTTACTGACATTTCGGTCGCTTTTATGCTCGAGACAAGATCGAGAAATCTTGATCGTGTATGTGCAATTGACCTTGCCTTCGAAGTTTGGGAAAGCTCTGTTGGTACTAGCAAAGCCGCAAACCCTATGGGAGACGATCGGAAGAGCACGATCGGTACAATGTGAGGTTGGGTTGGTAGTACCCATCCATGGGGTCAACGAAATTGATGAAAGCAAACGTATCCAACGTTGCAATCGTTGGAAAAATCAATCTGTGGCTCAATGCCAAACCCATCACACCACCAGCTTCAAAACGAGAGTGTGGACTAAAAGTATTAATAGGTGCGGTGGTTGAATTAAACTGAATGGGTTCATTGTAAGAGGAAGGAGAAACGACAACAAACGTAGTGAATCGCGTGGTAAATCTGGCCCGTTTGCCAGAAAGTCTCCAATGGAAGGTAAATTTGTTCGGTCTTTTCCGAAACCACCAAGTTGATCACGGGCAGAGTCTTAATTGTAATGGGCTGTAGACAAAACAGGTTTTTGTTTGTAGCGTTCAGTAAAACTTTTGCTGAAGGCAGAAGCCGCAAAAGGTAAAATCTGATTCATCTACAAGCCCTTTACAAAAAGCTTCTCTTGGACTGCTGGAAAGTATGGAATTATCCCGAACACTGGGAGGTTAAATTAGGTGGAAGAAGAGTATGCGTTGGTCGCTGAAAATTGGGAATGTTGTTGCTCTTGCTGGGATCGAGGTTTGTATTTGAGGAGGTGTTGAAAATGATTGTAATTCGTCTAGATCCATCACCAATCATCGTGATTCACGATATTTCCCGACGCTGGCGCACGCAGTGAGCCATAGAGAGAGTTGTACGTGGTGCGAAAAAGTAGGAGGTTGCATGAAGAGAGTCGCAGGTAAATTGGCAGGCCGATTTGGATCCAAGTCGCAGACTCAACGGATTAGGGGCCATTATCAACATCTTACACAAGGCTTTCAATCAGAGCTTGACTTCCAATTCTTCTGCGCGAGTAAATAATGAAAATTGACTAAGTCATAGCAGGACTAAGAGCTGAGGTGGAGCCACTGATAGAGGTTGATGTTGCTTCGCTAGGAGGTGGAAACATTTGATGGACATCTCTCAAGAACATGGATCGGCAACTGTAGTGGTATTTTTGATAACAGTATTCAGAAATGTACTATCAGAAGCATATGAGTTGTGCGAGGTGTCGTTGTAAGACTAATCAGGGCGGGATTGACAACCAAGTGAGAGTGCTCGTCAAAGTCACTTGAGACTCGTACAATTGGCTCCTTGAGAATCTTCGATGTTGAGAGAATCCTTGGTTGGACTCCTATAACGAGCTGTCTTGGACGGATCTGACTTCTCTTAAATGATTTACTCGGAATAGAAAGATGTCGGCCTTCGTCAACATACTGGCTCCCTGAAAGCGCCTACTAAGTATCTTATACAAGGCTTCCCGGATTCGTGAACGTGACGTTGGCGGCGAGAAGTTCAAGTTTGGTATTTTGGTAATCAGTTTCCGATTTTTCTCTTGTCTGTCTTGCAGAAATGTCAAGGAAGCTTTGCCGTGCTTTCGGAAATGGAAATCATGGCATGAAGAAGTTGGGTTGGTGGTATGGCTGTCTTGTCATCCGTGGCGAGTAATCTTTCTTTAGACCGGAGGTCTTTTCAATGGCAAGGTTTCTGGCTTTAATGTTAGTAAAGCATTGGCATCAGTTGGATTCAAAGGGAATTCATACCGCAAGAAATATTCGATCTTGTGACTCTTGTGTAGGACTTCGTGGCGAGATGGCTCCGTCAAAACGATATCCTCTTGGATTTGCAGCACGATAAGACCCCGATGTCCACGATATCAAACCAGCAATCGTATCTCCGATGATGGCGTTTCGAACATTAGAAGACCACCAGTTCCCAAAATCTTGTGGTTGATTATGCAAATAGTTATTCCAGCATTCAGGCACAGCTCACAAGTACCATTCTGCGATCTCGAGAAAGCCAGTAGGATGAATTGAGTGGTATCATCTAAGCCACAAGAAAGGTGGCTTGATTGGTTGCGGAAAGAATCTTTTTGGCCGCGTCTTGTGCAAAGAACTGTTTCGAGATGGTTAACAAATAGTTCAAATGTTAGGAAGGGAATGAGGAAATGCATACCAATCAACTATACTTGACACCGTAGAAGAAACAATGTTACTTGTAACTATGACTTGAGGCTCTGTGAAGCTTGAAAATTGCTGGATCCTAGAGCGGAACATTTGTTGAAATAAATCTTGACCTTTCTGATGCGGTATGAGCTGGTATAAAGATGCTCGAGACGAGATCAACGATGAGTTGGAGCTGCGCAATTTCGGATTTCAATTCAGTGGCACCCGCAAAGAACGTGACAGAATTATTTCCTACTTCAATTTCTTCTAAATCGTTCGTCAGTGCAAGATCATGAGAGATATCGGTCAATGACTGTAAAGCTCCAAATATCGAGGGACTATTGGGAAGGAAGTAAACTTACATGATGATTGCAAATGCAGCCCAGAGGTGCAGAACAATGGAATCGAAAGACCATTCATTTCATGACAACGAAAGTTAATCACAAAACTTCAATATTGAAGGCACGCCGAAGCGGCTACAGGAAACAATATTTGATTTCTAGCTAAGGTTAATCATACATAACAGAACACCACCTCCACCAATTCAGAGTTTCCCAGAGGCAATACGCCATCTGGCTATAAAAGGCTGCAAATTCCCCACCGACGTCGCCTTCTCCAAGATAGAAACAGGAATATTGTGCTAAGCAGTAGCACTGCTAGGTGGCCCGTGGCCCCTTTAGCTTATCCAGCTTTGTCTTTACGACATTCCAATTTGACTCGTCCTCGACCACTGGATTGATTGAATCGTCGAACTCGTAATTCAAGGGACGATGACTAGCTGAAGACTCGTGGCTTTTACACCACGGTCATCGCGAAAGTGTCCTCTCCGAGGAGCACTTTCGGCCATCGTCCCAAGATGATTCTTCTTCTTATTGGCAACAAAGGAAGAGCCTGGGGTGGTCTTTGGCCCTCCCCTTATTCAGCTCTATTATTTGCTCATGAGGATCTTCTTAATGGCCTTGACCATCACTGTCCTCCTCTCAAGCCCTTCCGGATCAGCGCACACCATTTCCGTCGCGACAAATCTTGACGGACAGTCTTGTCACGGCTCATCTTGACGGGCGCTGGTCTACTCTCGGAGCAGACACAGAGCCGAAACCAATGCTTGCTCCTCCCTTGGGATCTTTGCCGGTGATAATTCCGAGGTCTTTGGCAAGGAGATCGAAATCTAACTCAACGTTAGCAAGGTCGATCTGCTTGAATGCGGCTTGGAGAAGACACCGAAATGGACGGGGAATTTACATTGCAATTTCGTATCCATGTTCCAAACGACACATAATCGTCGTCGATAACCAAGTCAACCGTGCCAGGAAGCACAAGTAGAAATATTGCTCTAAAAGCGGTGGCCCGCCCATCCTTCTTTCGTGTTGAGGGCTTCTCACCATAGGAAGCTGCCAACGAATACCACAACGGACAATGTCGTGAAAGTTTGAAATTTGTGGAGTTGTAGCTTGCTGTTGAATTTGGTTAACACGGCTCGAAAGTAATGTTAGATGTTCACCACATACTCAAGAGAAACACTTTATGATTCTATGATCTCTTCTGTCATCTTATCTCGTGAGGTGAGCCACGAAAGAAGACCTTGGTCTTTCTCTTGTACAGAAGAAGCCTGGCTCATTTGCTGGAATGAGTTCTATAAAGGATACTGCAAATATGTTAGCTCGTATGAATCAAGGTGATTTCGACAGGTACTGAGTTTTCAGAGAGAAGACTTACCACAGAATACACATACAATACACCTGTCACTATCACACAATCATAGTGAGGCACACCCGGAGGCGGCTAAAGGGAACGAAGTATATTATCATCTAATGAACTAGTATACAAGTTTATTCTGAAACAGCAAAGAACAACACGCACGCCATTTCTACCGTTTCTCTACCGTTGGTGATGCAAATATCTTCCTGCATGTATCATCTCCACCAAATTGATATCTTGCAGGCATTTAAATTGCGCAAAATTTCTGCAAGGTCATTTGTCCACCAGGACAAACGCAAGGCAAACGGTATCTCCGACCACTGTTCTGTAGCTAATGAATTCCGATTAAAACTGGCGAATGCAGCGGGAGATATTGTCAGCCTTGCGCTTGTCCTGATGGACAAAACACCTTGCAGAACTCTTGCGCAATTTAAATGCGTGCAAGATACCTGCCAAAGGGATGAGGGTTTTGGCGGTAGCCGAAAAGCTTCGGAATTGTCTTGGGCGGGCCGCAGGCACCAGGCACATATGGTGGCGTGCATGCCTACCCGCCCTTCCTGGAAGCTATTGAACCTTGTTGTCGGCAAACCATCTCCACATATCCTTGTCTGCAAGCCATGTGCAGTTCTCAGCAAAAGCTCGGAATGCTCTCCGGTACTTGACCATTGATTGAAGGAAAGTAATCGAAGAAAGACTTTTTGAATAGTCATCGACAGTTGAGGTCCTAAACGGAAAGGAGCGCGAGTGTCACGGTGCGACCCGTGTCTTGGCAGCTGCTAATCCATTGCTGAATCAGCCTCCATCCTCTTTTGCGAATCTACTCATTAGCATTAGCAGGCGAACGAACACACTAGCTTTGCTGTTGGAAAGACGTAGGAGGGAAGTCTCTGCCCTTGTCTTGTAGCATGATCGGACTTGCTGGAGACAATCCATTCTTGCATTTCTGGTAGATCTCCGGTCAGTCTCTCTCTGACCTGCCTCGGACCTTGAGTCTTTGCTCTGCTAGGTCTCGCAGATGCTTCCTTGGCAACTTCGACTTTCTTTTCCTCTTCCTCACCGCCATCCTCTTCGATTTCAACCTTTATAGAAGTTTTGGCTCTGCTTAGTCTAGCAGATGCCAATTTCTTGGGGGTGGACTGCGAAAAGATAACCCGCAACCCACGGATACTCATAGGTAATCCGTCCCGTGGGCTACCCATTCAGATTTTCCAATAAGTCGCCCCGCGGGTACCCGTTGCACAGCAGTGGCAGTGGCAGTGGCAAGTTGAAGTTGAAGTTGGGGGGCTCAGAACGGCCCCTCGTTCGCTTCTAACTCATGATTGACTGGTTGCTGTGAGCCTGTTAGGCTAGACAAATATGTCAAAATGTGAAATCTTGGCCCATTTCCTGAAAAGAGGTGAGTAAGGACTACTTTGGTTGTCATTTTCCGCGCTCTTTTTCTGGCCTTCCTATGAAATATCCGTACTTCGGGCTACCCAAAGAGTTACCAATGGGATAACCTTGCATCTGGTTCATGGCCATCTCAGCGGCGTGACCCAGTGTAGTCAGTAGTTTGAACCAGTCGGGAAATTGGCAGTTTGGGAGCCTGTAGTTTAACTGGCAGTTGAGATCATACAAACTTGACCGACAGCCAGTTAGACTTCGATAGATGAAACTGCTAGTTGACCCAGTTTAAGCAGTGTACTAGTTCAACTCGTTGACTACTGACTTCACCGAGTAAACTCTTCATAAGGCTACCCAAAGAGTTACCAATGAGGTAGCCTTGTATCTGGTGGTTGAGCATCTCAGCAGCACGGATTCGCATGTTATTCTTGAAAATCCCAAGAATCTGAGCGACACCACTCTTCTTGCCATTAAAGTTGCAAGAAGGGATACCGTCGTTTCGGTCAACTCCGACATTTGTAGAATATCGTGACCGGAGAGTCTAGTACTGGTCGGTCGATAGTATCACTCTCCAAGTGGCACAAGGACCAGTGAGCTCCAATGTAGAAGCATAAGCGCTCATTCATCTGCAGGACGAATTGTACGAGTGGGAACAGCGACGGTTGCCACGAGAGGAGTTTGGTTTTCTGCCATGATCGATATCAACGAGGTTATGGCAGACAACTGTTGCTGTGGGTATGCAGTGTTCCCATTGTAACAAGAGAGCAGGAGAGATATGCTGTTGGTGCTGTGTGTTCGTCATCCTCGTAGCTTTGATCGAGATCTGCCTTTGTACGAGAGCAGTTCAATCCATCAAAGAACCAAGAATATCCCGAAGGATCTTGCTCTGGTATGATGGACGACGAGAACTTGTGGATCGAAGAATTGAATGACGAGAAAGACTTCTTCAATGTGAGAGCACCATGCATTGTAAGTGCAGGTGAGGTTATGATCCATGATGTAATATCAGCTTCGAGTTCAAGTTTCTCGGTTTCGAAAATTTGAAGAAGTATGTTGAAGGTAAGATGAAGGCCAGCAGCTGAGCTCAAGCCGCTTATCTTTGTCAAGAAAACGCTACAGGTGATATTAGCCGCTGTGATAAGGCTCGAATTTGATGGACAAACTTACAATTTCTAATATCTTGCAAGCTCAACCGACCAGCGGCTGGCAACAAAAATATCGACATCATGTTGATCAAGAGAGCAAGCTACTGTGAGTTATATTAGCAGCTATCACAAAAGTGGAACATGAGAAGAAACTTACCACGTTCTGAGGTCTTATAAGCATGACCGACCAGCGGTTAGCGTCAAGAGCAACATATTATCGTTTGTAGCAGGGCAAGTGAGCTGGGCAAGCTGGGCAAGCTGGGTAATATCAGTTTATACCGTGTGGCGGTGACTTGAAGGAAGAACCCACCAAGTTCTGGTCTCATCCCGATTTGACGATCAGCTTAGCCAGAGCAGCAGAAGGTTGATTGAGCTGGAAGATCAGGCTTTATTTGAGAACAGCTGCTAGTACGTGATCATCTAGAGTCAATCTTCATTGTGTTAGTAAATTACCAAGCAGATTGGGTAGGCTGTTGTGTGACTTGAATGAAAAGGAGAAGGTAGGCATTTAGCACAGCTGCAGATTTCTCAACAGCTAGACGCTCAACTCAGCAGCAGAGCCTGCATAGTGACATAGTCTGCAGCTCGTTTGCTGCTTATTGAAAGTGATGAATATACTCTCAATGGTGTGGATTGAGGTGATTGTAAGGCGATCAGCAGCATGAAAAGCATTTCCGTTGAGGAACTTGAACAAACAAATTACAATTCCCTCACAGCAGTGAGAACAGACTCTCTTTAGACTCTCTTTATGGCTAAAAGGTAGGCCAAATGGAAGTAGGATTATGGAAGCACCAGGGAAGTACCTACGAGCAACAGTTTCTGTCTGGACTGCACAACAGCAGGTCCCAGCAGATCTCGGTGGTCTCAAATTGTTCAATAAAAAGTACTGCATCAAACAAAAGGTAGGACTCAAAGAAAAAAGACAGTATTTGTTGATGATATGGTCAAACAATTTTGAAAACCTGTTTACAATATGATGGAGAATTCAAAGGAACTGTTCAATCTATACAGTCACTTGCAGCCACTTCTAGATTTACAAAAGCAGCAGGAGCATAACTTCAATATGAAACACTGGAAGAAAATTCTCCTCGGCAAACCTCCCAATCATACTCTCGGAGACCTAAAATTGACTAATTTTATTGAATTTTTTAGTGTGCGTTATATTACTTGGTTGAACCCTTGTCGATCCCTGCCTGAGGCGAGGAAATCTATACTCCTCTTTGGTAGTTCAATTTTACTACCAGAGCAGCCAAGCTTCATAAGGCTGACCAGGTTTGGAGAAACTACAAAATGGAATAACTCAAGTACAAGAAGTCACATTCATTCAGGGAAAATTGCAGAAGAGAAGCAACTTACTACTTATTATTTAAAGTCACATCAAGACTATACAAATGAGTTGGGAAACAAATCTGTAAGGACGTTGATGGTTGTTGAAGGGGTGTGGAAAGGGGAGTATTCCGATGCCGGAAGCTCCCGTTGTTTACTACCATCCCAAGGAAGTCTGAGATAAAGATTCTGGAGAACAAATCGCGCTACCCCAGGACATTCTCCTCATTAAGCTTCAATTCCCCAGAAAGAATTCTCACCACATCACTTCCAGCTTGAATTTAACGGGTACATCAATCAGCAATTTTTCTCATCAGACTAGTTTGTCGTTTCTTTACGCAAGATAGTACTTCCTGCTCCGAGATCCTTTCGTCTCAATACCCAGCTTCAATCTATTTATTAAGCCCTCAGATATTCACGGCCGCTTCGATCTCAAAATTCATCCCGCCGAGGTGCTCGCGCCAATGGCACCTCGGCCGAGACCTTCCAGGAGGTCTTCGCTTGCAAGACGTTCTCAAATAAGACGTTCTGGCATTTATGGAAGTGTCGCCAGACCTTCTGTTCGGGGAGACAGTATAAAAGAGCCAGCCAGTACTGTTACTCAGGAGACGATCTTGGAAACAATTGGTGATTTCTCGGAAGCCAGATCATCTACCACAACAGTTGCTTCAACGATAAAAGGAACTTCGTTGAACCAGACACGCTCCCGAGCTTCTACACATGTTTCCTCAATATCTGGTACTACAATCGAGGGATCTTCGAGTCCCACACGAGAGCAGAAGGAGGCCCAAAAAAAGGCAATTAGAGAGGCACGCAAGATTAATTCCAATCTGGACCCGCAATTTGCGTACCTTCCAAAAGGGCTCAACAATAAAATCAAGGAGAGAGACCCGTTAAAAGCGAAACTGAGGAGATTATTTAGACCCAAGAAAAAGAAGGTTCATAAACCGTTGGACCGAAGTCAGCCAGTGCCGACCCCAAGACTAGGCTACAGATCTGATCGCCCCACACCAGCGCCAGCGCGGTACATCCCGCCTATTGCACCTGCTAGGGGTTTGGATGGGAAGATAGAACTAGACAAAACGGGAGCAAGCTTGGGAGGCGACTTTCAAGCACTAGCAGAGACAGAAAAGGAGCGAGTGAAGCACATCGAACAGGTACAGGCGCAACACGAACTCAGGAAGGCAACTGAACAGAGATTGAGGTTGGAGGGAAGACAGCAGTTCTCTGACCAAAGAATTGGCAGAGCACCTCCCATCACTCGAAAGGCGCGCCTCGAGCCTGTATTGCAACGACAATTGAGGACCACTACCAAGTCTGCACTTCTCAACGTTACTGCAATTCCGACCATCCCTGAGGTGAGCGCTCAAGAAGTTTTGCCCACAGAACAAGCAAGACCACATATTTGGAACCATGCTTTTGAAAATTTGACGCAGAGCCCTCGACTGAATGACAGCAACGAAACTTTGAAAGAAGAGACATTGAGCCAGACCACGCCTCATTCGTCAGAGGAAATTCTGTCATCCATGAAACCGATGCACTCAAGCAAGCCAACCTCCTCAAAAAAGCCGCGTCGAAAGCTGTCGGTCACGTTTGCGGAATCAGTTGAATCATTTACCATTACAAGCACAGACTATGATATTTCGATTACTCCAGAGCTTGACAGTAACGATACTGATTGCAATATTGTAACAACGGGCACTATGATTGATTCCGACCACTCATATGCATCTCAAATTGGCTCTACCAATCATTTAATACATAGGAGTTCGCCCATAGGGCACTCAAGGACAAGGTCCAAAAGATCAGCCATTCATTTTGAAGATGGTATCCAGGAGTTGGTGGATGCTGAAATCAGAGAGGTGGAAATGGCAAAAGTTCAAATGAAGGATAATTCATTGCAAGGCCAGCTTACAGCCCCCCATAAAGATAAAACCATAGCAATTGAGAGCTCTGAGGGTATTGTTCAAAGTACTTCTAGCCAGACAAGCTCTTTGAACGACTTGTCAACTGTTCCTTTTGAGGATGGTGTGAATGAGGATAGTGTGAAAGAAGATAACCTGGAGGCTAGAGGCTCGGCGTCGTTGCTGCGTATAGGAAATTTGCTTAAACAAGCTAGCTTAGCAAGAGATCCTCGAGGAATAGATTCCCGCACTGCCTCTTATGATACAACCACTAACTTTTTACTTGTATCCAATACACCAACACCACCAGTCCCCACAAAGTCAATTCTGCGACAAATTTCTCAACCCCATTTATTTTCTGGTCCAGTCAACAATACTTTAGTCCTCAATACTCCAATCAACAGTACTCCATTTACCATTGCCAAAGATCTTTCTGAGGTTAAAAGGCTCAAGGAGCTACATGAAGAGAAAATGAAGTTTCTGAAAAAGAAAAAACATGAACATCGCCAGACCATGGATGCTTTGAAAGTAAGTTTGACGTTGATTTTGGATATGGAACTAAAATATAGCCGCTGCAGCTGACTAACATTGTCTTACTTTTAGGACCCTGGTCCTGGTCCTACTTCAAACCCATTGTCCAAAGCACGATCCAAAATATCCACTTTGTTTGGTAGCTCGAAAACATCAAAAGAGGTACCAGAAGAGAGAGGGGAGGAAGAAGTAGAGGAAGAAGGAGAGGCGGAATTAAAAGAGGAAGAGGAAAAGGTTTTGTTCAATGTTGTTTCAAAATTTGTAAGTTTCCACCCTTTGAGAACTCCAAAAGTTATTCCAGGTACATTTGTTTATCATCCATTTGAAATCAATTACTTTGGTTGCAAATTACCCTCCTATCTTACAATAATGGTGTAGTAAGTGCTGACTTTGTTTGTTTGTAGGAGGACCAAGATACTTTGACTCAGAAGGCAGTTGACAATTACGAACGTCACGACAATCCTCACTGGAAAAAGAGAGAAAGTTACACTGGCTCATTCAATTCTCATTACGAGGAAATACGAGATAGCCATACACCAAATACCCAAAAGGAGAATCATAAGTCAAGCTCATACCTTGACAAACTTACACCTTCACAAAGGTTCTATTACGATTGGAGCCTTCGAAATTACTCAGAAGAATACCTCGCTACAGAGACTCACGAGGAATTTCTAGAGCGTGCCTCGAAAGAAGAGGAACAATCAAATCGGGCAAACGAAGCTGTATTGGCTGCATATCAACTTGTCTTGGGGGAATTTGATGAAGAGTTTGGTCACCAAGACCGTGCGAATTCTCACGTGACAAGTGGCGCACTGCCACTTTCTGCCGAGGAACGTGTCTCTGATTTACCCAATCCTCCAGCGAAGGCTTCTGCAAACGCCGAAGCTTCTACTTCTAGGAGATCCAAAGTCTCAAAGGAACTTCCTCCTTCGCTTTCTTACGCGGGCTCTCGTGAATCGTCGACAAAAGAGCAAGAACGGTTGATTTCGACCCCACAGACTTCCCAGCCTCAACCAACCTCCACCACATCCAATTCTTCAGCTACAAGATACAATCTTTCTGGTGGTAAATCTAACCTCCGCGAATCGCAAAATTCAGTTGGGTATAAAGATCGAAAACCGTCTCCATCCAGTCATCAAAGACCAAAAGCTGCGAAAAGCCAAGATTTTGGTGAAGTTGGCCGACCCTCAAACAGACAATTCACTGCGCCTCAACGAATTGAAGCTGCTCCAAGTCGCCTTTCACAACGAGTCTCATCAAACACTTTAGACAGTAGACAATTATCTAGGGAAGAACCAAGTAATTGGATCAGTTCTGATACGCTTCTTGAACTGCCTGACGAAGAGGGTGATCCAGAGTTTGCCCTTCGTGCATATTTCGAAATCCTCAATTCCGAGAAACCTCCTCAGAAGAAGACTGCAATTACGCAAGGAGCTGAATTGAACAAAGATTCGGTATTGCAAGCTACACTTACAAGCAGGCTTACAACGCGTCACCCAGATCCTTACCCTGTACCCACTGTCGAAGTAGCCGAAGCACGCAAATCTCTTCGGGAATCTCAAGCTGTCCAAGAGTCCCAAGCTGTTCAAGCATCTCAAGCTGTTCAAGAATCTCAACCTCCTCCAGTTCAATCTCAGGAAGATCAAAAGCAGGCTAAAATTGCACGCGCGCTTTCAAGACGTCGACCGGATCCTAATCCAAAAGAAACCGCTCGCCTCAGGTACCTTATCCTGAGTACCAGAAATAGGAATACTCTTGAAGAAGAAGAATTCAAAGCTCTTTGTGCAGCACGCGATCCAGAGGGTAATCTTCGTCAGCAGCCTGAGTCCGACGAAAATCAAACTTCAGTCCCTGCCATTGAAAGTCGCATCTCACGCAGCCAACTTGCACGTCGACCAGATCATAATCCAGAAGATACCGCTCAAATCAAACGAGTATTTCAGGGATCCAAAGAAACTTTCAAAGGGAACGAAGCACGCCAAGCTACCAAGGAATTGCAAGTACCTGCTGCTTCTACATTCGAACCTGCTAGAGGACTGCAAGCTCCTACTGCACTCAATCCCAACAGAGAATTGCATGCTCTTGCTGTACCCGGTTCTGTCGAACGTGATAGATTGTTTGTGGATAGAGCTCGACAACATACGTACGAGCTGCAAAGTAACCGCAACATTTCCACCGGCTCTCCAGTATCCAGAGGTGCACGTACTTTCGGCTTTGATTCCTTACTTAACGCTCCCGAGCGAAGTCTCACCACTCCTGTAGGTCAACTAGCATATCGTTCACAATTACCTCAACCTGGAGGTTCGCTAAAATAGCACCAAACACCTTCTCCTTGGTCGCAAGGTAGCAGAGCACAGAGATCTCCTTCTGGCTTGCGGACTCCACAGAACTGGTCGCAAAATAGCTCGCCAACGAACCAAGAGTCACTTACAAACTCGCGCCTTCGACAACCATCTTCTTCGAGTCGGCAGTCAAGTACTGGATCCCACAGCTCACAGAATACATCAGTTACATCAAGACAATCCACTTCTGTGCCACGCAGCAGTTCGCAAACAACCGCAAGCAGACAAGGAAGCTCCTCTGGTTCTCGTATTCCGGTTCCAGGAATAAACGTTACGCCTGGAAGTCCAATCCTACCACCGAGCAACCTTTCTTTTTTAGGCGTTAGCCTCATAGCTTTAGGAGCCCATTTCGCCGAAATGGACAAACTCCAGGTCAGAATCACCGAATCACTTTCGGTCAAGGCCAAGGCTATTGAGGATGCTCGGCAAATGCAAGCTTCAGTTATTGAAGCCGCAATCAAAGCAAGTAAAGAACCACCAAAGTACGCGTTAGTAGAATTAATTGGAAAAGGAAGTTTTGGGCGTGTTTATAAAGGGTATGTTATCAATTGCTTCCTGGTTACTTTGCGGATATGCTAACATGCTATACAGAAAGGATATGGTATCGGCTGCCATCGTGGCTGTGAAGATCATCGACATTGAGGAGAGTGATACGATCAACCCAAAGAATGCCAATTCCTATGCCGAATTCTTAAAAGAAATTACCGCTCTGAAGACTTTAAGTGAAAATAAAGCCCGGAACATCAATCATGTCATTGAGGCTTTGCCCGTTGGCCAAGCCATGTGGATGATTACAGAATATTGTGGTGGAGGAAGTGTTGCTACTCTGATGAAGCCTACCGCTCCTGGTGGCTTGCAAGAGAAATGGATTGTACCAATTCTTCGTGAGGTTGCCGAAGCTATAAAATGGGTACACGGGGTTGGTATCATACATCGAGATATCAAATGTGCGAATGTCCTTATTACTGAGGAAGGAGCAGTTCAACTCTGCGACTTTGGTGTTGCTGGAACTATGGAGACAAAGGTTGATAAGAGATCTACCGTTATTGGCACACCCCATTGGATGGCACCAGAGTTGTTTGATGCTGTCCCCAGCTATGGCAAAGAAGTTGATATTTGGGCTTTCGGATGTATGGTCTATGAAATCGCCACTGGTCTTCCGCCTAATGCCATGAGTCGACTTCCTTTCGATCGTCTTGGTTCCCTTATAAAACAACATGCTCCGCGACTTGAAGGAGGGGATTATTCTGACGATTTACGAGATCTTGTAGCATTTTGTTTGGAAGAATTTCCAAGCGAACGTCCTTCAATTGACCGAGTTCAAAATCATCGCTACCTTCTCAACACTAGTACAAAATACCCTATGTCTTCACTATCTCATCTCGTTAGAGCATTCAAGTTGTGGGAGGATCACGGAGGAAGCAGAAAATCACTGTTTATGTTGGGTGGTGCGCAAGCACCTTCGGAGTTCTCTTCAATGGTATTGTCTGACGATGAATGGAATTTCAGTACTACCGCCGCTTTCGAACAAGAAGTTAGACGCGAATCAACTGCTCAAGATGTCTACGATGTTTATGGCTCAGGTGTTGATTTTGATGCTGGTTTTCCTCAAGAGACTGCACGTCCACCACGACAAAAGGGACGACGTCGACCTCCGCCAGAAGCATTAGCACCACATCGTGGTCCGCTGGAAAAGATATTCGATCCAAATACTCTTTCAAGCTATGAAGATAACAGTAGGAATCACTATGGCCGACCATTTCAACCACCAGCTTCAGACTTACCGCCCGTGCCATCTCGTTCGGACTTGCCTTTACGTGATGATACTGCACAAACATCTATCAGAGATACAATGATTGATCTCGGAGGACACGATGTAGAAACTGGTATATCTGTATTCCCGGATATGGATACTATCAAGGCTGGGAGACGTGTACGAGAAGAAGTCGATGAAGATTATATGACAACATTACCTGATTTCAGTCGACCAGCACTTAGCGATCCAGCCGATATCAATCCCAATCGTCTTACTCAAGACTGGAAATTTCCTTCGATGGTACCGCCTGCATCAGCAGACCCAGAAGTCTCCAGGTTTCCTTCAACTTATGAGGTGCCAAAGCCAGCTTTTACTCCAGGAGTTGGTGGTCGCCCTGCACTCATTCATCATCCTACTGAGCCTCTAGGTGCATTTGGTGGCGGTCTTCCTAGTTCAGAACTGTACAACGGAATGTCACGTGTATCCGTTCGAGAATCCCTTATTGACCTAGATATGAGCATGCCGGATCCGATACCTGCTTTCAACCCCGACTTTGGCCGACCTTCGACAGCAGATTCTGACGCTGTTTCGATTTTAAGCGATTCGGGACAAGCCTTAACATCTTCTACGGTCAACCCATTTGAACTCGAACGTCATGCTTCATTATATCAACCTACTTCTCACGAGCGTGAGCCTTCATTGTACCAACCTACTTCCCACGAGCGTGAGCCTTCATTGCATCAACCTACTTCCCATGAGCGCGAGCCTTCGATCTATGTCACTGAAGAAATGGGATCTTTCTCGGCTACTGCTCCTTGTCCTGAGAATTCGCCACGTCCACTTCGCGCTGATCGACCTCCTCGTCTTCGAACTGGCAATGCTCTTCGTGATATAGCTGATATTTCTGATTTCTCCGACTCAGCCGCTGAGAGCACTCTGGGTTATAGTACTGATACCAATGACACGGATTCTGACTACGCAACTGCTTCAACGCAACCTACTCCACAATCCGCACGACCTCGCGACCCAAACGCTCCATATACAATGGCACACTTCCCTAATCTACCTGCTGCTCCTTCAGTACGTGCATTAACAGGTGAAGCAGCCCACGAAGAAATGGCTTTCGAAATGTCAAGAATGTTAACTGGTCTAACCGGTCAACTTGAAGCCTTCCGCGACGTCTACGGCTCTGAAGATCTTGCTCGCAGATCTAATCAGCGACGTGAACGAAGAGATACTGGGGGAAATGGTGTTTAGATATCACTTCTCACAAATCACTACACAAAATGTTTGAATAATATGTACGATGAGGAAATACCCTCCAGTGAGTTTTTAGCGCACGCACCGCCAGGAATGATATTTTGCAAGTCTCACATTGATTGATGCTGAGCATACTTTTTGTCATTTCGTTCCATCTTACAGGCGCACCCATCAACTGTTACAGGGAGGACTTGATTTTCTATGTCATGAAGACGCATTTGATACCGGAGTGGATCCTAATCATGATGCGATACGATACGATACGATACGATATGATACATTACAACAAGGTGCGATTAATATACACAAAATTGGTGCTGGACAGAAGATGATAATGAGGGATGAATGAATGATGTGGATAATTATGAAAGAAAAATTGAAAAAAGAGGAGCTTAAGAGTAGTTTGGAGGATTTTTAAAATTCTGCTTTCTTTTCTGTGTGCCAGCTGTAACCTTAGCAGGTAGATAGATAGATGAAAATAACGAAATGGGAAATTCACCAAATTTTGTTGTTGTGGTTTGATGATTGTGATTGTGAATATAGTATATATTTGAGTGACTGTCAAAGTAGTTGTCACTTCATGATGATATTAATTTGATTCAACGTAAATGACCTACGAGTAATATATCTCCATATCCTCAATCCATTACATGATCCCTCTAATCATAGAAATCTACATACATCATGACAAGGAAAAGTTCCTCGCCTTATGCTTATTTATATTCAATTCTAATCTAACTCCATGCACACCTCATCTTCATTCCCAATCGCAACACCGTGACATAACTCCCTAACTAATCGTTCCTTCGAAGTTCGAATTTCCCATATCTCTCTTCTCTCTTCTCTCCCTGTACCTCAACCCCCCACTCCACTCACCATTCCTACCCCCTATCCCCTATCCCCCCTCCCACCTCCTCAAAAATGCACCAATCTCAGAGAACATCCCCGGTAACCTACTAGCAGCCAATACCCTTCCTCGTATCCCGAAGCCAGTCGTATCTTGGCCGGTGTTTCCGCGCCAGCGGTGGGTTATTTGGGTTTGTATTTGTATTTGGGGTTGAGGATGTGGGTATGGGTAAGGATATGGATGGAATTGGGGATGGAATTGGGGATGAGGGTGTGGATGTGGATCTGAACTAGAAAAAACAGTTACATCCCCAACCGGCCGCGGTATCCAGGCCTTGTGTCGCCATTGAGATTGAAATTGAAATTGTTGTTGGTTTTGTGTGCTTATGTGGCTGTGGTGGGGTTGGGTTTTGACTGCCATTTTGTATGAGGGTTTTGGGGGGGTTTTCTGTGTATCGGTTTCGGTTTCGGATTCTAGTTCTGGTTCTGGTTCAGTTTCGGGTTTTGGTTCGGGTTTGTGTTTGTGTTCGGAGTCATTATCATAGCCACGTGCCCATTCGGAATGCGTTATTTGTTCTACGTTGCAGATGCGGAGGATTTGCCAGTTGATGTTGATGTTGTTGTTGTTGTTGTTGTTGTTGTTGTTGTTGTTGTTGTTGTTGTTGTTGTTGTTGTTGTTGTTGTTGTTGTTGTTGTTGTTGTTGTTGTTGTTGTTGTTGTTGTTGTTGTTGTTGTTGTTGTTATTGTTGATGGGGATAGCGTGTGTTTGTGTTTGGTGGATGTTGTTAGATTCGGGAGGGTAAGGGTGAGACTGGGTGTGAGTGCTGGTATGTGGTGGGTTCTGCATGGGATGGAATGGATGACTTGGTCTTGATATCGATGTCGATTCTTGGTTTTGATTATCATTATGCTCTGATAAATAATTATCTAAGATGACAAGGAGACCCTGACTAGCCGGGACTCTTCGATGGAGATGTGGAGTAGCGCAGAAGGGACAGGGGAAGGAGAGAGAGAGATGAAGGGCTTGGAGGGGAGGGTAAGGGTGAGGTTGTGCTTGGTATGGATGCGTGTGGGGACGCGCATGGGAGAGGAGGGGGAGGTAGATGAGGGGGTTGGAGACTAGGATTGGAGGGGGGATTAGTTAGGGTTGGGAAACGGGGTTAAAGGTAGCGAGAGGAGGGGATGGGAGGGGGGAGATAGAGATATTCAAAGGAGAGATTGTACGTACGGATGGGGCCATAGGCAATGTGATGACAGGTGTGGGTGTAGGTGTATTGGATTTCCATTTTTGGATTTGGTGGGGAGGGTGGGAAGTTGGTTTGCGGGGTTGAGTCAAAGATATATTGAGATATTGAGATACTGAGCAACTTTGTGTGATATGAAGGTGCCGGAGAGTTGTGGCCTAAAGGCTTTGAGGTTTTATTTTGTGAGATTTATGTTGTGGATTTGGAGTAAAGATATTTGTGTTTCGTGTCTTCTTGTACAGCACAATAGCTACTGTATAACACCCGGATGGATACTCCCATGGTAAAAATAGTAATTGTGAGCGGGTTTCTGGTATTTGGATATGTAGATGGTGCAATGTAGTCTGATGATTCACGGATGGTCGAAGGAATGGGTGAATGTTAATCTCGAGGGGATCGCTGCAGGATAGCGGATGGTTGTGGATTTTAGAAATTTAGATGGAATGGTGGTTCTTAGTGGTGATGAAATGGAGGTAGATACTTAGATCTGAAGCAGTACATGCTTCCACATACTGGCCCATCAAGCCTCAGAGTTATTTTCTTGATGTTCTTCCACAATCTTGAGATGTGTGCTAGGAATAGACTATGCACCCCGTCTCATATGAACAGCTATCTAAGCTCCTTCTTAACAGTATCCTGATTAATGCAAGTAAGAATCAAAACTCGAGGTAGTAGAAAGCAGCATCAACATGCCTGCAATAAATTAAGTGCAAGACACAAATCAATAGCAGAAATCATCGGGGGATATTAGAGCTCAAATAGACATTTCCATCTATCTTCTTCATGTCTTTTCAACAGAAACTGATTGCAGCAACACAAAATTGAAATCGGCAATGATATAAATGACGACAGGGGTATTAAGGAAGATAACAGGCAATAACAGCCTGGAAAAAATATAATGGCTTGATGATCTAATGGATTCAGATATATTGAGGTCAGAACAACATCTTGGGATAAAAGTTTGGTATCAAACTTCCTCGCACTCGAATGAAACTCATGTTTAGGAAGTAAAACAATGATGATATTTTCGTTTTCGATAGAATAAGACTCTTGAATAATGCTTGATAGAATAACAAATGTCACTATATTTTCCCTTGTGAAAGGTAGTTGAACTTGAGCTCTCGGGAACAGATGGGTCTGAAATAACGAGGTTAGACGGCCAGCTCAAGTGTGCGGTGGACTTTCCTCAGGGAATTTGAGTAGATATCCTCTGATTTATTCAATGGATTGATTTTCGCTCCCCCCAATACCTCCGCGGAGTGCAGCGGGGAGTGGAAATTTTTAGATCTGCAACAATACTTTCTAGGTGGAGAATGACTCACTTTCATTCATCGATATTCATGGTAAAGAGAATTTCACGATCGAGAGTAGCCTCACATATTTCCCTATTTCCTTCCTCTCCTTTACTTATCATTGTTATTCCATGTATCTACAAAGCGTACTGCCAAAAATGGCAGCAGCTTCAACCTCCCGACTCCGCCCCCTCACTTTCAACAAGCACACCATATAAGCCATAATAAGAACATCCCATCAACTGGCAAACTGTGATCTAGGGCAAGACCACTTTGGCCTCATGGCTCAACGGTAAAGTGGCGCACTGCAGTAGTGCCTCCAATGCCAAAATGCGACCGGGCTCTCCAATCCTTCATTCGGGGAGGAATTGCACACCTGGGGCAGATGTAGCTGGGCTTGCCAGTGAACTGCCTTTTTGTTATTTTTATTTGGGGGTCTATCTTCTGGTTTGATTTTTGGTGTTTGGTAGGGTGTGTAATGTGAAGGTGGTGGAAGGGAAATGGTTTTGGAAGTTGATGGCGCGGTGACTTGTGTGTGTCGCGTCACGTTCCTATCATGAATACAAACATGTATTATTCGCATCTCTTGTTAAAATCCAGTGAGCTTGTTCCAATTCTATAACAACTTATTAAACAGTGAGTGAGTCGCTCGCCCAGTAGGTCAATGTTTGATGTGCCGCTCATATAGCAAAAAAGGTTCTGTCAACAGAAATAAATCATTATCAACCACTTCCAACCACAATAACTCAGCAGTTCCAGTAAGTAGATCAGATAAAATTTAGTTACTGATAACATATCGATGCAAGTTTTTTCCCAATTGCTTTAAATTTTTTGTAGCGGACATCTTAGAAACACCATTTTCGGTCAACTTTGTCACGCAAACTTGAATTCTTCATCATTTTGCCACAATCCCCCACAACGAATACTTAGGTGTACTCCCAATGCATTGAAGTCTAGATAGAATTTATCAATTGAGTAAGGTCAAGAAAGTGGTTGGGCTAGATGTTACATGGAACATGCATGCCGTCGTAAAGCAGAATTCTAGCCTGTAACACTTTCGAATAATCTGATAACAGATGCTAAGATAGTGCAAATGATAGTACTAAAAGAAATCTATACCCGATGACTTTAGAGATCCCCGGTTTTCAAACCCCAAGAGAAATCTACGAAACCGGCAGCACCTTTCCTTATGTTTGCCTATTACGACATTGGCACGAAATACTGGAAAATGATGAAGCTAATTGTTTGTTAACTCAGCTTGTAAGATCAATGAATAAAAATTTCCATACTGAACAATCACTCAAAGCGTAAGATGCAAGCAATGAGTAGTAATGACATATGGCGGAGTTTTCGTCAATTGCTTTGTTGACATTAAGCAAACCTTCGGTTAATGAATGCCCCTTTCTTTTCTTCCAGACAGCACATAATTTGTCATCCTACATATGATATCAACCACAAAAAAAGAAAACATACTACGGTGCATTACCCAAGCCCTTGAAACTATTCCAGAGCCTTAGACATTTGATTAACAAAAAAGATTCTCATGCTAGAAACTTTTCATTGTCATCTTTTCCTGCTGTCACGGTGTAATAGATCTATGACTGAAAATTATGTTATCTCTAGGAGTCCACTTACAATCCAAACTCAAAATTCATAGTATCACATACCTTTGAACATTATTTCCCACATGGAATGAAATAGACAGGCCAATTTTTAATACAGCTTCCATACATTTTCAAGCTTCAGCTTTGAAGTCTTGATCTTACAAGCTTTTGAATATTAATCATCACCTTGGATGAGATAGATGAGCCAATATGTAATTTATCTTCTCTCGATTGTCAATTGCCATCTCCATGTTCTGTCCATGAACAGTTCTCTGCCAAACAATTTTGATTTTCATCTGTTGAGTTTCATCCTTTCATTTCTGTATTATTGGCTATAGGCCAACTAAGAAGCCTTAAATAATTAGGTGAATATGTGCACAATACTCCTCAAAATAATATCAACTATCCATGAGAAATTAGAAACCATCTGAATCATTCCTATTATCATCGACCTAATTTAACTCATTTTCACCACCAGTAGTCCTACACACTAAAAGCTTCAGAGCAAACCGACCCTGGACTCAAGAATCAGAAGAAGGGTCACTAATTGAACAATATTCGCACTTGCCTATCAATAGAAGTGTTGTCTTAACAGCTCAATAGACTTGAAAGTCAGAAATTACTCAAAGACAATACTTACTCCTGTCTGATATTTCGAGCTTTGTATCCTCTGAAGGTACATTCCTTCTCAAAAAAGCTCCATCTTTTTCTTCGGATCTCATCTCAACAACAGGAAAATGAATGAAAATAGACCTCTAGCTAAGATAGTATTATTTTCCCTCTTTTAATACTAGTGTCAAAAACCTTTCCTAAACAATCTCTCCTTTTCTTTACTATATCTCATCTGAAAGGTTTGGGAGATTGGAAAAGCAAGACTTTTCACAGAAAAATATCTGTTCTTGTCTGTTCAATCTTCTTTTATAACCTTTAACACTCATTGGGTAGTTCTTGTCTTATCTTGTCTTGATACCCTTAAGCCATGAATTTCTTTTATTTCTTTTGCTATTCTCAACTCTCAGATTCACATTTTCACCCTCTTGCTTTAAAAAATGTAGATTTATAACCTAGACAATGACAGATAGGATAGCCGATATCGGTGATAATACTAATTCGGATATTCTTACTTCTCTCCAGTCCTGAGTATGCCAACATCGCTTTTGAAATTGCTTTCGACATCACCGGATACATATCCGGTGACAATTGACAACTATAAAACACTTTAATTTGACAACAAGAAACCCAATCACAGCAAACTTGTACTGAATCGAACAAACAAGACACACATAAACTTCCAGGTAAGTCAACTACCCTACTTTCGGGCCACCCTTTCACACCAAAAACAGTGATTTTTGATTTTTATAACTTTTTATTCATTCGATATAATTGAATGAAATTTTAATTATAGATTCTTTATATAGTTATTAGATCAGGTATAGATTTTCAGAATTTTAA